AAAATCAGAGGACCTGAAGAAAACATTTCCTTTGGCAAATTTAGTTTGTCACTTACTGCACCAGTGACTGTTGAGACAAATGAAAGAACTTTCAGCAAGCTGAAATTTGTTAAAAACTATCTTCGAACAACAATGACTGATGATCGCTTAAATTCGTTGCTTTTACTCAAAGCAGAAAAAGATATTGTTGACAATATTAAGCTTGATAAGTTGGCAGAAAATTTTTCACTTTTAAAACAACGCTGAATTAAATTTACGTAGCTAATATAATTAATATAAAGTAGCTTTGCTAATATCTTAATTTTTTATCCTTTTGCCTTTGCTATTAATTTTTTATCCTTTGCTAATGTGAATTTCTTCATTTATAATTTTTTTCGTTTATAATTTAAATGGCAAATATTTTCAATATTTTTCTACATTATTTTTCTTATTGTTTAAAAATTAAAGGACAATTTACTTTTGAATCAATTTCTGAAAGAAGTTAGTATTTGCTGATTATGACTTACTTCCTTATCTTCTAATGGTTGCTCTAATTAACTTTTTGGTAACAACATTTAGATGAAACAAAAAATAAGTTTAATAGCAAAGAATTTTTCAAAAAAATATTTAAATATTAAGTAAAAGTTACATTGAAAAGCATTTAAATTTACAACTTTATTTTTTAAAATTATTTCCACAAATACTTATTGATTACTATTACTGATAAACAGTTATTTTTTTTAAATATTTTTTTACCAATTTAGTAATAAAAATTTAAAAACTATATTTTCTTTTTCATTTTGAATAATTACTGGTACCATTTCGTAATCGATAATACCACATTTATACACCTATGGCGTTCGCAATTTTAAGTGCTATAAAAATTATTTATGACAGTCTGCAAAATAAACCTCATGAATCGGTTAATGACAGGCCTGGATACACTTACTATTCCTTTTATTATTTTAGATTGGTATCCAACCTGTGACAGTCAAGATTTACTCAACCTATGTAATTTTTTCCAGTGAGGTTGCCCTTAATTGCTTAACTTTTACTATAAAATTTAATTTCCTGATGAATTTTCTTATTTAGGTTTTCAGGAAAATAGTTTAAAAGTCTATTGTGATATTAAAATTGCATACATAAAATAGTATAAGTTAATTATTTTTAGAAATAGGTCTCCAATTATATACTTCAATTCTAATTTAAAAAAAAAGGGATTTGGTACTTGTGTAATATCTGATTGCCCTTTTTTTCTAAATCTGAAAATAAGTTTGAATGCAGTTCAAATTTAAATATTTCTTCATTTTATGCATGCAATAAGTTTTATTTGTAATTTGTCTATTTCTTGATCATCAATTACTAAGTAAAATTAAATTTGGAAGATACTAAAATGATGTAGGCGCATTGTAGGTGAAAATGGTCGACGAGCTAATACACATCTAATGAGGATCCTACCAAGCAAATATCTACATTAATTATTAGGTAAAACCTATAAAAAATTGCAGCTTCCAGAAAATCGAAATATATGAAAGCAGTGAATATTGATTTATATTTGAGAATTTTTTACTAATAGTGTAATATTTTAACTTATTCTATTGAACACAAATTGTTTTTAATTTAAAAAAGAGTCATTAAATTTAGCAATAAAAAGCATTATTTAGCAAAAACATTAGAAAATGATGTAAAGAGGTTGTCACACCTTGGTGATGCTAAGAAGTTATCTTTTTTCAGAGTATAGTCTTTAAAGTAACTGTGAAAAATAACCTAGTATTGTTATTCTGCACACGAGTATAGAGGATTTCTAATAAAAGAGACATGAAACATCGCCTGAGGCATTTTTGGTTGAACCACTCAAACGTTCTATAGCAATTATAGTTAAAATTCAAAAAGTGACATCTGATAACTGAAGAAATTTTAGTGTATCATACATAAACGATTCGGTTTTTGGTAATTTGATGACAATAAGTGGCTAATTCCCGACACTATTCATAAAATAGAAATTTTCTTTTGAGTCGGAAGAAATTTGTATAGAATAACTTTCAGCTTATAGCAACTTTGATGCAAATTGACATGTAAAATTATAGTACCTGGTAAACTTTTAAATGATTAGTATTGTAGTACTATAAAATATATTGAACTTGTGAATATGTTTTCATTGAAAGATTACAGAAACATGAACTAGTTTAAAGAATTGTTCATTTTTATTTCGGTATTGAAAAATTGCGTAGATTTTAGGAGACATACTGAATTTGATCAATTTAGCTTTAAAGTTTATAGACAGTAGTAAAGACTATGTCTCGTCTTTGTTTCTCATGTTAGTTCAAACCCTTTCTTTAAGTTCTAAATTAGCAAAATCTTTAACACTAACTTTGTAATGCTAATCTCCAATACAATTTTTCCATATCGCAAGTCACATTTTTGGTATTAAAAAAAAGTTTTTTAAACAAAAGGAGGTTTTTTTTAAGGTTAATTACAAACTGTTTTTGTTAACTGCGTCTGAAAAATTTATGTGTTTCAGAAATTTCACTAGTAAAAAGCTATTCAGGTTGGTAAGATTTTAAATGAACATGTTTTCAAAATATTTATTTATTGACCAGTTTCCAAGATTACCTTTGAGAAATTGCGTAAAAACTAAGTAGAGGCATTAGCGTCAGTCATTTCACACTTTGTATAAGTTCAATGGCAGCGAAAAATTTCACATCAGTTGGAAAGCAGGAAATTTAAAATACGATTTTTATATAAAAATTTATTTATTTATTTTTTAAAATTGCCAGTGATCTGCAGACCACCATTTGGGGACTGATTTAGATTACAGTTTGAATCATATAAAGTATTTCATGTGTTTTGGGAAGTATGGGGACAATGTTATTTTCCAAGAATCACAAAAGCAGTACAACTTGTTATTTTTGAAGGAAGTCAGAGTTAAACTAAATCAATATCTAACCAACCTTGTCTGTTTGTTTCAATTTAACTGTAGTCTTGAACAGAAGAGTGTTCAAATGTTTTCTCATGTCTTCAGGGCTTACAATCTTTAAGAGTTTGATACAGACATATATATAAACTCATAATTCTTGATTTATTTTATTTATCTTGTATGTTAATTGTGTAAGCAGGGATGAGAGTAGTCAGAAAGTAAAAAAGAGGAAATCCAAGAATATTTATATATATATATATATATATAACTTGTAATCCATGTGATTATAAATCCCGATATGAGGCTTTTAAAACACGTGCATATAAATCTCTACATCGAATTTAAAAAATGCGAATCATGATGCGTAATTTTTAGATCAAGATGCATAATTTTAAAATCCGCGATATAACAACCGCAAAAACGAATCACGGCATTGGATTTTAAGCTCGGGTAGCTACATAGGGTTTTAAAAGCTCGTAAATACAAATCGCAAAATTGGTTTTTTAAATCTCGTAAATAAGAATCGCAATGTTCAATATTTAAATGGCCTGAATAAGAATCGCAACGTTCAACTTTTAAATCAGGTAAATACGAAAATCGATGTTTGATAATAAAATCGCGATTTTAAAAATGCAAAAATACAAAACACGATATTAGATTTTTAAATCTCGTAAATACGAGTCATAATGTACGATATTTAAAAAGCGTAAATAAGAATTGCAATGCGCAACTTTTAAATCAGGTAAATACGAAAATCGATGATTGATATTAAAATCGCGTGAATAAAAATCGAGATATTTGCAGAGTCTGGACTTGGGATTTCTAAAAGGCTTGTTTGAATTGTTTTTTGTTTACACAATAAATAAAAATTTACAAGATTAATTGAATGAGCAAATAAATATTTTCACCACAAATCCACCTCTATTTTTTTTCGCTTTTTTTGTTTGCTTTCTCTCCAGAATACAAGAAGCAGCGACGTCTAAATTACGAAAATACGAGCTATCCCGCCGACGGATAAAAAATACGGAAAATCTTATTTTCTGTGCGTGAAATCGGAGAAAATAGCTAATATAAGTAAACATGCGGAAGGATTAGCAGCTAGGACGTAGTTTGAATTTTCTGTTTTTCTTTGAAAATCGTAAATAAATATAATAATTTGACTTCAACGACTGAATTTTTTTTAAAAAAAACACGGAATATTTATAAATAAATAAATTTTAAAAAAAACGAAACTTTTAGAGAATCTGAGTTTTTGATAAAAAGGCTGAAATTCGAGAGAAAAAACCGAAAAAAATCTCATCCCTGTATAAAGGTCAACCAGTTTTATCCCAAGGAAATGATTTTTAGAGAAACTTGAGAGGGAGGAATGAGGATTTCAATAATTTCGCTCCGCGGAAAATTAAATTCCTCATAAAATATTTTAACTTGTGCAAAAAAAAATTTCGGCGGAAATTAGCGGGGAAAATCTGAGAAAAAGCGGAAATCCGCGGAAGAATCTCATCCCTGTGTAAGGAGACGTAAATGTGTCCTAGTATTTTGTCAAGTCAATTAGTAGTATAAAGAGACATAAATGTTCCAGAATAACTTGCAATGAACAAAATAAAGTAGCACCAACATACATATTATTTGTTAGCTGTAATAAAATTAGGCATATAGAAAGTAGAAATAAGGGAAAGTATATTTCACATAGGATAGAGTTTCGTAATCTATTCATAGGAGAAAATGTTTTGTTTTTAAGGAAAGACTATAGTAACCTACCAGGGAGGGAGTTTACCATAGAGATAGAAGGGAGAGGAACGGCTTTCTTGTAACTCTATGGTAATCTCTATAGAGATCCTTCTATTTTATGGTAAAGAAAATATAACAAAGATCTGAACATATGTATGAACCTTTATATGTTTATCTAACATGTTTTCATAAATGCAGACTGAATAATAAGTAAATAAGGGTAATTTTATTCGCTACTTAAATTACTGCGCTATGTTTATTTTTATTATTTTTGATAAACTAATGCTTCCAAAAGCATATGTTCATATATGATATGCTTACTACTATGTTTTAATAATCATATTGTGAAGCTATAAATTGAAATAAAGTTCAGAAGCAATATAGAAGTCAATTTTAATAACAGTTTTCAAAATGTAGAAAAGATTTCTAAGTACAAAATTATTTCCATCCTCCAAGCCAGCCTCGTACAAAATTGGTAATACCTCCTTTCTTTTGTTCGATGCGATCTTCCAATGAAGGAAATTCAACTTGATTAAGAGCTAAATCAAAAAATAGAGGTTTGCAAGGGATGGGTTTGAAATCTGGAGGGAATTGTGTAATTTTAGGTTGTTGGGAAACTAAAGATGAATCTTCCAAGTATTCATCCAATCTTTCAGTTAAATTCTGAAAAAAAATAACACACATTCAATATACAGTACTGACAAAATTATAATGATTTTTCAATAATCCAGAAATGTAAAGGAAAAAAGTTCATCATTTTTAAACATATTTTCTTAACATTATTTTTTCTCTCTCTGTTACATGATCATTTTAGTATTGGATAGGACCCCCTTTGTTTGTCCCATTATCTTTAATTTGAAGCAGCATTTATTTATAAATATTTACTTATACAGTTTTGATTTTATATTTACACAGAAAATTAAGTGCAAAGAATTACATCTTGTTATAGTTTAATATAGATTCAACTCAACTTTTTCAATCTAAAATAAATCTTAATTTTTTAACTAACATTTCCTATTTAATTTTATTTGCTTTTTCACAAGACTTGAAATATTCATTCAGTACTTCAATTTAACCAATTCAATTATATTTAAAAACCATTAGCAACAATAATCTGCCGTCTGCCTACATTTTCGTTTTAGAATAACAAATTGATATTTGGATTCTCTTTATCCCTGCATAGGTAACAAAAAATTTTCTAGTATAAAAGGGTTTATTCTCTTTTCTAAGATTTGATACGCAAATGCTGGTTCATAAAATTAATATTTTTGTTATTTTTAATCAAATTAAATTTTATTTGTGTAGAATTTAATTAAAACTATATGGGTTAATTTCGATTTAAACAATGGTTTGTTCTTATAGGAATAACTTTAAGATGCATCTTAAATAGTTTGGATTACGCCCTAAACTATAAGAACTGAATAACCTCCTGGACTTTTGCAGATGATTAGTTTTTAAACTTCAAAACTGAAGAGTTCCTAAACTTCTATAGAAGTTACAGAATAAAATATAATGTTGTGTAGTTATGGCACATAAGGAAACCTCAAACAGCAATCAAGTTTTAAAGAAACTGCATTTTGCAATCTTTCCTCACCAATACAACTGATTAATTCATTCAATTTCTAATTTACATATTTGTTTTGTTTTTTTAAGTTTATAAAATTGTAATTGCTTTAAAAAGTTATACTTATTTAACAAATATATACAGTGAAAACCAATATTATGAACTCAAAGGAAGACACTAAACTATATAATATCTCCAATTGGCTACTTTTCAACCTTGCCACATGAATTAATCCAATTTCTATTTTGAGTATTACTTTTTTTCAATTGCAAATTAAATTTAACTTATGTATTGTCAATTATTTAAATTGCAAAAATTTATTTTAAACAGCTTATTGCTATTAGTTTCTTTCACCAATTTTTATAATGGAATCATTCATAATTTTTACAATATATAATTTAGTAGTGTTGTATGGTCTACTACAGCTACTCTAATGAGCGATTGGCAATAGTCTGAAATTAATCTTAAATGATGAAACAGAGACATTACTGGCATGTTGCACCGCATACAGATACTACACAATCATAATTTAGGTAGATCGTAGAGCAGATATTAGTAATCACCTGGCGACAAAACTATGCTTTCAAAATGCCCAATACTTCATTGATCTGAAACCAACAGAGATATTCGAGTAGATTTCAAACACCTAAGACACTATCACAGAACGTGTGATATGGTCCAAAACACAACCTTTAGCATTGAGAGTCAAACTGCAACTCAAATTATGGTAGGTGAAGACTAAGTCCACTACACTACCTAGGTGGCATAATTTTTACAGTGTCCTATACATTTTATCAAAAAAAATTAATTTTTAGATTTAAATATGATTAACATACCTTTTTCTTTTTACTTGTTTCCCCTTGAGAGGTAGAAGGATCATTTCCTAAAATACTTAATGAGTAAGCATTATATTTGTTCCCCTCAATTTTAGTTCCAAGGTCTTTTAGCTGTCCAATCAATTTCTAAAGAAATAGAAGTTATTTAGTTACATTTTAAGAAACAAATAAAAATGATTTGAGCAAAAATAGAATACATTTGGCTATTTGCAGAAACGTTAAATGCGTATCATGTAGATAGTTTACATATGGAGTTCCGAAAGTATTGTTTAGATGAATATTTTTTGATCGATATGTATATTTGGTCATATAAGATATTAAAAAAAAAGGGAATAGATTTAAATTTTTAACATTCTTATTTTTAAACTTCAAAATTACAAAAGATGTTGATTTTGAAATTACATTCTAATGTTAGAAAAACAGATACTAGTAGATCTGTTAAGAATTGCTTGTAATGCATTGCCAAACAATGTGGCCATTGTTTAATCCAAGGGAACGTTTTAAATCTTAATTGTCGACAGTAGTCTATTTTTTAATATTGAATTGATATGACCTTAATAACCAACGAAATCATAGTTTCATGATTGAAAACAGCATTTAAATTATTTGTAATTGGTTTAATTTATTATTAATCTAGTATTTATTGATTTACAATGAAAGATTAACTTCTTGTACTTTATATTTTCATTTGTTGTTATAGACTTTTCAAACTCCCAAAATGTTATGAAGGTCACGAGGTTTACTTATACACAGGTAATAAAGTTGGACATCAATTGATCATGAAATATCTATGCATTATAAATAATGAAATATTTAGGAATAACTCAGTATCAACTTACTAGTTCCAAAAACTATTTTTAATATGTTATATACAGTTAATTCTGCATTTTTTCTCCTCTTTTTTAAGTATAAAGTTTTTCTAGAAACAATACTTTAAACTATGTTGGAAAAAATAAGATAATATATATTTAAATCCCAACAGTCTACTTAATACACACGACCTATCAAAAATGTGCTATCTCGTAATTGAAGATAGGGATTCAACTTGTAAAATGGGTCAACTTAAACAATGGTCTTCGTAGCCTATTAAGGTTGTTATTACAAAACATTGAATCAATAAATAAAGATTTCATTTAGCAGAAGCATTTTCAATAATTCTTACTGGATAAAAATAAATTGCGACTAAAAATCATATAAACACAAATAGCTTTTTATTCTAGAGAGTAATTTTGACACAGTTATTTCCAAATCAGGTAAATGTGTTTTCAGATTTGCAAATTAAGTAGGAAGGCATACTTAAAAAAGTTTAGAGTATATAGTTTCAAAAAAGTTTTTGAACTTTTGAATGGTAAAAGTTGCAAAAGGGTAAGTTAAACAAATATATAAGTGCTCATAAAATTTAAAATTCAATTTGCGACATTAATAATATAAGTATTTATCAAGAATTAAGATTATCACTTTGGACTGATATAAGGATTTTATATAGATCAAGACAAAATCTAGATATATATTAATCAAGATAAAATATTTATTGCAATAAACAATTTTATGAAACAAAATATATTTATAAACTGGTAATATTACTAAAAAAAGCAATTAATGATGTAATTAATTACCTGATCCTTAAAAACTGGATTTTTCAAGACACTTTTTATGTATTCTTCAGCACGACCATAAAGAGCCATAGCTTCAACCCACTTATTAGCAGCGGCATAAACATCGGCAATATAATAACACCTACAAAAACAAGCAAACAGTTCGGAAAACAAATAAATGTAGAGCACTAGTGTTATCCAAAGAAACTAACATAAAGAGTAAATTCACATCTTTTATTAATTTTCAAAGAGTGAATTTTTAAATAAAGGGATGAATTTCAAAATAAATATTACATTTGTAAATTACTGCTATAACATAGATTATATTACAACAGAGTACTTATATAAAGTAAAATCACTAAAATTATAACATGAATATTTTAACCAAGAACAAAATTCCACATTACTTCAAAATTTTTCCCACTATTTATGGGTTATTTAATTTAGATCAAGGCCATGTCACCACTGACACTTTCATAGGTGACAAGAAAAATGTGCCCTTCCACAAAACAATTTGCTGTCTTTTTAGATTTTCTATTTTGAGCCAAAAAATCTATTTCAAAAATAGCTGCAGTTAGCAATCAAATCAAAAAGCAGTGAGCAAAAGAAATTAATTTCTTAAATTCAGAAAGTGTGATAGAAATCATTCTCACTCTTTTTACACTCATTGATTATGTTTCTAAAGGACTATCTTTGTTCGACAGCAAGAAAATAAAATTAAAAATTTCAACAAAAATTTTCTGTATATTTTCATTTCTGGGAAAATTTCTGAAGAGTAAAGCTCAAACCTGATATTTGAAATATGCATCTGGATGGGTATAGGCAATCTCAAGACTGCACTATCTAATAATAATAAAACAAAAGAGTATCACAATCTAATCAAAAAACAGTATTATCACTATCTAAGCAAAAAAGGGTATCACAATGATTACTGTTAAAATCTTGAGAGTATGATTCCTAAAATTAGAGGATCCCAGTGTAGTTTTAAATATTAAAAAACGTCAAAAATTCGATAAACCAAAAGAATCAAATTTGTTTAAATAGCACGTGTACGAAAACATCTCGTTAATGTGATTTAGGGAAAGCTTCAAAATTTAAAATTGCAGAACTCTATGAAAATTTTGTCGGATTGTAAGTTATAATATGCAAAAGTCAGCGTGTCAGGGGTCTTGAGATAAGTGGAATTCCGAGAAACTCATAGAAAAATTACATGCCCTGCTCCTAGTTTCTAGGCCTAGAATTTTGATACTTGAAAAAAAAAAAAAAAAAAAATTCCAGGGTACAATCACATTTTATTGAGATAGAAAACTTTTTTTTGGTCAAATAACGCACATCAAACTTTGAGTGGTTGAAATATTAAGTTAAAGACAATTAAGTTATAGAAGTTGTGTTTGACAAATTAGGCTAAATATCAGTTATTCATTATTGATAACATTTATTGAATAAAGCAAAACAACACAAATGAAGAACAAATAAAGGCAGTAAGATATTAGAGAACTGATATAATAGATAACTATTATATTAGAGAACTAGCACTGATAAAGAACTATAAGAAATAAGCAATATAAAATATGTTTCAAAATACATAAAACGAACATAATAATGACCTGTGAGCCTTGTAAGCTAGGCAGGTAGCTTCAATCTCTTCCGAAAACTGAGTATCAGATTCTAACTCAGGTAGTTGAGTCATTTCATTTAAATTCTAAAAAAGAAATAACCATTATATTTGCTATCAATTCTAAAGTATCCTAATAATAGACTATTTCATATGTTGTAATTAATATTCAAAAAAATATCAGTAGCAAATTTGTTTATACTATGTAATATTAATTTTCAAGACTTTCTGATTTTCATTTAATTTCAACTTTTTTACACAAGAAATGTTAGAAAAAATTAAATATTTTTAAATAAGCATCTGTAACACTCTTTAAAATCTTTATACATGTAATTTTTTTTTACGTGTAAGCAAGATATATTTTAAGAATTTTAAACAAAGAAAAATGTTACCAAATATGTAGAGGCTTCTGATGGAATTTCTTCCTTTACATTTAGATACACTCACCCACCCAGCAGTTGGACGTAGCGCACTACAAATAGTGGAACTACAAGAGTCTCTACTTATTTGTAGTGTAGTGTTACTTCCTTAAAAAATTAGTGCATATAAAAAAAGTAATTTGCAAGGATTCCTACCACCTACTTTTAACCATAAGTTTAGTGAAGAAACACACTTCTAACAAAATTAATTTTTTTAATTTGACGGGTACAAATCGTTATGGGCCTGTGAATGGATGTAATGAAAATGACCCAGTAGCTGATCATTAACAGAAATTAAGCATTTAAAATCAATCTCGCAGTTTTTACATTAAATATTCGCTGTGAAGAAATTCACAAATAGTTGAAGGTTAGATGAAAAAATTTGATTTTTTTTTTTGGAATAACAAACTTGCTCATGTAAACATGAATAAATATATTTTAATTATTCCCTTATATTTAATGTAAGCCAATTTTTTATTCCAAATCATTTTGAACATAAGTATACTAACTCCAACTAAGTTTGTTTCCTTAAAGTAGTGATGTAGTTACTACAATTCTAAAGTAGTTATACTTGTAGTAAACTACAAAAATAATGTAGATTTTTCAACTACAGCAAGCACCACAATGTGTTCTGAGAGGTTATTATGCAAATTATCAGGTTGCAGTTCTGCCTACTGAAATGTGAAGTTTTCTAATATCGGTCTAATTAAATAAGGGGTTACACTTATGATACAGGAAACACAAAATTATCAGAGAATCAAAACTGATTTACTCACTTAATTTTAATAATTCCAGATATTGTCAGTAAATTCCAAGCATTGTCAAACTTTAACTATTTAAAAGATAATTAGTAGCAATAAACTGTTAAACAGTTTTTTCAACTATCTATGCACATATATAGTATTTGAACTATATGTGCACAGATGTAAAATAATTTTAACTACACACAAACAATAATAAAAAAGTTTTATTTCTATAAAATATGAAGAAAAAAAACTTATGTTATAATTATAACATATTAAACTGTTTAAATGAAAACATTAAATGACATAGTTTCATGTATTCCTTTATCTAATCCAACAATTTTTTTTAACGAATTCCTAAGTTCAATAATTTTCTTGATTTTTAAATTATTAAAAGTTAAAAATTAAAATTGTGTGAAACTAACTGCTATAGAATAAAGTTTTTAAGCTTAAGAGATTCGGATTAATGAAATCTGACTGCATCAACATGCTATGACAACAAAAAAATATTTTTCACAAAATGGCAAAAAAAATCCTCGATCTAAGATTAAATAACAATAAAATAGCATAACCTCATAACACAAAAATTGTTAATAATTACAAATAACAAAAATCAGAATATGAAATGCCTACTTGGATTATGATTTCATAAGGTCTAATTAAATCTTGAGGCTTAGTTAATTTCTTGCCCTCTGACACTTCAGAATTCACCATGTTCTGCTTCAGTGACTCAATGAATATTAAATTACGTTCTATAGTTTTGGATAACCTTATGTAAGTCAAGTAAGAATGTAAAAATGTGAGACTTGATTGCACTGCCTCGGAGCGACCTTTAGCTGCCTAGAAAAAATAACAAAAATAAGTATTAAAAAGATATATCTATAATAACTCAGCATTAGTAGAAGTTAATAAGTTTTCATTTAACAATTGCAAAATATGACTAATAACTACATTACATGCAACAAAAAGCAATCAATATAATGGCTAAAAATCACAATTTTTTGGTGCTTGATCAAAGAAACTTAAGCTCATATATTTGTAAAAAGAAATTTTATGAATTCTATGTTATATATATATATATGTATGTATGCTCGTAGTATAAAAATATAATAAAATGCTCAAATGTTAAAAAAAAGAAGGGTCAATTCAAATTAGAGTTAACTAAATTTTTTTGAAAGGAAGTCTTTAGAAAAAATTTATTGGCTTTTCAGAGCACTATAAATTTAATTTTAGTATCAAATGGCAAGAACTTGCCTAGTCGTTAGAACAATAAGAATAAAATCAATTTGTCTTAATGTTAAAAGACAATGTATGTGCATAATATTGAGTTAAAAAACATTTAAAGTTTAGCACACTTTTTCTTTTGTATTCTTTATTAAAATTAAATGAGGGCAATTTTCAACTTATTCTATGAAATAAAATTTATTTTATCTAACAATCTTCTTTTTTATCCTATTCCGGCTAATTTTCTAAAATATAATACAATAAATATTAAACATATGAATTTTCTGACAACTTGAATTAGTATCTGTTTATTTCTGAAACTTTAATTTCACAATTTTAATGCTTTTTCAAAGTTAGGATATTTTTTATGCTACTTAGGAAATTTCTCCCCTTGAATTTTTGATTAGTAATCTTAAAGCCCACATCATCCACTTAAGTCCCATTGTGTTAATTTTATTATTTTTACTTGCCTGTAAGTGACTTTCACCTTCAATTTTTAAATAAATTCTTGAACTACCCTTTTTAGGTTAAATATAATTTTTTTAAATATAATTTTCTTAAATTAATATTAGAAATATTGGAAATTTTAATCTTCTTGGCCCCACAATGTCCAACTGAGGGCTGCTATTGAGTCTCATGTTGTGCAATTTTAATTTAAAATTAGTATGTTACTTAACTAACATGTACAAACATTAAAAAACAAATCAGTTTTAATTACATTAAAATTGAATTGGACACTGAATCCTATCAAATTAAGTGAAAATGGACAAAGTAAGAATACAAATAAAGTGTGCTTTTAATTGTAAAAATACTATTTATAACACAAATTTTTTTTTGCACAAACCTGATCTTTCATTTCATCTCGGACAACTTGCAGAGCATCTTTGCATTCTAAAAGTAAGCGTTCATAAATAGCTATTTTCGCCTGGAAATCATGTGCTTGATCTACTTGAGTTTGAGAATCTTGAACATTTAACAAAAATAATCTAATTTTCTCATGACGAACAGGTATCTTACGATTTCTCCATTCTACTTCAGAGAGAGTAACTGCTTGTTTTTCTCTAGTTTGAGCTATTAAATGCTGAAAATATATTTTGTAATTAAGAAAACATAAATAAAAATAAGTAATCAATTTTTTTTCAGAACACATTAAATCAATACTCATTTGCAGTTCGTTAAAGGACTTAATTTCATGCTAAAAAATTATTTAAAATGTGCATTTGAAAATGATTTATGCTTATTTGTAAGGGCTGTTCAAATTCTTTTTTCATCTAAATTTATAATATGCTTCTTTTCTAAATTATTCTCATAAATTTTTAATGTTTGAAAATATACTACAATTTTATAAAATCTGACTACAATGACTGTTAATGAAAAATAATAATTTAATTCTCATTAAATACTTTTCAATGCTAAGACACGCGAATATTTTTAAAAAAATCCAAGGCAGAAACATGTAAAAAAAGGTCATAAACAAGAAAAACATTTCATAGGGCGTATTCTATGATGGGCAAAAACCTTCATCATAATGTGAAAAACATTTCAGGAAGCTTATTTATTAGAACTACAGTACAGAATCATTTATACTGTATCCAAAAAACTGGGAAACCAGAAAAAATTTTACTCAGTTTTCCCACCATTTTGAACTAGAACAATTGAGGAAAAAAGTGGAAATTTGATAAATCCTTGAAGTTGAGTATAAGAAAAGGTGGGTGGGGGTATTATTCTCCCCGTTTGTTGAGAGAAAACTTTAATATTTCTTTCGTGATCTTAGAGATCTTCAGGAGGAGAAGGGGCAGGGAAGGGACAAATTTTCATTCTCTTCTGCTTGTCCGGTGGTTTTCTGATAAGCTGCCATCAATCAAACAAAAAGGAGCTGCATATTGATTTAGTTTTCTCTTTGATTTATGAGGGAGTGGGGGATATGCATTGCACATGCATGTCAGTGAACAGAAGGTGAAAAAGAAATAAATAGGAAAATGAACGCCCACACTTTACTAAGAAAATGTAAAAAAAAGTCAAATGGAAATATAAAATATTAATTAGAATACAAAAATGATTTAAATTTCGCTATTTTTTACTCAATAATAAAGTAGGAATATAGTTAAGCTGAATTTTATCATTTAAAAAACAATCAAAATTCCTAATTGTTTCTGGAGTGTTGTCATATGTTCGTCCGAGTTAAGGAACTTGAAACTTCTGTCTCAAGTGTATTGAACTGTTAGATTTTTTTTAAAAATTCACTTTAGCTATTCAATTCCTGTTATCCTTGATTTATTATAACAAATTACAGTTTTAACATTTTGGATAATACATTATAATTATGATCAATTAATATGAATTATCTGTTATATTCATTTAAAATTTTTATCGCCTGTTATCTTTATCCATTTGACATCTATTATTGAAACAATATTTTTCAATCAAATAAATTCTTAATTCTTTAGAAGTGCGGTATCATTTGCAAGCTTTGCTTGATGTGGTTTTATAAGACTTAAAAGAAAAAGATTGTTTATTAATCTAAGCATACAATTATTTATTATTAGCAGCATATGATTATTTCATGATACTGATTTCAGCTTTCTCTCCTTAAAAGTGAAACATTTCTGATTCCACAATGTTTTTGGTTATTTATTTTTCTCACTGTTCACAATAAATTCTTTTTAACCATAAATTTTAAGATAGTTTTTATTTTAGATGATCTTATAATATTCTGTTCAAGCACTGTTTTTATTTAATTTGAATAATAAGTTTTACTTGTATTTTATCGTTTTCTATTTTTCCTTACAACTAAATAGGAAATATATTGCGTTTTTTTAATAGTTTGTTTTGTTAAATATTAGCTAATTTGGTGATTTTAATGAATCTACAAAAAATAAAAATGTAAATTTTATGTCTTTTAAACTTCTATTTTTCATTGTAATTTGAGTTTGTTAAAAGATCGATAAATGACACTTTTTAACTGACCTAGAAAATTTAGACATCTGGAATAGAGATGGTCCTGAGCTTCCCGGATAATTGGTTCTCTACTGTATTAGAATTATTGCATACCTTTTAGTCCTACTTTAAGCTAATTACAAAAAGTAATCTAGAAATATAGCTATGACAACTATTCTCAATATATAATTAGAGTGTCTCTACAATTTGTAAATTTAAATTTTCCAGGTGTATTTTCTGAACAATCACCATTTATCTACAAAGTAGAGGGTGACAGATTAAGCTTTTTCTAAATAATTTATACTTAATTTAATAATACTAGTTTAAATTTAAATATATATCTATATTTTCTTGATTGACAAGAAATTTTTCACTCATATTGCAAAAATCTTTTAGTTTCTTCTGCTATTTTCTCCGTCAAACAACACAAATTGTTCATATGCATTGTTACAAAAACAAAACAGTTGTAAAAAATTTATCTTTTACACTTAAGAGAAAAAGCAGCTTACAAAAATAATTGAGTAACCGAGCCTTTTCTAATTGAAAATATGTCCATCATGGTACCCATTTTTGTCAAATCTGAATTCATTTGTCTAAACAATTTGATTTTGGGCTAAATGTTTTTTTAAAATTTGAGACAATTCAGACATTAAGTCATTAAAAAGGAAGACCAGATTGTTGCCATAATTCCTTATTATTATACGACTTACCAACTGCTTACTATTTCAAGAATATCAAATAGGTGTTTAAAAAAAAACAAGGGAATTTAGAATATTACATGTACAGAAAATGTAGCAATATCACAATAGCCACTGCAAAAATCAAACATTTTTAGACTAATATTTCGCTATTTTATTTTTTTAAATGACAAAAAGAAATTATATGAGCTTAGAACTTATATGAACTTCAGAAAAATACTTACATCTAAGTCAGCAGCTAATAAATCTTCTCCAGATGTTTTTCCAGAGAGTCTAAGTTTGAGTAAATCATTAATAGCTGTTTCATCACCAATATTATAGGCACAATAGCGAATATTAGGAGTCAGTTCTTCTACTCTTTGCTTGTAAAGTATAACTTCTTCTTCATTCAAAGCTTCCGAAAGTTTTTCATAGATAGTTCTGTATTAAAAACAAATTAAGAAATATTTTATTTATAACAAATCAAAATTTTTACGAAGTCCAAGGAAGACTTTTCCAGGAAGATTTTTGGAACAAACGTTCATATAAAAGGGGTTGACATTATGTTTGTTGAAATTATGTAATGTATGAAAAGATCTAATGCAATTCAAAAATAAATTACTACAATTATAATTAAGGTCCTTATGGATTCCTAAATATATCCAGCTAGCACAAGCTTTAATAGAAAAACAGTAATCTAAAGAGTCCGAAAAATATCCAGCTTACTCAAGCATTAATAGAAAACAATACAAGATTAAGAAGAAGAAAACAATTAAAAGTAGACAATTTTAGAATATTTACAGTTTTATAGAACGCGTATTTAGTCTATATTTTATTGAGATTGTTTTTATTTTATTTTAAGTTGTGTAACAATCTGTTAAAGGAATTAGAAATTATATAAATCCTTTTTTCATGTTTTATTGATGTTGTAAATAAATCTTTTCATAAATACTGTCTCTTCAGTTCACCTTGAATCAGTACATTCTATTAATAAATAGTTTATCAAGAGTAAAGATTTTAACTTTTAAATAATAACATAATAGTGACGGAACATTAAAGGTCTAACTAACACTTTCATAACAACTATCATAACTAACAGTTTTATTTTATTATTTGAAAAATAAAAATATACACTTTTAACAAAATACTACTAAATTTCATGTAGAAAAAAAATTTAACATTAAAGCAATTAACATAAAGAAATATGTGTTTTGGTTTTGAAATATATTTTTTCACACTATAATAAGCATATCCTCTGTTTTCAAGCAGGCAGTGCAGGAGGTCCATATTTTCAACTTATAAGTTTAAACTAGCTTTTTGTGACTCGAAAACTTTTTGCGTTTCTTTATAAGATCAGCAATAGGATTAAACATAATGCATGTAATTTTGACAAAAATTTACTTCCTTTACAAAAATCTTAGTTACAAAACATTAAGGTTATTTAGACCTATGTAGAAACAAAATTATAAAATAAAATTATATACATTAAATTAGACAACTTTTCACAATAACAGATGGTTAATAATGTTCAATAAGGAGACATTTTATACAATATTTCAGTCCTGAAATATAAGAAACTCCTTTTAATAGTAACAAAAACAGCTTAACATTTGTTTCGAAGGAAAAATATATTTATAATTATATTTAACTTAGTGAGAAGTAAAAACTATAATTAATACTCACTGGGATATACGAAACTGCTCAATGGCAGCCTGCCATTCTTGTAATTCAAAATAAAGGGATCCCTTTATCCAAGCAGAATAAGCCTTAAAGCAAATTGAAAAATAAGAACCTATTTAAATTCTAAAGTTTTTTTCATAATATATACATACAGTGAAACCTTGAAACTGTTGGGACCGAAAAAATTGCCCACTTACGAGAGTTGTCTGGTCATGGGAAGAGTACACCAATACCAAAGTTAAACGGTATAAATTGTTTTAAGAGTTATTGCAATTATATTATGATTATGTATTATGATTTAGAAATAATTCAATAATTTATAATAACTATTTACAATAATATTTAGTTAAACTTTAAAAAATACTTTTTTTCAATACAAAAAAGAATATATGAAAAAATTAGATATTTATATGTCATTCTGGATGTGGCTACAGAGAAATGAGTATGTTTTTCCTATTTAAACAGATATTCAAGTTAGTCATATGATACCGAATAGGCGCTTTCAGTCCTATGTTACTTTCTCAGACTTTTTTATCATTAGGGTTACCCCTTCAATTACACTTTCCAATCACTTAATAGGAACAGGGTAATAACTCTTCAAATATAAAACTCTCATAAGGCAAGGAAGATAAAAAAGAAACGGCAATGCATACCTGTTAGCCACAAGGCCCTATGGAATTGCTCAACATTCATAATTGATCATCAGTCTGAATTAATGTTTTAGTTATATGAACACCTCAATAACTAGATATTCTTTCTCTTTCTTTAACCCAGCTGAGTTAAATACAGTCTCCAAATTGATGATTAGAAGTAGAAAGGAATTTTCAGTGGGTAAGAAAAATTGATAGCATTTAAAGCATCATATCAGATTGTGGGGTCACATAACTGATATTGTCCAGATGAAAAGATCAAAGTCTAAAATATTCCACAGGAACAACATAATTTCTCTCCTTTCTTTGCAAAGACAAAGGAAAGTGACAAGAGAATGATTGATACTTTAGTAGTTAAATAAATTAACAATATTTTTAGTTGTGGATAAGACAAAAAATTTATATGCTTTAAAAATGGTGGAAAATTGCCAATATTTTCTTTAGAATTTAAAGCAGAAATAGTTATTTTCATGAAATTTTAAAAAATTGATCTTGAAGAGATTGAAAATAACGTTTCAGGACATAAATACTTGTCCACGTCTGGTTTTGGAAATGTCTGCTTTGCGGAGAATGTACATAATTGTTTATACATAGAGGATTTACAGGAAATTAAAAATATGTCCATAACGTGAGGTTCCATGGTATATATATATATATATATATATATATATCAATACACACACTCATATATATTTTAAATTATAAATTACCTGAGCTTCTAGTTTTGTTCTAGCATCACATTTTGAACTTTCACATAAGACTTCTAAGTCAGTAGCAATTTTTGCAGCTTTCTGCAATCTAGACACCAAGTGAAACTTCTTACGTGGTTCTGTATTTGCCTCTTGTTTCAATTGCATAGCATAGCCCCAAGCTCTTTCAGCCATCATCAAAGGTATATACAAAAACCTTAAATATTCAATGAGATAATTTAAATTCAGCATTAAAAAGCATCAAAATTTATATTAAAAAGTAAGTTGGGATACTTTTGTTGACATGATACAAACATTAAAATCACTTCAAATCAATAGATTAGCAAATGGCATATGATCAGTTTAACGTACAGATCATTATAATGGGAAGAGAGAATGTCTCGATAAAACCTGAAAATTCACCTCTGGTTATAGCTTTGAAACACGTTATACACTGCTACCAAGCAACAAGCTTTTCTTGATAATTTTATAACCGTAAAAAAGTGTTGGTATAAATTTAAAAAAAATTTAGTCAAAAGTGCCAGCAACTAGGCCATACACATTTCAATTGGTGTGTTTGAAAACCTCTTGTGAACATAACAAATATACATTTATCATAATTATAGTATTATATTAAATATTTTTAAAAAAAAGTGATTAAAGTGAATTTAGATAAAACACATTTATGACGGCAAAACATAATAGATAAATCAGTATACCAAAATCAGTACCACACTTTTGTTCTCTAGTGACAAAGATATGTCACAGCTTTAAGGTACAAATATTTATTATTCCATGGAGATCTGAGTCAGATTTTATTGGTCACAATCTATTTTGAGCACTTAAAAGTGGACCAACATTTTTAAGAAAATAGAATGAATCATTCATTAAATGTAAACAGTTTTCTGACAACAAAATAGATCACATTAGAAAGATGTACAATTTTATTTAAGATTATAGTCTCAATACAAACTGTTAATATCTTTTGATTATATCTTAAACCTGCAGAAAGTGAAGACAAAAAACAATATTTGGCAATGTTTTGTATTCATATTTTTTTTAAATAGAAAATTGAAATTCAACTTAAATATTTTCACTGAATGCAATTAGAATAGAAAAAAAAAAAGGTTTTCCTTTAACTGGTTAACAAAATATTTGACTCTGATTCTTTAATACTTTATTTAGGTTATGTGAACTGCAATGGCCATGGTGCTACTGTGCCACTTTCTGGTTTTTGAACAGTTTCCAAAAGAGAAATGATATTTTAAAAAAAGTAAAGTGGTTTGCACAAGGATAGCTACAGAAATTGGCAATTATACAGAATTGTAAATGAGACAGATCTCTTTAGCATGCTACCTTTGCTAAATGAACAGTTTCTTTAAGTTGAAACAGCAATTCAGTGATACATTTTTTTATAAATAGTAATAAAAAATAAATATATGAGGTACCTAACATCAGTCAGAACTTCTTCAGTAACTTTTTTCCCCTGAAACTTATGTTTTGAAATCTGGATGAAATGCAAAGCCTTACGGATGCGACCAAGTTTACGACTACAATAGCTCCTGTAATTGACATTTTTTATAAATAATTATAGATAACACAAACATTTCAAAATGATAAAAAAAACAATAAGGTACAAACCTGTATCGTTGATAATCACCATGTCTCAAACCATGTTGCTGTTGAGCTTCTTTAATTATGTGCAATACTTAATACATTAAGAAAACAGCATGCAATTCATGTGCACATAACACAGCTAATAAATTATTTTTAATAACAAATTACTATTAACTAAAAAGCTGGCATATAACTATTTTATAAACATATGATTTTTTACTAGAATAATTTTAACAAAAATAAGTGGTTTGCCCAGGATATGTTACTATATATACCTTGAAATTGTGACTATAGTGATTTTTTACTTAAGAAAAAAAAAGTAGGCTGTGGTTATGCTCAGAGATTGTTATCAGTTCACTGCATCAATGATCAGTTGTTTCCCAATTTTGAAGTCTATTTTGGGACAAGAAGATAGCTGGCAGTTTTTACACTTCCTAATTAAGATTCTTTCTGCACATTAAATATCGACGTAGTTTGTTTTCAAATCTCAGTTTTGTCAAAGATTTTCAAAGAGTTGTGTGCTTTGATTTGAAATAGAACTATTTTTTAGGTTTTCCACTGGTAATTAATTTATGCATTTTATTTTTGTATTATGTATATCTTTACTCTTTTCCTGGACTTTTGACGAAATCTTTGGGGTACAGAGAGAGAGAGAGCAATTTTTAAAATTTGTCGTGCTTTCTTGATTGAAAAGTTGCATGTTCTTATGACTTCCAGAGCTGGTACCCCCTGACGACATCTGCTTTGGTTATCATTTAAATATTTTCATTGCTTTCCTCTTTAAAATTTTCTATTGGTTTCAATTTTCTTATGGAATTTCTGTAAAACAAAATGTTTACTTTTTAAACAAGAGGGGAGATTTCCGTACAGTGATTGGTGGCAGAATAATCGCCAAGTCTTTGAAACTTAGAGGCAGTAGCCACTGAGAAACTTTAAAAAAAAACATCACTGAAAGAAACCAACTCGAAAGGCATAACTCATAGCCACCCCTGGGCAAACATCTACATGTTATTTGTTAAAAAATTTTTTGCAAATTTGGCGATTGTAGTTGGCGCGACAAATCATAATACGGAAATATCCCCGAAATAGAAATCAAGAACTAATTATCCATAATGTAAGTAGATCTTTCAATGATGAATTACATTATTATAATTTTTAAAAATATTAAAATGTGGATATCTAACTGCATTAATGAAACAGTTTTTCTACTTTTTAAGATGAATATCCTTAAAGAAAAGGTGGTTATGAGGAATAAAAATCCCTTCAACGATTATACCACAATTTAGGTCAGTTAAAGAATAATAGTATAAGTTGTAGATTAAAAATTAATTATGCTAGTTTTATAAACAAACAAGTCAATTCCAAAAATTATTATTGAAATATTTGAATGAACAACTATCTACTACAGACTTCAGTCACCCAATTTTTAAAGATTTTAATGTGATTTATGAAAAACAACGAATAATGTAATATTTAGGAGAAGAAAATAAAATATGTGAAGGATACTCTCAAGAGTAAATGTTTTTTGGTGAGCATTAACATCCGTTTGTGTGTTGTTCGAAACATCCTCGCTTTTAGATTCATTTGAATCTCCAGTAGCCATTTTAACAGCCAATATGCCTATAAAAATCTAAGAATTAGTTTGTTTAACATAAATAACAGTTCTAAATTAAAATTTTAACATATGAATCGAATAATGAGTACGTGTTTACTTACGTGTTGATATTCTGCTTTTCTTTCGGAATGAAAACAAGAAGTAGAAACCACGGTTACATTAAAATTATTAGAAATTGAATTTAAAATTATTTCATTACGAAGAACTAGCGACTGTATGAGGGTTTTGATTAAGCATAAATTAAATAGAAAATATAGATCTCTATATTTAATTCAACAAATTATTTCAATAACCATATGAGTTGAACCTCAACTTTTTAATTAAGTTTCTGTAGAAACTTGGTGCAAGTTGGCAACATTATTTTCTTAAGACAATAATAGTTATTTTCTCCGAACGAGAAACATACAAACTTATAACTGCGTAAGTATATTATCATCTTATTACATCCAATATTATTTATTTAATTTTATTCTTTTTTTATAAATTTACTGTCAAATAATAGTTTCCTCTTCGGTTTATTTATGTTATTACAATTGTTTATTTCTTTAATCTTGACTTTTTACAAGATAGAAGCGCGTGAAGCATTCTTCTAATGTATGAATTTTATTTTGAATTGCTGTATTTTTTAATAGTTTAATGTCATTTATGTTTTAAGCTAACTTGATATTAATGTTATTACTATAATATTAGTATCTAGAAAATTAGAATGTTATTTGTTGCTGTTGCTTTAATATATATTTGTGAATTTCTGAAGTAATCCATATGCTATGATTGCAAATAGCTGTAGGAATATAACCAATGATGTATATCTGTGGACTGATTTCTAATGATTATTTTTACGTCACTACCACTGAGGTTGTTTCCTACTTTATCGTCCTAAGAAATTTTTTTTTATCTACCTATAGTTGCAAATAGTTTATATTATAGTTATATTTTATATTATAGTTGCAAATAGTTATTATAATTAAAAGATTTCTCTTTTTATATTAGCATGGCGGATGCAGCTCCAGCCGGCGGACGTGGTGGATTCCGAGGAGGTTTCGGCGGTGGTGGCCGAGGCGGTAGAGGTCGTGGTAGAGGAAGAGGCCGCGGTCGAGGACGTGGTCGTGGTAAGGAAGAAAAGGAATGGATTCCAGTTACTAAGTTAGGACGTCTTGTTAAGGATGGAAAAATCAAAAGCTTAGAAGAAATTTATCTCTTTTCACTGCCTATTAAAGTAAGGGAGATTCTGGGCATTTGCTTTATAAAAATTTCCAGCTTAATATACCCATGATCTTATTCATTCATATTTACAATCCCTTGGGAAAATTTTACAAAATCATAGATTAATATCCGTAGTCAGTTTTTATTTAGACTTCTGTCCCGAAGTTTCCATTAGGCACTTAAATGTTATAATTTTTTTTTTTTTAGTTCTTATATGGTTCATAGCAAAAAAAAAAAGATTTTTTTTAATTTTATTGGTAATACATTTTGAATTCTAATTTTCACTAATGTATTAGTTAATCTGAAGATTTTAACAACATACGAATTTACTTTTTAAAGGTTTTTTTGAATAAGTAATATTTACCTAAATAGGAAGCACTGCGATATTGAGAAAGATGTAGATGCTTTGGGGGCCGTTCAAAAAGTACGTACACAAAAATGGAGAAATTGTAAACCCCTCCCCCCCTTTGTACATTACCATACATAAGGTCTTACTCCCCCCTTAGAGTACGTACATTTTATTAGTCTACCCCACTTTTTCATAAAAATTAAAATAATTATGTTTTCAATAAAATTAAATATTTACTTACAGAGGGTGTAGGATAAAGTCAAATTTAAATTTGGTGTGTGTTTATAAAGTACGTACTTTGTATAATAGCTCCCCCCCCTCCCCATCGTACAAAACTTTGCATAATAGCAAATCCCCTCCCCCCTTCGGGATGTACATACTTTTTGAACGGCCCCTTGAGTTGTTTACTGGTGATGTAATGAATATTGAGCTCTCAAATAATAAAATTTTTTGATAAATAAACCACTAATGAAGTTATATGTAAGTTTAGTCTTTATTATAAATAATCGTAATTGAGACTGGCACTTTTATTGGAGAAAAACACTTTTATTGCTATTTAAAATTACAAACTTCCACAGTAGAGATAAAGCTTGTAGTTGTCAGTGAAATTTATTATGACTAGAAAGCAAGGAATAATCAAAGTCAATTCTTAAAAGATCCTACGTTGTGCCTGAAAAATAACCAGTCTTGAAACTGTTAGCAACAGTAATCATTTATTTACCTGTGAGTTAGGGAAGCTTCCATGTTTTCTTTATCATATTACGTGTTTTTGATGAAAAATCACATGACAGTTACTTGGAATTGAAATTTGCTTGGTATATCATATCTGGATTTGAAATTGAGTAAGGGCCTAGAAAAAAGACCCTTAGTACATAGTTTTCAAGGGTCTGTCCAGGCCGAATTTACTACTGTTTAGCCTTAGCTTTAACTTTTCTTAAAATTCTATGTTTTTGTGTTGATTTATTAATATCAACACAAATTATGTTACATTTTCATGTGATAAGTACCTCTCAGAAAAGCCTAGGCAGACCCCTGGTTTTATGTATTATAAAAAGTTTTATTTATTTTTTGTCGTTGAGCAGTGGAATGAATTTTGAACCCATTACAAAAGACTAGTGAACTCAGATAGGCGGGAATTGGTTTCGTGAAGTTTTATTTATTATTGTTTTATTTTCGTCCTTGAGCAGCCCACCGAATTTGGAACACATTACAGAAGACAAGTGAACTTCTGGATAGAGTATTAGGCGACAGTTGATTTCGTGAAGCACTTTTTGATAGAACTAACCCGTATTTGTGTTATATGGAGACGGAAACCTCTTACTGATTGTCTAAGGGCAGGGGGAATCTTAACTCTTGGATCTATCTCTTGCTGATGATATATTATGTTAGCACTGATTGGTGAAAGCCAGTTGTGTAATTTATATGGACCATATATCATTAGGATTATTATTATCGTTATTTTCTTTTAGTAGAGGTGGAAGAAAAATTGAGTCTAGAGCTTATAAAAACTCACTGGTGTATTTGTTTAGACATAAATATGGAATTTATATGTGTTTAGGAAGATTTAATTTTCTTAAATTGTTTATTTAAATTATGTATTCTGTTTATTTTAGGAATGTGAAATTATTGACTTCTTCCTGGGTAGTGCCCTTAAGGATGATGTTATGAAAATCATGCCTGTACAGAAACAAACTAGAGCTGGTCAGCGTACCAGATTTAAGGCTATTGTAGCTATGGGAGATCAAAATGGCCATGTTGGATTGGGAGTTAAATGCTCTAAGGAAGTTGCTACTGCTATTCGAGGGGCTATCATGTTAGCTAAGCTGACAGTCATTCCTGTGCGACGAGGCTATTGGGGTAATAAGATCGGTCAGCCCCACACAGTACCCTGCAAGGTAAATATTTTCCTTTAGACATTTCTTGAAAAGTAGTTTTCTGTTTTTGACAGTTGCAGTTTCATACTTGTTTAATTTTTCTTTTGTTAGGTTACTGGTAAATGTGGTAGTGTTATTATGAGGCTTATTCCAGCTCCTAGGGGAACTGGTTTGGTCTCTGCACCTGTTCCAAAAAAGCTTTTGACTATGGCTGGAATTGAGGATTGTTATACATCAAGTAGAGGATCCACTTGCACCTTAGGAAATTTTGGTAATTATTTTTGATTAGACCTGCGTTCTAAATGTTTGCATTCACTCCGTAACATAGTCACAGCGACAGTGTTTTCTTTTCCAGAATTGTGTTTAGTAGTTGCTGCTCTTACGCAACATGATAATTTTAAATTCACTTAGTCTCATACGATTTGTGGCGATTCCATTGTAAATATTTGCATCTTATTTATTTTTTTAATCGTTTTTCGTCTCGGTATGCGTCACTATCCTTGTTAATCTGATCATTCTTATGGCTGCAAGTTGTTGCATTTTTGTTTTTAATAAGAAGTTCTTTACACACTAAACAGAAATCATTTCATGGCTTTTTATTACTGTTTCAATGGTGTTTATAAAGGGAAATCAGTATAGAAATATTGGGTATCAGTATAGAAATATTGGGCCAATAATGTAGTAAATCAGTGTAGTGTTTTGTTTCTATTTTTGGCAGTTATTAATGTTTATTTTCACATAAATTTTGTACCCGGTGTATTTTTAAAGATATGCTAATTCGAATCTCTCACTTGGAATGTTCTTATTTTTTAATGCAGGAATTTCAGGGGTTTTTTTTTTTTTATTGTTTAATTGACCATCAAAATGCATTTAGTAACATCTCCATGTTATTATTAAAAGTATCTTGTTGAAAGAGATAGTTCTAGAGAGTTTTGTTGCAAAAGCCTGAAAATATTCTGCCACAGGATGTATTTTTCAACTCTAAAAGCTCTATAATGTAGCTTCTTTAATATAAGGAAAAAATTCTAAATGGCTTATGACAAAGGCATGTTATGCAGAAAAGTCATCAAACTTCTGCACCCTAAACATACTTTTTTTATTGCCACAAGCTTATTATTCCCTCATTCAGAATGAATTAATAAAGTTTTAAAATTATCTAATATTTTCACAGGCTCAATCTCAGACATTTTTAGTTATCCGAATTCAGACTGTTAAAGAAGATAAGGCACTGTTTCTAATTTAGCTAAAATATAGAATGTTGGTTCTTGGTATTCAATTTCTATGTACCTTTGTCTAAGAGTTTTTTATATCATTTGGTAGTAAATTCATGCATAATTTTATGAACTCTTAGTGAATGCCCCTTTATCACAGCTGCCAACTGTTCAGAATTTTTCGGATTTGTTCCTAACTTTTAAATGAAATCCGAAAACCTGATATTTTTATTAAAGATTTGGATTTTCGTAAATTGCAATATTTTTGCTTTTAAACCAATCCCTTGTTCTAATCGCTGCAAGCGTGTTTCCTGTGATTGTGCAGAAGTAATTTTTAGTAGCTTTTTATTGGAAAGCGCTATTCCAATAGTTGCTGCTGATCATTTTACTAAATCTTGAACTACTATTGCATCAGAAATTTTTGTTTATGATGTAGATTATTATTTACCTGTGTTTTATAATTTAGAGAAGAATATATGTTAATAGGTAACAGTTTTTAAACTATTATACGGGTAATCCTATTTATAAAATATTGATATTATAAACTTCCCACAAAAGATAGTGTTTAAAGCTTTGCTTTACTAATTTACATAAGGTATTTAATGATATTTCTATTAATGCTATTCAGGGTTGGCAAGATTTTGCCGCAGGTGGAAAAAACCATGGTAAATACCGGTAAAAACCGTCCTGGCAAAAACAGGTTTTTGCCAGGCAAAAAGTGGCAAAAACCTATATTTTCCAAGATGAGAGGACAAAAACACATTTTTGATACAAAATTATTCCTAAAATTGAAATATATACTATGAATATAAATAATTACAAAAAAATTAACAAAACTNTTGTAAACGCAACACTTCTGTTAATTTAACTTAATATTTAAATCTTGTATTATTAAAAGTATCTTGTTGAAAGAGATAGTTCTAGAGAGCTTTGTTGCAAAAGCCTGAAAATATTCTCTATAATATAGCTTCTTTAATATTAGGAAGAAATTCTAAATGGCTTATGACAAAGGCATGTTATGAAGAAAAGTCAGCAAACTTCTGCACCTTAAACATACTTTTTTTACTGCCACAAACTTTATTATTCCCTCATTCAAAATGAATTAATCACGGGCTCAATCTCAGACATTTTTAGTTATCCGAATTCAGACTGTTAAAGAAGATAAGGCACTGTTTCTAATTTAACTAAAATATAGAATGTTGGTTCTTGGTATTCAATGTCTATGTACCTTTGTCTAAGAGTTTTTTTTTATTTCATTTGGTAGTAAATTCATGCATAATTTTATGAACTCTTAGTGAATGCCCCTTTATCACAGCTTCGGATTTGTTCCTAACTTTTAAATGAAATCTGATATTTTTATTAAAGATTTGAATTTTCGTAAATTGCAATATTTTTGCTTTTAAACCAATCCCTTGTTCTAATCGCTGCAAGCGCGCTTCCTGTGATCGTGCAGAAGTAATTTTTAGTAGCTTTTTATTGGAAAGCGCTATTCCAATAGTTGCTTCTGATCATTTTATTAAATCTTGAACTACTATTGCATCAGAAATTTTTGTTTATGATGTAGATTATTATTTGCCTGTGTTTTTTAATTTGGAGAAGAATATATGTTAATAGGTAACAGTTTTTAAACTATTCTACGGGTAATCCTATTTATAAAATATTGATATTATAAACTTCCCACAAAAGATAGTGTTTAAAGTTTTGCTTTACTAATTTACATAAGGTATTTAATGATATTTCTATTAATGCTATTATTTAATAGTGATATTTTTTGTCTTACTCTCGTAATTGGTGCTTATAATTTCGTCTCGTATTATGAGTGTTCCAAATTTTTTATTCCTAAGGTTGGCAGCTATGCCTTTATATACGGCAATTTTTTTCTAATATGTAGCAAAATACAAATTTATTATAGTTTGAACTATATTAATTTAAATCAAGTCATTTTACAATTGTGGAAAGAGTAAGTAATGAATAAGATTAAAGATGAAAAATGTTTTTTTTTTTTTCATGAAAATATATTTATTTTTAATAACTTCTCAGGCAGAATTTTTTCAGGCAAAAATCCGTAATGCCATTTGATGTGTGTTTTTATTTTTACATTAAAGTTATTTTTTAATAAATATATGAGGTGTTATGTTTAACTCTCGCAGCGTAATCTTGCGCTAAACTTATTTAAGAATCATTCCCTATTTCAGGGATGGCGAACCACTGGCACAATATTTTAGGCACTCCACAGATCACAAATGTTATGAAAAACATATGTAACAATTAAATTAAAATTCACAAAAATAAAATAAAACAATTTATAAAAAAATTAAAGATTATGCTAAATAATTAATAACCATAAAAAACAAGCTAACAGTAAATAAGTAGATAAAAAAAAATTAACAGTCCTGCTTAAACTAACATCTTACATCCTAATATATAAGTTATTTGTCATCTAATCTGCTACAACAGAAGTCACACTGATGTTACTTGAAAGTTGAATTACGCATATAACTGAAATATTGCAAAATGTATATTTTTTTTCAATGTAAATAAAGAGTTTTGAGTTGATAGTATTTAGTATTATTATTTTCCCAATAATCACGAAGTCAAGATTATTTGACGACACGTCTGTGATCTCATTAAGCAATTTTTTTAGAGAAAATGGCACATTGGTTTATAAAGGTTCGCCACCCCTGCCCTATATTGTACTAATTTAAATAAATAAAATCTGAAACTAAGACCAGTAGTAGGTTAATATAATTCTTTTTTACTTAAAATACAAACATTCGTTTAGGGTGAACTTTGTTCTTAATCTCTTTGTTCTGTGAATTTCCTTGCAATAAAGCTTCTGTTGAATATAATTTTAAAGTAAAGTCTTTTCAAAAATTTTTGCGTTGCATGAAATTTTTTATTTTCAACCAGTGGCAGCTTTTTTATTATTAATATTTTTTTTCTTTCCTTGATTTTATGTTAATCTTAGTCTTGTGTTTTTACAGCTAAAGCAACATACTTAGCTATTCAGAAAACATACAGTTATTTGACACCAGATTTGTGGAAGGACCAAGTGTTCCAGAAGTCTCCATATCAAGAACATTCTGATTATTTAATGATGAATCACAAACCCGTTGGAGGCCAGCAACGTCAAGTTGAAGCTGTAGCTTGATTTGTATATTTTGAAATAAAAACAAGTTGAAAAATTTTTGTATTATATTTCGCCTATAGTTACACACATGAATCTGTACACATGATAACAGAACTCAGTTGTGGTGATTTATCTCTAATTCCTCACTCTACTTAATATGCTTAATAATTGTGTCTTGAATCATTAATCACCCTGTGTCTTCACATTTTAAGGAATTTTTCTTTACAAGAAGAAATTGACCTAAAGCATATTAATTTATTTCATGCCCTTGATTTATTGGGTCAATTTCTGCTAAACTGCATCAAGTCTATTTTAAGCCGGGTTCTTATATTTAATAATTGTAGGTCCCTTGCTATATTTATCAAACTTGGAGGTATTTGGGTGGGAAGTATTTATAACCAGACAAATAAAGCTTTAAGCTAGTTTATGTATCTTGTGCAGAGGTAAGTATGGTTCCATTAATTCAGGCTCTGTAATGTTAAATTCATAGAAAATTGCGGCGGGAAAAGTTAATGTTTATTTTTTTCATTAGAAAAAAATTTTAATCGTTGTTCTGCTCATGATTGCATTTAAAATTAGAATTTGAAATAGGATTTTTACATGTGCTGATATTTATTTGTTTTTTTGAAGTGGCTATCGAATGTTTATATAATTAAAATAACCGTTGCATGCTAAATATTATTTAGTAAGAAAATATGAAAAATCATATTTAGAGATACTTTTTTAGTTGTAATAGTTTTGGCCTATAAGATAAGCATGCTTTCTTCACCATAGTATGGAGAGAAGGAAGTACATTAGTATATATCGTTTTTAATATTGAAATTTCTGTTTTCCTTAAAAATGTAAATATTTTTTGTTAAGAATTACATCTTAATGTTAACATTGTTAATTATAATATTTCGGAAATGATCATTTAATGAAAATGGGCACTTCAGCGCCTGCTTTCTTAAACTAAGTAAGTGCTATTTTATTTACATTTTCGTGATAAAATTTTTCCCCAACGTTTTGAAATGCTGGACAAAGTTAAATTGCGAATGTTTTCTTTAAAAAAAATGTATAGAGATAGGACAAAAAGTAAATAATCAAGTGAAAAATAAGTAGAGATGTATAGGAGAAGCTAGTGGATTATTATTTAGTGGTTGCTGTGAAAAATATTGAAGGTTAGCTGTTTTCTTATCTTGTTTGCTGTAAAAAATAAACTGACAGAATGAAGATAATTGACTTAAAGATGATTTAATATAAGAGTCCTTATCATAGAGAGGTAAATTTTGAACTCGTTGAGCTATACATTTCTGGAAATTCAAATAACTCTGGATAGTATTAATTCAAAAAATTCGGTCTAAAATATTTTTAGAGTGGCCCACATGCATTAATTCTAAAAGAAAGCTTGGAATTTTCAAATTTGGCGATTAAATATGAAAAATAATAAAGGGAGGAGGCAAGACACGGTTAGTTATTAATTATGCTTAAAAATCTCAAACTCGACGATAACCTTTCTAATAATTCTGTAGTCTCCTTCTAAAAGTTTTTTTTTCTCATCTTCCGCAAGTTATACAAATATTAACATATTGGCTGTTATGCATTGAGCACCGTACAGTACAAGAAATCAGGAAAGTTCAGCTTTGTCGTTTCTAATAAACAATGCGGGAAAGTGATAGGTGAAAATGCTCAGCAAAACTTGCCAATCAATTTCTCACTCAAATGGGAGAAAATCGCATGCAGTGTAGACGCGTGTGCCAGTTTGAATCTGCTACGAACGGTTTCGGTGCTATTCTCGTTCGTTCAAATTCAAAGTAACCTTTGCTAGTTGGCTACAAAATCGCTCTTTTCGGTGTAGGATATTTATTTTTGCTTTCTGTCTGTTGAATAAAAGTTTAAATGTAAACAAAGTTTTACCTTAGGTAATTTGTCTCAGCTATCTATTCTCTTCATAAAATTTTATTTAATTGTAAGTAATTTTAAGGTTTAATTATGCAATTTTTGAATAGAATCGAATCTTTCTAATAGAGTTCGTAATATGTAGTTATGAATATTCCGAGATAAAAATTTATCGACTGTGCTAATTTTACGTTTTTTACTAAAATAAATTTTGTGAATAATTTTTAGATTCTTGAAAAAGTATCTTTAGTATGCTTAAAAACAAGATTCTTGATAGAAATCAAGATTTGACTATTTCCTCTGAAGATTCAGTATTTGAAAAATCTAAAATCGAAAATGTGCGTGATATATTTTATCGCAATACTGTTCCTTCTGAGGGAAAGAAGAATACTGAATATTTAGATAAAGTAATTAAAATTGAAAATATGGATGACACTGAGACATCATCAAAGAATAAATATGAAAGTTATCAAAGTTGTGTCAAAGGTATTAAGAGGAAAGCTGACACTTGTTCGATTGTTTCTGTGAAAATAAAGCAAAAACTTTCAAACAGCGAGCCAACTAGTCAGCTTTCTAAAAATTCAACTGCTGGTGTGATCGAATCTTTAGTGTCTGTTAAAATTAAGAAGCATAATATTTCTACCAGCGAACAACATATACAGCCTGCGAAAAATCTAACTGCTGAGCCTCTACAATTGAAGAAAGCTGTATGCAATAATGCTAAAGAAAGTAAAAGTGAGGAAAAGTTTGACTGTAGTTTATCTGATAGCAGAAAACAATTTTGCAAGCAAGTTCCGCAAGCACAACAATCTATACCGACTTTGGAAAATGTAACTGCTGAGCCTTTAAAAATGAAGAAAGCTGTGTGGAATAATGATAAAAATAGTGAAAGTGGAGAGACGTTTGAATGTTGTTTACCTGGTTGCAAAAAACAATTTCACAAACAGAAAATTTATGAAACTCATATTAAACATTTCCATGGTGTTTTTAATTTTGAAAAGTCTGAACCTATCATTACTGCACTATTTTATGACTGTAGAAAAAAGGGTGATGATAAACTTTCCTGTAAGAAAAAGGTTAAAGAGAAATTTTATAGTAAGTCATCAGCTAAGTTAAAAGATGTTGAAACTGAAAATAGTGATATCAGATCTACTCTACTCCCATCTTCATCGTTTGATTACAAATTACCTTCTAAATTTTCTGATTCAGAAATTCTGCTTCCAAACTCCTTAATAAGAAGTATTGATCTAATTTCTGCTGGAAAAATGATTACAGAAGTAATATGTGAGGAAAAAAAATTGCCTTTAAATTTTCTAGATAAAGATTTTTACCCTATCAAATCTGTTTCTCTTAATAAAAGAGGTTTAAATTTGGAAAATGATAATGAAAATATTTCTGGGAGTTGTAAGAAAGCTAATTTATCCTCAAAGTTAAATTTTCAGGAAAAATTTTCTTCTGTAAGAAGTGATAATATCAAATTGCTCGGTGACAACAAAGCGCAACACAGTTTGAATAATGCATCCGTTCGAGTTCCCGTTCTATCAAATACTGGTGACAGTTTAATTAGTACAATTACCCAAGAGAATAACGAAAAGTCAATTTCTGATATTAAAAATAGCATACAAGAGGATCATATATATGCCTCTAAAAAACTTGATGGTGAATATGTAAATCAGAAAATAGATGCATATAAAAATAATTCTGTGTTATATTCACATTACAAATTAAATGAAAAAAATGATAAAATAAAAAACCCTTCTATAGATACTAATAAATTAGTCACAGGTAGTGATATTCATTGCGGAAATGCATCTACTCTAACTGTATGCAGTTATGAGAAATTCGTGAAAAAGAAAGAAAGAGAATGCTTAGACTTAGATTCATCTTTGAGTAATAAATTCTCTATATTAGAAGTAATTAATCAAAAAGGAAATGCAAATAATCAAGATAAGATATCCACAGCTGTGTCTTTAATTTTACATAATATGACACACAATCCCTCTTTTGGTTTAATGCCTAATTTAAATACCAAAGTTTCACAAAATACTCAAATAGCAAGCAAAAATGTAGACTTTATTCGCCGTATTTTTGAATTTTGCAATTGTGCAAGAAACTTAAAAGATATTCTTTTTAAGTGTAAACAAATTCTTCACAGGCTTAGTGAATATTCTGCGTCTGAAGATAAAAATATTTCTCTCTTACCTTGTGCTGTTGATACTGAAAAGTGTGATAAGCTGTTGCATTATGTTTTCTTTCTTGATGTTATACGAGATCCATCATTTGCTTCTACTTACGTCCAGCATATTTTAAAAAAACCTGATTTGGCAGTTTTAAACAAATTAACTAATCCTGTTTCTCTATATTTAACAAATACAGAGAAGGAACTACCCAATGTAAAACTACGTAGAGACAGGGAATTTTTGCAAAGGAATTCTGATTTCTTTACAGCTCTTCTAAAAATCCAAAAGTCATGCCATATTTTGCCTTATTCTAATTCTTCAATTTCAGCTGAAGAACTATGTCGTCCTACTACTAACCTGAGACTTGAAAAGAGTGACTATTTTGCACAAGTTTTTTGTCATGTTAAATCTGAAAAAGACCCTATATTCCTGCAAAGTTATGGTGTAAATAAAGATTTAAGTGTGTCTCCTTTTGTAGAATGTGTTTGCGATGACTATTACGTTCACAAATTGGCAGGTTTTGTTCTGTTACCAAGACCTGATAGTTTTGTGACTAAAGATATGTGTGTCGGTTTATGTTTCGAAAGTACTACATTTTCTTTTAGGCATTTAGTAATTCAACTTTCTTTGATTGCTGAGGAAGTTAAAAAAATTATATCTGAAATACGAGAAGAACTGTGTAAAGAAAGTACTCAGCATTGCTTATCAGATATGGCAAACAATTTACTCATTATATTTAATTTGATTGACACAGAAACAGATAGTGTATTCTCATCTCTTGATTTAGTTAATAATTTTGTAAATGAACTGCCCACGCTAGAGAACAAGAGTTTTTGGGGTGAGATTAAGGTAGGATTAATTAAGCATTCTATAAAAGAGATTATTAATATCATTGAGAAGTTGAAAGATTTAAAGGAATGTGATACCATCTCATAAATCCTAATTTCACTAGTTTGATGGTGTACTGGGAAACCAAGATATCTCTGTATATATAGTTAGAAACAACAGAATAGAAAAAAACCTACAAACGCCACAAGCAACATTGAAAAATAATAATTTAAAAGGACGCTGTAACATAATAAATTATTATTGGAATAAATAAATTATTGGCGAGCTTATCCACGACGTAAACATAAGTAATCCTCTCATTTCTTTGCATTTCAATATTTTGAAATATTTTAATATTGTTTGTTAAAATACATCTAATAAAATTAAAATGTATTTTAATTCAAAATGTTTTACTGGGCTCTAAATAGTGGTTTGACCACTAAAATCTGACTCACCTTGAAGAAAAAAAATCAAAATCATTGATCTCCCAGCCCAGCAACTATTAAAAATTAAACATAATAGAAGATAGATTTGGTTTTATGGTCTGTGTTTTTATCACAAACTGGAATAATCAATTTATCATAATTGTGAATATTACCCATAGTTTTTTACCCCTTAAATGTTGCATGATTTTGAAGAAAACTGTCATAAAAGTGCCTATTTTTTCATTCAAGAAAATAGTATAAAACTAAGTGTATGTACAATGCATGTATTTCATTTTAATTTCCAGGTTAATTTTTAGCCTATTTTTTAAACACATTATTAGTCTGGTATTACCACCTGATGTATAGATTGAGAAATAAACATGATTCTGGGCATAAGGAATAGATTATATTAATCTTTTTGGTCCATTACATTTCAACCCCCCAACCCAGAATTATAATGGTCGCAAGAGATAGAGGGCAATAACTTCATCCCATCGTTTTGATAAGAGCAAAAAGGAAGGAACTTATAATTATATAATAATTTATTTATGGTAAATATGCAACATTTAGACTAAATATTAAAGCATACAGAATTTCAATTTACTCAAGTCTTCAGTTGTGAACCTTATCAGTTAACAAAAATTTAAATTAGTTACGTTAATTTTGTATCATAAATTCTTTATCTTTGAATTATAAGATTTCTATCATAATTATACTGATGAATTTCAAGCTTCATATCACATTGGATCGACTTTCCCTTTTAATTTAATTTAGAATTTTTCATGTTCATTAGATATTTGCCTAAATGCACTACTGTTTTTTTTAAACAATGCCTAATATTGATACATTGCTTCACAATATTTTATTTAAAAAGTGAAACTATGTTTTCTCTTTTAATTTGCCTCTTCCGCGACTTTATGCAATTTCTTTGTGTGTCAATCATCTTATCATTCTCTAGTAATTTTTGCAGTGATAGGATATTTAATATTTATTATACAACTTAAAAATGCAGTACGACTTGCATATAATGAGTAGCTCGGGGAAAAAAAAATGCTTGCTAAATCTGAATTGTTTGAAGGAAAAAAAATTGATAAAATTTTTTTTCGAAAATTGCTTCCAAATAATCTTTATTGAGTATTAACAAAATATTTTTCTATCGATTGTTTCATTCAATCTACCTAGCTTTTCTAAAACAGTTTTGTGTATGCGATTGTGTTAAACTTTCCCATGCATCTGTCATCAGGTGAATTTCGTCAAGAACAAAATTTTTTAAATACTCTTTCTTTTCCATTCTGTCTTAACATCTTAAGAATTAATTGCTTTCTGTAAAATGGCGTTTGAAACTGCGTATCAAGAGGGTGCAAAACTGAAGTTGAGTTCGGAGGGGGAGGAAAAAGCTTTGTCTTTTAAATTGCTAACATATGGGTGAGCTGACCAATTGTCAACTTGCTTTTCAAACACTTTATTCCACTCGTGCAAAAATGAGACATATAGTTATGAAGTCATCCATGCTTTTTTAGTATTTTATTTTCAAAGGAAAATCAAAAAAATCACTAGAGTTTCTTTTCTCAACAAACAGCTATAAAGTTATCTTTTGAAAATAATTCTGAGAGAAAAAAAATGTTTGAAAAAGGGTTTTGCATGTAGTAAACTTAAACATTTATTAATGATTGAAAAAATTCATTGTAAATATGATTAAATCTTTTTTCTTTTTTTTATATATGCTCATATGCTGTTTATAAAATATTTTCTATGTAATAGTTATAGTCTATTATTTTTATGAATAAAATGTTTTTGGAGAAATGTATGAATTCAACCATGTTGTATAGAAAATACTAGTATAAATTATTAATGTATCCTGATTAAGAAAAAACAACTGCCACTATTTTTTACAAAATATTGCTGTAAATATTTTACTATATTGCGCATGTTGTTCATATTTTGTTTTTTTAATATTTTCATGTTGTAAAATTCTTTATTATTGTACTATTAATTAAGCATGTTTTTTTTTTTTGGAAGAAATATATATATTTGTATGGGTAAAATAAATTCATATGAATAGACGTTTCTGCCATCATTTGATAAATCGACGTCTCGTTTTTAGTTTTACACAAAAATAAAGACATTATGCTAAAACTAAATTGTATAATCACTCTGGAAACACACAAATTATAGTCTGAGAATTACAGATTTGTCAATCAAATTAAAGAATATTATCTTAATAAATATCATTGCAAGCCTTTTTTTTATGTAGTGGAGGAGATATTGGATAGTTTTCTAAGTTTCACTAGTGAAGCTAATTAAGGAAATTTCATCTGCGAAATTATTATAGTTATTATTTTGTTTTAAATTTGTTATGAACATAGAAGGAAAAAAAATCCAATTTTTCATGTTTTAAAATGTAAATTAGAATCATTTATTTATATAAATAAAAAATCATAAAGAGTAGAATTGATTACATTTTATACTATAAATGGTTATAAAATGAAGACAAAACACTAACAGCAAGTAAAAACATGTATTTGTATAAATAGCTTCATTGATAATTTTTTGTTTGAAATATCAAGGGGGTCTTCAGATTTCAATTATTGATAACCCACCAATGTTACTGGTGTTCAAGTATAGTATGTCCAAAATAAAACGCAATTCAGGAAAGCAAAACATGGACAAAGGAGAAAAAGAATGTACATTGAACACAAATTACAAAAAATTTTTAATTCTTGTAATCTGTCAATTGACAAATTAGGCACACTTAAAAAGATTATTGAAGAGATGAATCAACGTTTTTGGGAAAACATTTTAGATGTCGGGCAATCTGCATACTTAAAACTTTTTTAATAGCTTCACAGAAAAAAAACCAGACTTTAGGAGACTGTCACAGTCCTTTCGAAATCAGACCATTCCCCTACCCCCCCCTACCCAAAAAAAATAAGACATGGCTGACCCAGATGTTTGGGCAGTGGCTGTGTCCTGATGAAACCATTGGCAACGATCTGAGTGCATAAATATTCCACAAGCAATTACTTTTACTTTGATGGCAATATTCCTCATTTTCAGAGGCTGGGTTTTATTTGGGATGTGCTGTCATTTATATAAAGTCCCTGCTTTTCAGCCAAAATATAACTTGAGAACCACAAAATAAAATTTTATAATATTTTGTTAATTTCTTCAGGTTACATCTGACTAAATAACAAAGGAATCCTAATTTTCTTTAAAAATGTAAAAGATTTTTCAAAACTTTATTTGTTTAAAATTTTCAAAAGAAATTAATTTATTAAAGAATGGTACTCTCTTTAGTAAATATTTCATAAAATGGGATAATTTTCAGAAATTTTTTGATAAATATTTATAATTTAAACAAATATTTTTAAAATGAAAATTATTTCCAAAAGTTTAATTTTGTTCTAAAATTTCATTTAATATAAAATATGCTTATTTAATATAAAATAAAACTTTAATTATCACAATAAAATCTACTAATTACAATGCGAAAAATAGCAATCCGAGAAAATAATCTATTAATCATAATAATAAAATACTTCAAAAAGCAAAGTAATTTTCACCCTCACACTTTTATAAAAAATTTAAAAAAAAACTTTATTACGTCCTAATGCAATTTGTATAATGAAAACAAATTGTAATTTGACGGTAATTTAAAGTCAAGTAGTAATTAGTAGTAATTTAAAGTCAAGATTTGGGAAACAAGAAGTAAAAAATGCAGAAAAATATCGGTCACGTGATATCTGGCTTCCATGATTCGAACATGAATGACATTTCGAACGAACGTATTTATATAGATAGTGCGCTTAGCGTTGCGAACGTTTTATACCTTTTGTTCCAACTAAGTATACTCCAGTTCTACACCAACAAGCAATATTAAAAATAATTATCATTTGTAGAGTTTTGTTCTATGGGTAAGTGATATTTTACTTTGTTTATCCCCATCATTTTCAATGTTATTATTAAAATTTCACTATTTGTATATATTATGTATTGTTTTTTTCCGCCATGTTTGCTCTTTTCAGACATGTTCGTTTGGCATATTTTGGCTTAAAAATTTGGCGGAACTTCGCCAGAGAGATATAAGAGAAATGGCGTATGCGCATGTATCTTAAAACTAATTTACGTTTATTTTTTGACTAAAATATAAACTTCTTATGATGGAAGACAATAATTTTGTTGAAAAGAAGTTGAATGAAAGTGGAATAAATGATGACGAAAAACATAGTCACGATACTCCTAGAACTAGTAATGATTTGGCGATTGCAATCGGTTCAGAAAGCGTAGTTGCAAGTGATGGTAATTTGAATGATTTTAATTTACAAAATGATAGTGAAGGTTTTCCGTCTATAGAGATTGTTAATTGTGAGAGTAGACCTGAACTGCGTGCTGATTTTGAGAGGGAATTCGGAAGCTCAGGTGACGAGGAAGTTTCTCGCCACATTCTAGAAATTAGCGAAAGAGATAGTATTTTGTTCGCCACAGATGACCTTGAAATCCATGATAACGAATCATCTGAAACAAATTTTAAGGATAAAGTTACCACTTCTCTCATGGAAGATCCAGATCCTCTACTTGTACCTGGTAATTCTAATGTTGAATCTGAAGATATAGCTTGTGTTAAAGCTGTAGAAAAAGCTGTAAATGAATGGGTTCAATGTTATGAAGGTGTATCCTCAAATCTGGATGAAAGTGCTATGCACAATGAGAGCTCATGTGACTCCTTCCAACAAGAAAGAAATAAGTGCAAAAGCAATTCTTCTGAAAGCCATGATTTTGAAAATAATGCAAATGAGGAAAGTTCAACCGACTCATTTAAGTATGGGAAAAGAAAACGCAGCAAATATCCATCAGAGAGTCATGATTATGAAAGTAATGTAAATGATGAAAGCTCATCTGATTCCTTTAAAAGGGGTAAGAAAAAGCGAAAGATCTCTGTTAGCCAGGATTGTAGTTCCCCCAATGTAATTCCTAAACGCCATAAAATTGAATGGAAAGTGGGAGAGTCGGTCAAGATTAATGAGAAAGAGGTTTGGTATGATGCAAAAATTATTGATATTAATTGGAAAAAATTGACTGTCAAAATACACTACCTTAATTGGAATTCAAGATATGATTTTTGGATATCCATGGATAGTGAAAGGATAAGATCATCTGACGGTTTAAAATCTACTTCCAAAAAGTATAAACGATTTTATGTAGGACAAGAAATTCTTGCTAACTGGAGTGACAATGTAATGTACGAGGCTGTTATTAAAAAATGTTTAGATAACAATGAGTATTTAGTTACATTTAAAGCTGATAGTGTGCATCGTAAAAAACATGCTTCTGAAATTAAAGAGCGCCCTAAATCAGATGTTGTTTATAAAGAAGCAGATCAAGTTGTTAAAGTTCCTTCTAAGCAATTTGTGATAGAAGAAGATCATAATCAGTATAAATGTTCCTATCCTGATTGTACTAAAAGCTTTCGTAAGGAAAAATTATTGATGTCTCATATTAAACATTATCATGATGGAAAAGAGCAGAAAAATACTAATAAGTTACCTACGCCGAAACTTGAACAATCTCATAGAAAACTGACTAGTCCTAAATTAGAAAAATCCTCCTCAAACAAAACAACTAAGTTTGAACAAATTAGACCCCGTACATCTAATTCTGAATCATCTCAAATAAGTCCGCTTAAACAAAATTTGCCGAAAGGTGAGCCATTAGTTCAAGAATCCAATGTAGCTTCTAGTAATGTAGATGTCAGGGATGAAAACAATGTATCTGCATTACTTACATCTTCTGAAGCTTCGAATATTTCTTCTGAAGTTTCAGTTGATGATGAGGTTTCTGGAAAGCCTAGCGAAGAAGAAGTAGCTGCCAAAAAAGTGACAAATAAAAATGAAGCTGTTCTGAAAGAAAAAAGCTTAAAAAAAACAAACATATCTTCTAGCAAATCAACTTCTAAAGTGATGACTTCATTACTTAAAGTATCTCCATCAAAACCGAATGATAATCCCAATGTACCTCTTCGACGATCTTTCGGCAGAAAAGTATCTCTTCCAGCTAAATTTGCTGACTCAGAAATATATTTGACTTCTCCATTAATGAAAAGGAAAAGTATTGCAATGTCAAGAGCTGAGGTTGCAGTAACAAATAAATCGAACTTATCAAATCTGAAACAAGGTAAAAAAGAACAAGAAATTATTGAGACTAAAAATGCTTCGTCAAAAGCGAGTAAACTTACTCACAATAAATCGAAAAATTTGATAAAAGAGCCAACTTATTCAAAAACAGAAGTAAATGAAGAAGTTAGTACTTCGAAGCAAACCATATTACCGAATAAGTCATCTGAGATGAGTCAACAGGCTGTTCCAAGTAAGAAAATTGGCAATACTTCAAGTATTTTGTCCAAGTCATATTCTCAAACATTATTTTCTACTGATAAATCTAAAACTACTGTTAAATCTACTAAAAAGGAAATATCTTCTAATAATGAGAAGAAAGATACTCAAGTCTTAAGTGTTACTGAAAAATCTGATGTCAATCAAATTGTTAAAAATGAAGAAACTCCCGTTTCTGCAATTTTACCACAGGACTCTACTAGTGAAAATGACTTGACTCATCCAAAAGAAAGTTTGACCACTAATAATACAGATACTCTAAAGGAATCTGAGGGTGTTAAAAATACTATTAGTGAAGGCCAAGATTTGGAATCAAATCTGGTACCAAACGAAATGGAAATCAAAGAGGATATCTCCTCAACTGATAATAAAAGTCCAGAGTTACTTCCTAGTGAAAATAAAGAAACAGAAAGTAAAGATATTTTGAATGAGACAAATAAAACTGTCAATTTTTTTAATATTAAAGAAAAGAAAGACATTAGTGCTAAAGTAAATCCTACAGCTCAATCTCTCACCCCTACTCATGTCATGTGCACTCGTTTCAAAGACTCTTCGTGTGAAAAGGGTAAAGGTGGAATAGCTGAGAGCATCTTGGGACTTCGCTCCAAAAGAAAGATTAGAAAACCATCCTGGGCTGTGAAACCGAAAAGGAGAAGAACTCGCTCAAAAAATGAATCATTTTCAATGGATACTGATTCAGTCGGTAGTACTCAGCAACCTGTTGTGGCTGAAACTGAAAGTCAAGAACATTCTGAACATGAAGAAACAGATGATCTAGTTGCTTGCATTTGTAACAGTACTGCTGATGAAGGCAAAATGGTTCAGTGTGATTATTGTAAAACTTGGCAACATTGCATTTGTCTTAATATGAAAACTGTCGATGAAGAGAAAGAGCACATGTGCTGGAATTGTCGATATTCCAAATCTATTAAGGACATTACAGATAAACACTATTTAGAGTGGGTTGCTAAGAAACAATTTCCATCATTCAAATGTTCAGAGGAGTGTAAAGATACTGGTAGTAGTAAAAGTTTAGAATCTCTTCGCCGAGCTTTTGAACTTTGCAATCGTACACGAAATGTAAAACAACTTCTTGTTAAGTGTAAACGAGTTGTTGATACGTTTAACAGATTCTCTGCAAAAGTGACTGGTAATAACGAATCATCATCCTCTGATGTTTCTGATTCTTCTGATGAAGAAATAGATGAATCTATGAATGAACAAAAGAAAAGAATCCCATTTAATTTGCATAGTGTTTTCTTTTTAGATATTTTAGTTGATCAATCTTTTACTTCTACTTATGGGGTTAGCCTGCTGACTGCACCAGAGTTAAAAATTTTGACTGCTCTTAATAAATCTGTACGTCTTTACTTGGAAAACACTAAAACGGAGACTGCTAATGTTAAATTCCGAAGGGACCAAGAATTTTTACACAGGCATAAGGATCTCCATAGTATTCTTCTTAAAATCCAGAGACATTGTAAAATATTACCTTATAACCAATCAGATATTACTGCTGAAGAAGTATTTCTACCAACTACTAAGGTTAGACTTGAAAAGAGTGATTTTTTTGCTCAGCTGTTTAAAGATTATAGAGCAAAAAAAGACCCAATTTACATGCAAAGTTATGGCAAAGATAAGGATTTATGTATTTCCCCATATAGTACTGCCAACTGTAATACTGATGACAATCATAAGCTATCTGGATTTCTGCTGCTTCACAGAACAGAGAAGAGTCTGAGTAGAGATATGTGCATGTGCATTGGTCTTTGTTTTGAGAGTGTCTCGTTTACTCTTGGAGATTGTGTTGCGGAATTTGCCACAATAGGTAAAGAAATAGAATATACTGTTTCTGAGATGAAGTCTGAGGTAGATAGAGAACATGGTGAATTTTGTAGCACAGAAATGAAGGACAATCTCTTGGATATATTTGAATATATAAGTGCGGAAGTGAATAGTGTGTTCTCTGGTCTCAGTATGGCAAATCACCTCAGTAATATACCCATTGATTTAGGTAAACCTGTTGGTTTGACAGAAAATGAAAAGGCTTTGTCTCAATCAACAATAAGAGAAATGCGCGGTATAATGAAAGATTTACAGCTTTTGTTAAGAATTAATGAATTTAATGTTGCTAAATAATAATGTATGAAGCTTTTAATGTCCTGTCTGCGTATGCTTAATTTTAAGATTTGCTCGGTTTATTTTTTCAAATTCTGTTTTTTTTTTTTTTTCCCTCTTTCCCAATTTAATTACAAGGGTCTTTTTAGAATTATGATCAAAAATAGAATCTTTTTGTTTTTATTTAAACAAATTAATCTTTTCAGTTTATTATTTCATTAAAAATGCTTTTAATAAACAGTTGTCATTTTTTTATGTTTAAATTTTTAAAGCATAATTGTTTTTTTTTTCCTTTCTAGGATATAGTTTATTTTGAAAGGAAAAAACTCAGCCATTAAATATATTACCATTGGTGTCTTTTTTTTTTAGTAATTTCACACAATAATGTATGAAACTTAATGTCTTGTCTACACATGCTTAATTTTAAAATTTGCTCAGTTTATTTTTTCAAATTCTGTTGTTTTTTTTTCCTCTTCCCCAATTTAATTACAATGGTCTTTTTAAAATTCTGATCAAAAATGGAGTCTTTTTGTTTTCATTTAAACAAATTAATCTTTTCAATTTATTATTTCATTAAAAATGCTTTTAATAAACAGTTGTCATTTTTTAATGTTTAAATTTTTAGTGTATAATTGTTTTATTTTTCCTACAATATTGTTTATTTTGAAAGGAAAAAACTCAGCCATCAAATATATTACCATTGGTGTTTTTTTNTTTTTTTTTTTTTTTTTTTTTTTTTTTTTTTCACAACTTTGGTGAACTAAAAATATAAAGATTTTTATATACTACTTGAGATTAAGTAATTTATTTATTCACTTATAATAATACTGTATTATTATAAAATGTTGTATAATTTAATGATAATGTATTAAAAATACAATGCATTGTAAGATTTTAATATTGACATTTTTATGCTAATAATTCTTAAGCTTCATAATACAAATAATTTTCTGTATGCAATAATTGAATTATGACAAGAATTGTAGTTGTCCTGATATTCCTGATAAAAATTATTTTGTCCCGAGATTTAGCTTTTGGTTCTGATTCTCCTGAATTTATTCCAGTAATCAGTAGAAAATTTTGAATCAGTAGAAAATATCGGTGATAACCGAAGCTGGTGTGAGCAGGGGGTATCAGCCCCGGAAGTCAAGTCATAAAAACTTAAAACTTTTTCTATCGAGAGAGCACAACAAATGTCTAAATTTGCCTTGAACACGCTAAAACAATAGTGTTGATAAACATGTTATCACAGTGTATTTTTTTAAGATAAAACTTGGATGCATTGCAGGGAATACTGGAGATCAATGGAAGGGACGTCACATATTTCACCACCAATGGGTTAAGCAACAAATTGCGCACAGGCAAAAATATTTTGTATATTCGAATTTAAGATGCATCATATATATTAATTTTCAGCAATAAAAAAAAATGCCTTTTTTGAGTCGACAATATGAAAAAGAACCTGACTATTTCAAAGCATTATTCAAAGTTTTTTGGAGAGAAAAAAATTTCTTCTAATTTTTTTCTCTTTGCTAGGCATTTTAAAAAGTGCCTCATTATCTGTCGAAACTAAAAAAAGAAAAAATATTTTTCAAATGTAAATTGTTCTGCTGAAAAAGTGTGATACGTTAGAAAGAAATTTAAAATTTTCTTAGGTGTCTTTTTTTTACTCCATATTTTTAATCCATTACAGCTTTCAAATCTTGCTCATGTCATTCTTTTCATCATTGAAATTTTATGAGTTTAAAAGCCGTAAACTTTCATTGTAGACTTTTTTTTTATCAAAAATAATAAGGTTAAATTGTTTTCTGAGGTGTCCGGCGAAGTGGGTATATGATTAGGCTTAGCTAAGTTTTGTTTTTTGTTTTTACATCTGTGCTAGTTTTAGTAAGTGTCTAACGCTCTATATTTTATGATGAAATCCCTGAAAAATAATTTACTACTTTGTTTATAGTTCTTTATATTAATTATGGTGCTCAAAATAAAATTTCTTTTAAAGAGAAAAGGGGGGAAACAATATAACAGACATATTATACAATCAAAAAATTACCAAAATAGCTTAATGGAACAACTAAATGAGCATATTTAAAGATGTAAATATATGAGTTTTCGCAAGTTTTTGTATTCATATACCAGTTTTTCAAGGAAAACAGAACAATTTCCTTAAAATAACTGTATTAAACAAAAGTACATGTCTGCTATAAATATTAAAACTGCTTTAAATTACCCTTATAGATATAAATTTTCGCTCTATCATTTATATTTCAAATAAACCAAAACTATTATACTTTTCTTGCTTTTTGATGAAATTGTGTAGAGTTCAAAATATACTCCATCCAAAGTGAAACCTAATTTTGACATCCATAAACATTAACTCTTTTATTTGATAATAGAAAAAAATGTATTATATAAAGTGCATCAAAATTTCCAGTAAAATAAATTTAATGGTTTGGTTTTTGAGCCTTTGAAAAAAAAAAATTTGATTTTATACCCATTTTCTCCCACTTGAACCTATGCTTTTTTTTTCTCTCCTTTTTTTTTAAAGCAAACATTAGATTTTTTATGTACTTGTTGAACTCAAATGTTATCTTTAAGGCTTTGAAATTTGTTGATTTTTGAAAATCTTTGTTTGATGTGTTTTATGAACTGTTAATAAATTTTTTTCTCTCAATTTAGTTGTGTAGTAAATTCTGAAAATTTTGGACTTGTCTCTTTAAACTGCACTTTCTTATATGGAGTACATTTAAAATACTTACTAACAGGGCTCGAAAAACGCCCGCCTGCCAGTCCTAGGCAGTCAAAAATTCCCCGCGGACAACGAATTTCTCAAATCCGACGTCCGCGTGGACAGCCATTTCCCCTTTAATGTTCATGATGTATTTTCAGTTTTTGTTATCTTACAAGCATAGATATAAAGGCCCTGCTTACAAGAGACTAGCGCCTCACTTCTAAAATGACCCTCCAATCTAGAAATACAGCAACATACTGCGCATGGTGGAATTAATGTTTCCTCTGTACTGGCTTTAAACAAGAAGCGTTAAACGCAATTATGAATATCTACCTAAATGGAAAACCCCTTTCAGATTTCTGTGCAGAAACCTCTGTAAGTCAGTGGCTTGATTGTGGAACTGGCAAACGTCTTATTTGATTCATTTAAAAAAACGCATTACCCTCAGATAAATTGACATTCCAGATAACTTGACCTTTGTCATTTAAATTATTTCATAAAAGAAATAAATTATTTCATAAAAAAATTAATTATTTCACAAAGGAAATAAATTATTTCATAAAAGAAATAATAGGTTACTATTTGTACCTAGTATTTCTTTTATTACTGTATAATGTAATCCTAGTAACTACTAATTCATTGTACAATTTATATAAATATTTGTAATAAATGGGAGAAAATTATATTTTTATTTGTTGAGAAGCTACGGGTTAGTTTCAAAAGAGGATGGGTAAAATTTCTGAGTTTTTTCGAGCCCTGCTTACTAAATAATTTTTGTAAAAATCAACTTTTTGCTAGTATACTATTTTTGAGATTTTCCTTGGATAATCTTATTCTTTCTTCGGGAAGATTTCTACTTGGGTTTCTGGTCTAAAAATTTTTTAAATAAGTTCCAGATTATAATAAACCCCAAAGGGCAACTCATAGCTACTTCCAAGCAAAGCACTATAATATTTCCATCAAACTTATTCAAATAAAAGAATCAGACTGTTTTACATGGCAATTTCATTCGACAAAAACTTGTATTTGTAAATTTTCCTCAGTAAAGTTATTTTTATTAACTAATTGCATTTTTTTTAAAAAAACATAATGGTGCAACAAACCTGAATTCCTTACTAATGTTTGCTGATTTATAGAAAAGCACAGGAAAATTTGGGTAGTCAACGTAGAAGTACCCATGTGGCTTTATTGTTGCACTATGCATCATAGTGCACTTTTTTAAAATTTTATTTTATAACCATAGTTAAACAGCCGACCCAGTTTTTTGGGTTTAACGCTAATAATGTTCAACTCCGCAGACTTGTAATTTTGAGCCTAATCCAGCAGACTCCTGGAAGAAATTTTTCCCTCATGTAGGACTTTTTGATGGAACTAACCCGCATTTGTGTTACATGGAGAGGAAAACCTTCCACAGTCAACCTGATGGCAAGAGGACCCTAACCCATGATCCCTCTACCATGGAGGATATTTTACGTCAGCACTGTGGTCGGTGCGTGCCGGGTGCGGAATTCGAATCGACCAGCTGTCGCTGAGATCGAACTCGGGTCACCTCATTGGGAGGTGAACGCTCTTTCCCCTGAGCCACCAGGGGTCATCATAGTACACTTGCAAAAGTTAGTTAATACAAAAAATACTTAATGTTTCCAGGGTAACTTAAACTGGCTTACCAACATTAGAAAATCCTCACGTAAATTTATAATAACATTTTCTTTACCTTAATGTAGTTTTCAAAGTGAATAAGCTAACTTTGATTAAAAACAGTTTTAAGCAAAGGTGGCATTAACTTAGGACAAGTAATTCAAATTAAAACATACCATATTTTTCATAAGCTGTTTCTGCTTGAAATACCAATATATATGTTTGTATAAAACTGAATGACACTGAAGGCTCTTGTATTCATTCTTTTGATTTTTAAGTTTATGTTAAAGTTGTCAAGAATACAGTCCTCTCCATGTTGAAGAGCTCAAATTCTCTTGGAGAAGTCATGGCGGCAATATCCCTATTTTTGCCAAAACTGTAGTGAAACTTCTGTTAAACGGACACTTTTGGGGACCAAAAAAAAAAGTTTTCTGTTTACTTACAGGAAGGGTACCCTAATGAAGAAGTTTAACACCGTAAGTTGTTTTTAGAATATTTTTAATGATATAGAAATAATAAAGTAATCTACAATAATTTTCTACAAGAATATTTAAAAAATATATATATTTTTTTATACAAAAAGAATATGTGAAACAGTTTGATATAAATACATAATTCTAGATGTAGCTACATGAATATAATTTTCCCATTAACATAGATATTCAAGTTAGTCCTATGATACTGAATAGGAGCTTTTAGTCCTTAGTCGGTTTCAATTATTAGGCTTACGCCTCCTAACACCTTCCCATCACTTGATAGAAAAGGTGGTAAATACCTCATTGAAAGTAAACCTCCCATGATCCACAGAAGAAAAAGAAAGCAATTCATACCTGTAAGGCACCTATGGAGTTGATCTATTTGCAGTTGATCATCTATCAAGTGTCTGAATAGATATTTCATTTATATGAACGCCTCAAAGATTATATTTCTGTTATCTTTTTTCTACCCCAGAATTGATAAGAAAATGAACGAAATTTTCAGTGAGGAAGAAGCATTTAAGACATCATTTCAGCTTGCAGGATCTCATAACCTGTGTAATACGGAGGAAAGGATCAAAAGATGCCGTTGTTCAAATTTCAGATGGAAATTAAAATGTAATTTTTATAAAATAAAAAAAAATTGTTATTATTTCAGGACCCTTTTTTTTTACCAGAACCACTCAAGGAAGTTATAATTTTTATTATATATTATTTTAACTTCTTGCTTAAAACATTCTTTATTTAAATTACTTCAATTTAAAAAACAAATTTTTTTTTTAATTTTTAAAAAAAAAGTGATTTTAGTGCAAAATTGTGATCTAATGTTTGTTAATTCCAGATTCGTGCTTTCTTTTTCTTGTGCTATTAATTTTGAATTTTTCTTTTTTTGGTGTAAATACTATAATTATACTATTTTAATATGTGCAAAATTTATATAATATTTTTTTTTCTCTCAGGTTGGTTTTATTATTGAATATGATGGCAATTTTTTGGTACTTGGCCTTCATTACATAAGCTTTTTCAGAAAATAGTGCTAAAAAAAATGGGTATAAGAATTTATTTATTTATTTCTGTTACATATTTTTATGATAATTTATATATATTTTATGTGTGATTATGCGATTTTTAAACTTAAGTTTAACTTATAAATCAACTTCAACCAATAAGTGTCCTGAAATAAATATAATAAACTATTATGTTTATTGCATTACTATTACATTAGTACATTGCATTATTGTTACTAATAGTATCTCATGTAAGAACGTTTTGCAACATTTCTTATCAAAGATAATTTTGAATACGAACTAATGCAATATTATTGCGTTTAGATAGTTTATTTGCTGTAGTTTTTGAAAATTTATTTATGATTAAATAAAAATTGATCTTTTACTATGTAGTTAAGATTATTACATACTTTAAAAATGTTTTCATTAAACTGAACTCAATGGCGCAACTGCCCACTTACGTTTTTACTAGGTAAAAATTTATGCAGGTAGCAAATTAGAGATTTGCTACAGGTGCAATTTTCCTTAGATATGCTTAAACTTTTAGCAGTTCTGAATGACTAGGAGCATGAGAGCATATTTTAATTTGGAAGAAGTGTAATCCCATTAGACATTCAGCGCAAAGCAACCCACTGTTATAAGCAAAGACTCTACGCATCCTACGGCAAGATATTAAGCGAGTAGCTTCTGTGAATGTTTTCATTTACATTACTTTTTTTTGTTTTGTTTTTTGCTTATTTTAAATAATTTTACACGCTTATTTATTTATTTTTCTAGATCCTGATCTTTACTATAAGCTAATACCCTCTCCCACGTTCTGGACTGGACTTACCATAGATTATGATACAATTTTATTTGAGTCATCTGTTCAGTCACTTCTTGATTTGTGTTTGGATAAGCTTGTGAGTAACGAGCTCCATATAAGATGTATTTATAGAAGAGTACCCCCAAAGTTTCATTTCTTATTACTGAAAAAAGCTTTTATTGAAGGTAAGGAAGATTCTCTTTTGAATCTTTGTTTTCAAAATGAAATAAAATTCTAGAAAGTTGTGAATATTTTATTGTTTGATTATATGTATGGAAACTAACTTCATTGTTTCTTTGCAATCAGTGAAAGCTTAAAAAAACATGAATAAAATTTCATACAAAATATAACTTGTGGGTTCAGTGAAGTCTTTCTGTTAGTGTTGAAGTTCGGAATAAGAGTTACCAACTTGTGGTGCCAACTAAGTCATCTACATAGAATTGTAATTAAATTGTATTTTTTACATTACTAATTAATCATAAACCAGGCTTCAAAAAGTACTGTATGTGTGTGTACACTTACACAAGCCAATTACTGTTTTCATTTATTTAAACTGGCGAATAAGTCAGCAAAAATCATTTTCCAGTCTTTTAAAATGTTTTTAGATATTGTGAAGTTTTCGAATATAAGCCAGTCCATTTAAAAGCTGGGAGTACCTTTCTTCTTTGAAAATTTACCCAAAACTCACAACCCAAATACCAGCTAACGTTATCAAAAATATGACACACTGTCTTTGTGAGTTTTCATGTGAGTTGTTTTAAAATTCTCTTTTTGACTACCCAGGCATCTTAATGTATTTCTTTACCTTTGTTCTGAAAGTCCTACCTATTTTTTCTGTAGCACTTATTTTATTTTTTTCTTTCTTCATCCAATCCTTTCAATTTACCGACTCACATTGACATCACGAGCAGTTCAACTTGATAAAAAGCCAAAGTAAATTAGACACTAATAGCATGTTTCACTTTGTCTGTTACGATTTTCTCTTTTTTGTTTAATGATTTTCTAAAAAATTATTACTGTATGCCTGTGTTATAATTTCTATTTTTTCCCCAGGTAGATTTCTGTCGATTATACCTCTCTTGATTCATTATCCTGAACAATACTTTGATATTCCAATTCCCAATAGTCTACGAAATTGGTCTGTGTTTTTGTCAAATTCAGATAATAATTATAGCCTTATGAAACCTGTAGTAAGCTTCATTCCTGCAGTGATCAGAGCATTCTTTACTAATAGCAATTCTAAATTACGTATACTTGATATGAGTCAAGTATTTATTCGTAAGTAAAAACTTCATAATTTTTGGCATTATTCCACTTCCACTTGATGAAATAACTAGTATTGCTAGCATATATAATAAACTAATAATCTAATAATGAAATAAACATATATTGCTGTACTATGGCAATATTTGTTATAAAGTTTGGTGGTTAGTATCAAAACTAACTCTATCCAATTTTTCGTAACAAGTTAATTTGGTTTTTTATTTTGTATGCTATGTGAAATATAATATAATGTAAATATGTAATTTATACAATACGCATTTGATAAAATACATAATTACATTATTAAGCATATTATATTATACACTGCACTATTTTTGTTTTGTTAATATGTATGTTTACATTATAATTAAAAATCTTCTCTATGTAACATTGTAATACATTTTTACAAAAAGTGAAAGTGTCTGAATCAGTAATAAAAAACATGAAGTGATGTCCAACAAAGGAAAGGGTAATATTTTGTGCTATCTAAACTAAAGCAGAAAAGCACTTTGGATAAAGCACAAATGAAAATACACAAATAGACAAACTATAGTTTCAGTTCTATTAACAAGAACCTTCTTCAGTGTCTAAATATAAGAGAAAAAAAGGCGTGAGAGTATTTACTTTGAACCCCAGAGGTCAACAGATTAAATTGAAGTGGATTTCTAGATATTTGGAAATGATGGGATGCTTTATAGATCATTAATTAAACTATTAAATTTTTCGAAATTTATAATGACTCCCAAAACTCGAGTTAGGAAGGTAAAGTGCTATGTTGAATGACTTTAGTAGAAGATCGGGAAATGTCCTTATTTTGGATTTATCTTTCGTGTTCTTTAAGTCGATGTTTAAAGGTATGTTTAGTTTGTCTAATACATGCAAGACCATATTGACATAAAATTTGATAAATACCCCAGCTATACCCCAACCTTACTATAGAACTATTAATATCAACAATAGAGTCTTTAAACGTTTTGCGACGAGCTTTTTTTTCTTCTGCAGAGCAATTTTGGTAGCATAAACTATGAGTAGGATACACTAGAATGCTAAAACTATAATGTTATATTTTTAGAAAGATTTTAAACACTGATTTAGGACCAGGCCATATATATCCCATCAGTCCTGACAACTGGGACACATGTGTCCCAGTAGTCTTCAATGAGTAATTTTGTAAAGAAGACCAATGATCACATAGGACTGTTGGGACATGTGTTCCCACTATCCAGGCGAGAGGGACACATATGACCCGATAATGAAAACTGAAGTAAAACTTTGCCACTTACCAGTTTATTAGAGGTAATCCACTTCGTGAGTAACTTCTCTGGCTTTAGATTTATAGATCAATCGAAAGTAGGCGGTATTTTCCAAAACTAAACTATTTAGGTTTGTACAGTATGGAATGAGCTGCTACAATGCTTCAAAAACGCTGGAATTGCATTATGTACGGTAGTGCCATCTATGCTCTGTGAATGAAAATGCCTTTAAAAATATTGGCAGGACTGGTTGGAAAGTCTCCCATTAGACAGAGAAGCGTTTCTGTACCAAAAGATTTTTTTGAAATTTGTTTGGGTCGTACGTGTCCCGTTAGGCGTGAAAGGATTAAGGTTGGTGAATTTAGTTTATTTACAGGGGGGCAGGGGGAATGAATTTTATCTCAAAAATAATGGTACATTTTTTTTCCTTTATGAAGTAATGTAACAAAACACTTAAAATTTATTTTGAATGGAAATAATCTTTCTTTCTTTTTCTTTTCGATACTGGCATTGTAATGGTACTGCTGAGACACATGTGGTGCTGTATATTATAACACTTAATTCTAATTTAACAAAGGGGTAACTCAGTAACAAAGAAAACACATTGGGAGCTAGCTTCCATAGACATGACTTAAACTTTACCTCAAAGGTTACTACTGCGCATGTGTGTGTATAAAGGGAAAAGCAACATTTCAGAGCATAGCAGCAGAGAATTTTCTTGAAATTGAATGGGTCTGCACTCACCTCTCTTAGAAGGAATGTTCTGTTACTGCACTTATGCACTATTTATTAACAGTACTGTACTATGAATTTTTTTTTTTTAAATTTTTTTCTATCCCACCTTTGTTAATTATATCTGTAGCACATTTTGGGATAGTATAAAAAAAATTAAATGGTGGAAGGCAGCATACTCAACTAACAACCAGTTCTTTTGACAATCATTATACTTCTTATGCGTTTGCACTGAACCTTAGTACATTTGTTGCTCTGTTAAATTTGAGTATGTTGCTCACCCTGCAAGTTGTTTTTCTCGCATAACATTGTGTACTAAGCAGTTCCTTGCATTGGTAACGTGTCCGAAAAGCTGGATTTCTTCTTATTTATATATCCTTCGATAGTAGTATCATTTTAATGTCACAACGGTTACCCTGAAATATTTAAAGATATTTTGATATTTAAAGTTGTCATTTAATATCTTTGCTCTAATGTTACATGTATTAAAACTGAAGTAAAGATTTGTACACTTGTACCCATGTCCAAGCTATTCCTTTACTAGATTTCATTCTTTACCAAAAAAAAATCAGCTACATAATCAAATTTAGTCTACCGTTTTTAATTTTTCAGTTTTTGTTAAACAATGCAAAAAATTCAGGTTCAAAGTACTCTTTAATTGCAAGTGTTAATTTTTTATCTAATTATTTAGTGGACTGATCTAGGCTATCTTAAATTTTTTAATAATTTTTTTTTTCTATAAGGAAATAGTGAAAATTCTATCAGTGTTAAACTTGATGTTCCTAAAATGAATATTTATAAAATAACCTGTTTGAGTACACTAATTGTTGTTGCATTAGCAGAGCAAGCACAGTAGTGAGTGAAAGTGTTAACTCCTATGAAGAAACTTGAAGATTTAAAATTTTTTTTTTATTACATACAGTACCATCTCGACACAGCATACAACTGAAAATATTAACTGTAAACACAGCTTAACAAAATATGGTACATCATCACCGGAAACAACAACATAGTGAAGAGACGCATGCTTACAACAATGCATGTCTTATATACAGATTCCATAATGATATGTACGGATGACGTCACTTACGTTATCTGAAAATAGTGTATCTATTGCCAACACACGACAGAAACTAAATTCTGTTAATTTAATGTATTCAGAAGAGTAAAAACCACTCCAACACTAATTTTTCCCATCTATCGACATTTTAAAATAAATTTGACTTGTTATTGATTAAGTAGAATCCTCCACCTAAAGTATTCTGCGATATAGGTAGCAGAACGATTTTTTATGTCTTTATTGTGATAATATTTTCTAATTTTTTTAAGGATTTATTTACTGTCAATTTTTTTTATTATGTAGGCTTTTAATTAATTATTTGAGGCTCCTTTTTTGAAATTTACATTTGTGAAATAATTTCGAAAAATATCAAGTATTGTTAAAATAATTTTTTTTAAACTTCTCATTTAAGAAAAAAATGCTAATGATTTTAGTGAGAGTTGTTTGATTATTTTTGAAGGTGCCTATTGAACATTTGTAGTTATAAAACATCCCATTGGTGAACATAATTCTCCTTATAAATAACATTAGTGCATCAACGTCACATTTTCTAACTTTATGTGACAGCAACACCACTCTTTTTATTCAGACAACGTTACAGGGTATCTTATAGCTCATTGCAGTTCCTTTAATCATTGTAGTTTGTCTTTTGCTTCCGTTTGTTATACACTATTTTGTTCTTTTTTATAAGCTGATTTATTTTCACAAAAGAGTGTTAAATTGTTTGTATTTTATGTTCAGTTATAATAGCTCTGATGTCTGGAGACAATGAAGGATAGTTATCTACAGTGTCGATAGCTAATTAAAAGAGTAAACTACAAGTATAAGCTTTCAAGCAGTAGCCTGAGTATTATCTTGTTTCTTATTCCAACTTCATACTTAATGTGACGAAAAATCAAGATTTATGAATACCATGGTAGAGATAAAGTGGGGAGAGTGGGAGAATTACATAAACTTGAGACGTAATTCTATATACATAATTCTGCTACTTGGCATCCCACAGCAGCTTTCAAAATTATTTAATTTTTTTATATGTCATATAAAATTATGAAAAATTCTTATGCATAAAATGTATATTTCATCTTGTTATATGCTTTAAATATTTTATCATATTGTATCTTTTTTTCAGCCACTGTTTTGTTGAGTGATTTTTTATCATTACTTCAAGAAGATTCTTTTCAGATAAGTTCACCTAATCAGACTTGTATGTGATATTTTCTAATTTCATATATTTCAATTTTCTGCTTTTCTTCTTTTTTTTGTTGTTTTACCCAGGGTTGGCAAGATTTTGCCGCAGGGGGAAAAAACCATGGTGAAAACCGTCCTGGCAAAAGCAGATTTTTGCCAAGCAAAGTGGCAAAAACCTATATTTTCCAAGATGAGAGGACAAAAAAAATTAAAAAATTTATTATTCCATAATTAAATCATAATGTATTAATATATGATTTTAGTAGTAGTAATTTTTTAAATTTGCGCAAATTCAATACTTTATTCATCATCACAATACAATTTGTGCTGTCTCAACATAGCATAACAGAACACTAGTTTTGAAACATTATTTAGAGTCAACCTATTCCGAATTTTAGAATGTATAAATGAAAAATTCAAAAACACTCTTTCAATGGCAGTACTACTAGAAGGGCATGAGTGTAAATGAGACATTAATTCCCAAAATTCTCTGGAAATTTCACAGTAATTTAAATTGTGTGGTTTTGTTTCCATTTTGAAGTAATATTGAGCAATGAGGTGATTATCAAAATCTGTCTAATAAAACATTCATCTTAGCTATCTTATGTCTCTCTTTAAATATAGTGTAAGAGTGATATAATGTAAAATAATACATACCAAAAGTTATTATGAAGAAGTGGAATAAAAATAAAATTTCTAAAAAAACATTTATTTAAGGACTCTAAAATGAAAAAAGGACAAAAACTTTTAATCTTTTAAAAATTATTACCCTTATATTAATTATTAATATATTAAAAATAATTTTTTCATGTAATGTATCAAAATNGAGAACAATTACCTCCTTATGATTGATTTAAATTTGTTTCAAGTATTTTGTAATAATATTTAATCAGCAATTTAGATAATTTGGTTTTTGCCTGTTTTTACCAGTTTTTGCTGGTTTTTACCAGGTTTTTGCCACTGTTCTGGCTAAAACTCCAACACTGATTTTACCTATTGTTATAAAATTTATTCAAGCAGAATAATTTCTTATTATAGTTTATCTTTATGTGTCTTAAGTCATTTATATTGTATTTGTTTATTTATAAATTGAAAGTAATGAATGAAAATGAATATTTTATGAACATAATAATGGGTATTATATACAATAACCCTCACAACAATAGAACTTGCAAGAGAAGCACAGGCATTCAATGATTAACTGCTTTTTTTTTTATTTTTAAGTTTTTTGATACATCTGCGCTATAACAATTATGTAAATGTATCAAAATCCTAATATCCTGCTTTCCGGAATCGCAAAAAAATCTAAAATTCAACTTAACTTGTTCCAGTTTACCAAATTTTTATGATTTATAGTTCTGTAGACTTGTAGATTTTGTTAGTCTAGGAAAATAGTTGAATTTTCATTATCATATGTTGTTTGCAATTCTAAATTTGTACTGCTTTTGTTGATTGATTTTTTTCCCCTGTTGCCCTATTCCAGAGATATACTTTAAGACATTGTAAAGATATACTGAAAGAAATAATATTATACCCTATCATTGGTATCTATGGTGGGTTGCATATTTTAAGGCCTTTGTAAAATATACGTTAGATATTATTAATGATTTTTTATCAAAATATAAATTGACGTAAAGGTAAACTATGCGCTTTGATAAGAACTATGTGCTAAAAACATTTTTAGGTGTTACTTAATTAAAAAACTTATTGGCTTCAAAAATGTGCAAATCGAATTAAAAATCAGCATGTTTTAAGCCCTCAAAAATAAGTGCTCAGTCTCAAGACTTGCCAGATGTGAATGAAAAAAAACATAAGTGATTTGAAATATAAAATGTTAAGTTACGTAAAAAAAAATGGAAAATTGACATAAAACATTTTGCTTTAATCAAATCCAGTTTAAACTTCTTTAAACTGATGTGTTAATTGATTGTGCAATTCTGTTTTGCTCGTTGGACATGCTCTTTTGTTTAATTGGCAGTATCTTTGTTGACCTGTGAAATAACAATATAATGTTTAGGATTTATATTCTTGGATAGTTGAACTATTGATTTCATCTTTTAAAAAAAAATCAATTTTTGTTTTCTTTTAATTCACACATATTCTCTCCCTTAATGTTTGCAGCCTTTTAATTTAAAAACTGATTGTAAGATTTTAAGTTTTTGCATACTTTCTCTTTCTACATAGACTTTCTATTTATGCCTTGCTACATAGACTTTCTATTCATAGACTTTCTATTTATTATATTATTATAATTAAATGTTTTTTATAGATACTTTGAAGGTACGTTTCATTTCCGTTTTCGAGGGAGACAGAAAGATCCTTTGTGACATCAAAAGAGTTTTGTTAAAGAATAAAAATATTAATATAGAGGTGATCGGTCTGCATATATTTAGTTTAAGTAATGAAGAACCATTTCTGGAACTTTTCCATGCAATGGATAAAGAAGTATGGGGGCTTTTTTTCTATTTTATCATTTTAGTAATTTTAAATAGTCATAGTTATTTCTACATTTTTTATACACTTTTAAAACACATGCTGCTTTTTATTTTTTACTACATATTATAAACTTTTTTAATATTATGTTTTCGAGTTACACTTTATGTACAGTTTGCAAAAAAAAATACAGCAGCTTTAATAACTTTTGATCTAATTATCATATTTTCTTACTTAATCTTAATAGTTCAAGGGCATAATGTTAAATATATATAATTAATTGGTGCAGATGGCATTTCAAGTTACAAAGTCAGCATATTTTCTTTGAATAAACATACAGTAGAGAACCATTTATCCGGTATCCAGATAACCGGGAAACCAGAAAACCGGGAAAAAATTTGCTCGATTTTTTCCGCCATTTTAAACTAGAACGAAAAAAGCGGAAATTGGACTCATCCTGGAAGTTGAGTAGAGGAAAATGTAAGGAAGGGGAAAAAAATTTCCCCCGTTTATCCAGAGAAACGTCATTTCCTCCATGACCTTGAAGGCAGGGAAGGGAGGAATGTTTTATTTTTTCCTTTAGGCCGTCAATCAAACTCAAGGGTGTGGCATGCTGATTTCGTTTTCTGCTTGATTTACGAGGGGGGTGGGGAAAATGCATTGCATGCATATCAGTGAACAGAAAAAGAAAAGAGAAAAATATATTTATTTGACATCGACTAATAAAAATAAAATCTTTTTCTTTTGAATAAATTCTCATTCTTTGGAAGTGCGGTATCAATTGCAAGTTTTTCTTGGTGTGGAATCACATCTGCTGTAATTAAAAATCTTGTTTTTATCAACAAAAAAAAAAATAAAATAAAAGGAGAATTGTTTATTAATTTAAACATAGGATTATTTTATGAAGCAGATTGCAGTTTTGTTTTTCTGATTCCACTACGTTTGATTTTTTTTCTTTTCGCGATAAATTTCGCACTCAATAAATTAATTCTTTTTATTCATAAATTTTATCATTAGGTTTTTTTTTTAAAATTCCGTTGATCTTGCCTTGTTCCGGGTTTTAATATTTATGCTAGTGCCTTTTTTAACTATCGTTTCGGTTCGATAATTTTCAAGTGTTTTTATTTAGATTAATAAGTTTTCCTTTTATTTTATCGTTTCCCCCCGTATAATTAGGTATGAAATATATTGCGTTATTTAATCATTGGTTTTGTTTATATTATTTAATTTAGGAATTGTAATTATTTTTAAAAAATAAATATGAGAATTTTGTATTTTTTAAACTTGATTTTCTTGTCTAAACTTGCGAATTTTTTTATTCTTTTAAATGTTATATTTCTACCATTTTTTTTTTTTTTTTTTGAGTTAGGAGTACCTTTCTTTTTTCTCTTACTTTATCCATTACACTTTTTCCTTGTACTTCGGGTTCGATAAACATCGATTAACGACACTTTTTGGTCGATCCAGAATACCGGGAAATTCAGATATCCGGGATTGCGATGGTCCCGAGCATCCCAGATAATTGCTTCTCTACTGTACTTTTTTTTCCCAAAAATTTGAATGTATGTGCCTCAAAATATGGGTTGCACGCACAATCTGAAAAATTCTGTCTCAATAGTTCTCAATATTAATTTTGGATTTTGAGAATTTTGACATATTTCTGGAATTAATTTAGTCAATCTAAAAGTTTTTACACGCAACTGTATGTAAAGATAACTGCATGTAATAAATTATTTTTTATTTAATATAGCAATGATTGAATAAATTTTAATTTTTAAGATATTTTTACACATTTTGAGATATTTTTGAACATATTTACTCCAATTTCATGTATGTAAATTAATCCATTCAATCCCAAATTTAATGGAAAGTGGTCAAATAATTCTTTAAAAAATTAAAGTTTATAAATAAAACTTTCTTTGAGATTGCAAAGTAAGCAAAAAGAGAAATGAACATTAAAATGCTTAAAATTTCAACCCCTCTTTTGCCCGAACTATGGGAACCATATTTTGAAGATTAAAAATTCAAATCTGTTTAAAAAAAATTTTAAAAAAAGACATGCTTACGTTAATATACAGAGAAAGTATGTTTTTGTGTCTGATTTCCTAACTTCAAAAATGTTTTTTGTTTATGCTAATGTCTTTGCTAAAATAATGTTTTGTTATGCTTATGCTAATATAATGCTAGAAAATCTTAAAAAGTAAATCTTGAAGAAAATCATTAATTTTATCTCTTTTTTTTTTTTTTAAAGAGTAGCATAATGTCCAAGCTATATGTTGCAACTGTAAGAAAAACTAAATAAACTTTCTTAACTTTATATGTTTTTAAGTAGACTAAAAAAGAGAAAGTAACACTAGAACAGAATTTAAAAATGTTCTAAGGATGGCCTTGGCCCATATAGATCTGTCAAGTCAATTAAGACGAGGAAGAAAAAGAGAGAAAATAATTTTATTTTTGTCAGATCTAAAGGATAAGATGCATCAAAGTCATTAACAAAATTTCTGATGATCATAGTTTATTATGTAAGTGTTGTTACAATTGTTGTTATAGGTTTGACAAAAATTAAATTGTTTTCTATTTTAAGTCATCTTCAAAAATAAATTTATTTTCTATCTTTTAGTAAATCTAAACCAAAATAAAATTATTTAATCTACTTATACAAAAATTAAATATCATATGACTGTTTTCTGTATATTTGAAAAAAAGTACCTAGTTTTTAAAATTTTTATTTTAATATTTTCTTTTAAAACTTATAACTATAGTTATATTTTCTGTTAGTTTATGTCAGAATGTGGGAAAAATTTAAATTAGCAATAAATTTTACACCCGTCATTTAGGAAACAAATATAATTATTATTGGCATCAAACACAATTTTTGATCATAATGGTCAGAAAATAATCGAAGCTTCTATTGTCATTTAGAACAGAGCTCAAACTCAGTCTGGTCTAATCTGGAATCTGCATGCGATAAATTTCTATGTATTATGAATATGGATTGTCTATTAAAGCATCTACACCAGATAACTATTCTCCTAAGCCAAATTTGTAAATTGTGCAACATAAGTGAGGAAATTAATACCCATCCCTTGATTTGCTGCCCTGTATTCAATGCTGGATCACATTGGGAGAAATATTGGGAGGCTAGACACAAATTAGAATCTATGGACTGTACTATAAACTGATTTCATTTGATCTCTGTTGTCCTGTAACGCTTATGTATGTATGTATATATATATATTCTATTTGAGGCAAANACACAATGACAAAGCTATTCCCTACATTCTTATCAGTTTCATAGTTCATCTAAAGGTTCACATTCCTTTGCTCACACCTGTTCCTGATAAGTCACCTTTCTTTGTAACAAAGGAGTGATGAAGGTCAGTGGTCAGTACCCATACATGTGTTTGTAAGGGCAAGTTAAAACTAAATAAGACATTTTAAATAAAATTTTAAAAAATTGAAATTAGGAGTGGAAACTTCTTAAACGGGAAAAAAACTTCTTATAAAAGTAAATTTAACATTATGGTAATTGGTTTTTTTAAAAAATAACTTCTTACGCGGGAAAACTTCTTAAAAGGGAACTTGTTAAGCGGGTTCCACTGTATATATATTCTATTTCGGGCAAATCGGTGGCTAAAATTATTTACTAAAAGATTTTCTTTGTTAATTTATATAATTTTTCCATGTGCTAATCCATGGCTAAATTTATTTACTAAAAAATTTCTTTGTTAATTTATATAATTTTTCCATGTGCGAATCCATTTTGGGTAAATCTGTGGCTAAAATTATTAACTGAAAAAAAAAATTATTTACTAAAAAAATTATTTACTTAGAAAATTATTTACAAAAAAATTATTTGCTAAAAAAATTATTTACTAAAAAATTATTTACTAAAAAATAATTTACTAAAAAATTTTTTTGTTAATTTATGTAATTTTTCCATGTGTAAATCCAATTTGGACAAATCCGTGGCTAAAATTATGTGCAAAACAGGCAATTCATGTTTTTTTTCTCTTTTTTATTTTTTTCTTAAACAAATATTTATTTTCTGTAATTATTGTCAACTTATTTAAATTATCCAGTATAATATTACCTTGCACGCATCCATTTCGGGCCCATCCTTGGTTACTAATAAATCAAACACACTTCAGTAATGCAGTAAGAACGCACTTTAATACAAAAATCCTCTAGTTTTGCTTTTATCTCAATTGGCGCTTTTGTTTTCATTTTTTGCAATCTTGTTACGAAAATATTTTAAATCATATTTGAAAAATGTCCCGTTCATGTAAGTTCATTTGAATTCGCTACTCGCTTTTTTGATTTCTTTTCATGTTTTATTCTGTTTTTTTTTCTTTATATTTTATTTTCTGTTTTTTCGTGATATTTTTTCTTATTGTGTTCTACTTTATTTGTTGTAAAATTTTTTGAGTGCTCCTCACACTATTGAATTCATATATTTTGCTTTGGCTATATTGATACTATATTAGAAAGCACTCTTTTTTGTGGATATAATCGTGTGAGCTGATGAAAATATTAATTTTTTTTTTCTGGATTTTTTAAAATTTTTGTCCTTTTTTCCGGATTTTTCTTTTTCCTTCCGGTTTCTTGTTATTTTATTTTCCCCTTGTTTTCTCTACATTTTACATATATATATACATATATAAATATATATTGTATATATTGTGTGTATGTATATGTATGTATATATATATTGTATGTATGCATATATATATTCCAGTAAAGGAAGGTTGATTTATTTATTTATTTTACAGGAACTTCTTCATTTTTCTCTTGAATTAAGTAAGCTCATTGATATAGCAAGATTTATCCCAGAATTGCAGCTATTTCGTAATCTACAGACACTAAATTTAGCATATTTTCAAAATGGGATAGCCTTAGATTCTAATTATTCGACTATTCTAGCTTGTGCCTTAAATAGTTTTATTCATCTCAAGCAATTAAGCTTGAGAGCATGTTGCTTGAGTAACTTATTACGAAAGCTTTTAAAGCATAATTGTGACCAAATATATACTTGCACGAAAAGTAATAACTGTCTGATTAATTGTTGTGTTGTACATCGTGGGAAACTAGAATATCTAGATGTTTCAAGCTGCAAACTGAAAAATGATGATTTCCTTGTACTGAAAGAATTTTCCTTTGCCAGTTCTTTAAAGTATTTAAATCTGGGACACAATTATTGTGATGTGACAAGGTATGATTCTTTCAAGATTTATTTTAAATTAAGTTATTAATGTGCATTAATAACTCAATTTATTATATTTTTATAACTATATTTAAATCTGTATCAAACTTTGAAAATTTTTAAAGCTATTAAATCTTTGATCTTATAATTTTGAGGAGCATGTACATACGTATTTGAGTGTAAATTTATGTGATTAATAATTATTTAAAAATCACAGAATTGCCATTTATAGATGCTTTTTATGCTCTCTTGAAATCAATTGATTCAGTTACAAAATCTACAAATAATACTTAAACATTAGCTGAGTTACATAATAAATATTAAAAGCTAATTACTTTTGTAGATTATAACTGGTTTTGAAACTGTTTTTTTTTTACTTGTAACCTTAATGTACAGTCCGCAAAAAAAAAAAGATATCACCCTAAATAACTTTCGTTCTAATGATCGGATTTTCATGAACTAAGTGTCAATCTTAATGGTTCCGGGGGGTGATCTCAAATATGCTAATTAATTAGCGCTAACTATTAATTAAGTTGCGAAATCAGTCACGAAAACGTACTTTCTCTGAATAAACATATAATTGTTTTTTACATATTTGGATTCCTTATCTTCAAAATATAGAGGGTAGCCGCAATCTGGGAAATGTGGTCCCCATAGTTTGTTCAGGAGAGCGATTCAAAGTTTGGATCCCTTAATGTTAATTTTGCTTTTTGCGTTTTCAGTCATATTTTGAAAACTAATGAAGCAATTCAAAAAAAAATTGCACCCACTCATAAAACTCATTTACCCAAAGATAATTTCATGAAAAAAATAATTTTTAATAATTATTTATTATTTTTTATTATTTAATTAAATTGAGGATGAAAAAATATTGAATTATAAGGTATGGATTTTTTTATACCATTTTAATCTACATATTTTTCAATTGAAAAATCTGAAGTTTCTACTGTTTTAATTTATTAGAAGATGAGAAAAATTAAAATAAATTAGTTTTAAAAAAATAATTTGGCGACAATGAAGAAATGATTTAATGGGGTGATTAATATTAAAATGTGATAAACTTTCAAGGAACTTGACTTAGCGCGCATGGCATAAAATTTCATTAATATTTTTTTCGCTAATAAGCGTTTGCTAATCTTTTTATTTTTATTTTTTTAAAACTATAAAATACGATGTTTCTTTTTTAGTCGTCTAAAATTCTATTTGCAATTTAGTAAAGAAATTTTAATAAAACATTTTACTGAATGAAAAACATTTTATTCAACGAATGTCGAGTTTTATGAAAGCATGCTTGTGATAGAATATGTTTATGCACCAGATTTTGCTTTTTTAATGTGATTATTTTTTAATTTTTAGTTTTTTTTTTCTCAATAACTGATACAATTTCAATAATATACATACGTATGAATAGATTTGGAATAAAATATTTATCAATTTCTTGGATATATTTTTTAAAAATATTAATAAAAATACGTAGTCAACATTTTTAAGCATTTCTCACATCATCGTAAATTTCTCGACGTCTTATATATCGTCTTAATCTTAAAATTAATTTTTTAATCACCTGTCCGGAAGTGTTTCGCAGAACTATTTTACCAACTATTTAATTAAATTTTAACATTTTTAAAAATCTTATTCTTTACCCTACTACGTTTATTATTTCATCATTAATATACTGATACATTTTTTTAAGTACTTTATTTTAGGTTTTCTTTAAAGTAAAGTCCCTTTTTAAATTATAGTCAAGTTTTTTTTAAAAGAATTATTGTCTGCTAGCTAATAAAACCTTGTTAAGAAATTAAAAACTTTCCGCTGTTTAAAATTACTTAATACAAAGCAGCTGATTATTTACTGCCGTATTTTTCGGCAAAAGCGCCGCGGCACTATCGAAAAATTTTTTGTTTTTTTCCTGTATGCGGCGCTTCCGACGAAATAATTTTTAGTAGCAAAAAAAATTATCAAGGTAAGTTATTTAAGATGAAATAATTTTCTGAGGGAAAGACTATAGAAAAAATTAATAACGCAGTCGACGAAATATTCGCCCGTATCGCGATTTGCTGCAAATCAGTTGCCAATTCTTAGCAAAATTTTGGCAGCAGCCTGCAAGAAAATAAGTAAACGAAATAATAATTAGAAGAAAAACATCGCACAAGGAGAAAATTTAAAAGGTATGCATCTTATATCCACCCCCAGCTTAAAGAAAAATCGCAAGCTAGAAATCTACTTAGCGCTTTGGCAATTGTAATTGGAGCGAACAGAAAATGAAGTAATAGGACCCCAAATCCGGCACTCACGGGACTGACGAAATGCCGAACTTCGGATCTCTTTCGGAAATACCAATATGGCGCCCAAATATTACTATAATTCAATTAAGCTGTTAATTTCAGAAAAACCGATAAATTTAGTCAAGTTTCGATCGTAGATTATGATTGGGTGAATTTAAAACTGGCTTATCTTAAGAAATTTTATTAATTAAAATAATAATCTATATAACATAATCAAAAAGGAATAATTCGAAGGAGAAATAATTTAAGAAATAATCCGAATCCTCTGAAGAAGAAATAATCGTTTCTTCTTCGGAGCGAGATCATAAATCTCGTTTTTTCTCTTAGAAACATTTTGTTTTAACAGAAGACGCTCACCTCACAAGAAGAAAAAATAAAGCTAACAAGGAACTACAAAAATAAGTAACAACTAATGCTTAGAAACTAACAATGAATAACAACAAAAAACAAGCTAAAAACTAATAACGATAAAAAAAACAAGCAAACAACTAATAACAAGAAAAAAACAAGCTAACTATTAACAAAAAAAAATTAACAATTAATAACTAATAAAAAAGCCGCAAAATAAAAAATTAATGAATCGAATAAAAAAAAACCAAAAGGAATAGAATTCATTTTGTAGTCCACATGGTAGTTTTAATGTCAACTGGGTGTGACCAATTTTTGGTCAAACAGAAGAGGGAAATGTGGGGACAAACCAGTAAAGCACAAGCACAGCTGTCAAGATTGATTGATCAGTTTTTTCCAACTTCCATTTCTTTATTTTGTTCATTGGAAATNTTTTTTTTTGTTTTGTTTCTTGTGACTTCAACATAGATTATCTAAAATAGTGTTGATGTTTTAGAAGTCACTACAAAGAGTGTAAAGATACTGAACATAAAAAGCTGTCGAATACATAGCCAAAATTTTTAAGCGTCTTAAAATACCTCAGCATCTTAAATGTCGTCCTAACATCTTAGCTGTGAAATTAAATTTTTAATTATCTGACCACATGTGATACACTTATGATTTCATTATATCTTTTACTCTTTCTTTATGATTCCATGTAGATTTTTTTCCGGATAATATACTAAACTACTTTTTTTAATTTTTTACTTTAGCACGATTCCCAAGATATTATTGTAGTATAATTTGTTATCAGGAAAAATGCCTTATTTTGTTAAGGAGGAAATACCAAAAATTGAAATTTGTATGAAGATGCCGAAGCCGTGCCAATTTTAGAATCATCTGATTTTTAAAAAAAAATGCAATAAAATATACGAAATTTCCGAACTTATTTTGATTAAAAAAGAAAAAAATACGTGGCAAGAAGGTTAGCATACGTTTTACAGAAACTGTGAAAACAAATTTTCCTATATTTCGTCAAAAGAGGATAAGAATGATTTTGCTCCAAGGGACCTATTCAATAATTTCATACCCAGAATGAAATCTGCTTGATCGAAACATATTTCCTTGAAAATAAAAACGAGGAAAATATTATTTTATTATTTATCTAAGCTTATTCCATTTATTTAATGATATTGGTACCTAGGTTAAAGATATGCGATGGAAGCCCTGTTAACTATTGTACTATAAATGCACTAAATCATGTAGCTTGAATAATTTGTTTTAAGCAAATTATTTAATAATAATATTAAGCAAATAAGGGTGTAAAAATAAACTCGATCAAAATACTCCGAAGGCATACCCTAAAATATGTGTAGAATAAACTTTAGAATCGATATATAAAAAATGCCTTTTCAAACAACTTCGAGTTGGACAGAAACGCTAACTTGTTTGAAATAGTTGTCCTTGTAACTATTCAATTTTTATTCCGGGTGCTAGGGGACATTCCATTTTCACATTCGACTTTTAAAATTTCAATTGTAAACGGAATTTTTTTATGTCCTTAAATTAAAATTTTAAGGCTTGCAGCAAAAAAAAAAAAGTTGTACTGCAATGATTTTTTTACAGTAGAAAATTATTATTTTTTCAGTCTAAGAACCTATGCTTATAACTTATGTAAAACTTATTTTAATATTGAGTGAAATAATTTAATATGTTGTGTAACTAAATAGATTATCCCAAGAAACTGAATCAAAAATATAAAAAGTTCATTGATTTAAAAATTATAGGGAGAATTGAATAAAAATAGACATGTTTTTAGCATCCAATAATAGAAGTCACAAGTTATTCAAGTCTGACATGTCTTGAGAATGGGCGATTATATTTGAACGCTCGAAACATGTTGACTTTTACTTCCCTTTTCATATTTTTTGAAGCCAGTTGAGTTTTTATCATCAATTATACTGTTTTACATTTGGGTCTTGATCATTATTTCTATAAGGTTTTTACACTCGTTAAAGTAAACATATGCATTTTCATATTTTAACAGGATTTATGAGGTCTTTAAAAACGTAAGGGCATCAATATTGTAAAAGTTATATTTGGACCTTATGAGCTCAATTTAAAAAGAGAGTATCGTATCAGATATATATGTTGCCGGCAAAGTATGAAATCTGGCATTCTGTAGAATGCCTAGGCATTGTATATAATGCCTAAAATTAGCCAGCAAATTATGAAATTATTTACACCGAAGAGCCATTACATTATGACCATCCCTCATCTATAACAATGGGCTCGCTCAGGTTTTCATGGTTTTTCGCCCAGGAATAATGTTTAAATGGGGCACATTAGGACCCATAATCCTCATAGAACAACCCCTGACGTCTGTAAGCTACCTGAATATAGTTGCAGAACAGGTTCACACATTTATGGCAACAGTTTTTCCTGCGGGGGATGGTGTTTACCAACAGGATAATGCACCATGTCATAAGGGTCGAATCGTCAAGGATTGATTCGAGGAACATTCCAGTGACTTTCAAGTCATGTCTTGGCCCCCAAATTCACCTGACCTTAATCCAATAGAGCATTTGTGGTCCTACTTGGAAAACCAAATTCATGCTGCCACCCTACCCTCTCGCAATGTTAGGGAATTGCAGGACCAGTTGGTGAGTGCTTGGTGCCAGATACCTCAGACTACCTATCAACACCTTGTGGAATCAATGCCATGGTGGGTGCAAGCAGTTTTAAGGGCTAAAGGTGGTCCTATGTGTTATTAGCAAGGTGCTCATAATGTAATGACTCTTCAGTATATATTTCACACATTTCCTAGGCATTCTATAGAGTGCCAAATGAGAAACCGGCAAAGCATAAAATGCATCTCCGATTGGTCAAAATGTCATTCAAAAGTGGCAATTAGGTTATTTTCTTATTTTTTCCCTTAATAAGAAAGGCATAAATTATGTTTTGCACAACTTTTTTTTTCTTTGCACATTTTGAATAAATGTTTTTAATAGCACTCTCAGTCTTTTTTTCGGAATGGCATTTTTATTTTTGAGAAATGCATGTTACTGTGAATGACCGAAATCTGGAGAATGTCGACTTTCACCGGTGAATGTCAACAATCACATAGTCGCTTTGGTGATTGTCCGAAATATTTTTTACATCCGATTTGATATTCATTTATTCGCGGATATTATTACATTTATTCAATATTTTAATACTTACTGACGATAGATTAGGAAAAACATCAGTGTAGGGTATACCGGGCAATTGCACTTGACCTTAAAAAAACTTCAGTGTAGGGTATACCAAGCAGTGACACTTGACCTTAAAAAAACTTCAGTGTAGAGTATACCAAGCAGTGACACTTGACCTTAAAAAAACATCATTGTAGGGTATACCGGGCAAATGTATTCCAGGCAGGGAAATTGACGTTTAAAAAACATCAGTGTAGGATATACCGAGCAAATGTATACCAGGCAGTGGCACTTAACTAGACCTAGTATATATTACGGACATTTACCAAAGGTCTAGTCATGCTGGGTCTAGTTAAGTGCCAGTACCCGGTATACATTTGCCCGGTATACCAGACACTGATGTTTTTTTAAGGTTCAGTGCCATTGCCCGGTATATATTAACCTGATACTCCAAACACTAATGTTTCTTCTAATTTATCGTCAGTAAGTATTTAAATATAGAATAAATGTAATTATATCCACGAATAAATTAATATAAAATCGGATGTAATAAATATTTCGGACATTCACCAAAGCGACTATGTGATTGTCAACATTCACCGTTGAAAGTCAACAACCACTGATTTCGGTCATTCACAGTAACATGCACATCATTTACCTAATTCATTTACATAATAACCTCATTGGGACGTTTATTTCATACTTTGCCTAAATAGCATCCCGTATTATATAGAATGCCTAGGCAAAGTATGTAATGCTTCTCATATTTCATACTTTGCCTAAAAACATCCGGCATTGTATAGAATGCCTAGGCGTTCTATTCAATACCGGCGTTTCATACTTTGCCGGTAACATATATAAGAAAACAAAAATAATTATAGTAGCAGGGGTGGTAAATGTAGCTGTAATCATATTTAAAGAATATGCTGTGCCACATTTTATGGTGAATTTGTGAATGTCAGTTTCAGAATGTATCGAAAGATGAGGATGGTATTTGCTAATTATCTTTATCCAAAGAAAGCCTTGTAACCTAAATATCTAGCAGAATGAGGCGATTTTTTAAACAATGAGTCATACAATATGCAACATATTGTTTCAATATCTTATTCTTAAACATAACATATTTCAATGTTTTTTAAATACCACTAAACATTCAGCAATTGCTTGAGTTATAGAAAAGAGAAATATCGTAAATTATAGAAAACCTTGTGAATTACTTATACAATATACATTTTATTTTTCAAGCACTTTTTTTTCTGCAAACTTTCTTGCCTAGAGCACTCGATTAAAGCTGTAAAAATGATTATCCCTAAAATTTTGTATATAGCCATAATAAGTTATATTAATTTTATTTCAGTATGAAATCCTTGAATAAGTATAGCAAAAACAACATAATCTAAATATCAGATAAAAAGTTCATGCATTTAAATTCTAAAAACTTAGGAAATCATAAATAATTATCGTAATAAAATCATAAATTGATTCAAATTTTATTTTCAAAGGAGATTAAAATAAAAATGAAAAATTTGCTTTTTGGACAGAAATTATCTTAAAAATTGTCCATTGCCTAGAAACTTTGAGGTATTTTCTATTAACTATTAAATAAACCTCTCTGAGCAATCACAGAGCATTATTTAAGTTTTTTTTACAGTCAGAGCTTGGTTGCTTACCAACCTAGTGAAATTAAGTCTTCTTTTGAATTAGTCAATGGGTTACCTTAAAATATTCATTTGCACTGGCGACTTTTTTTGGCGGTTTCCTGGACTATCGCCAAATATATAAACCTTAATTGTGACCCAATTTTTTCAAAATTTTGTCTACCCCCCTAATTCAAGTAACTGGATTCCAAATATGTAAAAAAAAAATATATGTTTATTCAGAGAAAGTACGTTTTTGTGTCTGATTTCGTAACTTAATTAATAGTTAGCACTGATTAATTAGCATATTTGAGGTCGACCCCTGAAACCATTAAGATTGACACTTAGTTCATGAAAATCTGATCATTGGAACGAAAGTTATTCAGGGTGATATCTTTTTTTTTTTTTTCGGCCAGTACANCATCCAAGTTAATCTCAATATTTTCTGAAGTGAAAAAAATGGTTATTTCTCTGCTGTAAGTCTGGCCTTAATTTCACTTTAGAAAATTATTACATGATTTAATACTAATAATATATGTTTTTAAAAGCTGCATACATTTAAAAATACTTGATTAGAAGATTATTTATAACCTGAAACTATTCTGAAGTATGTATATTTCAAATTCCTTGTAATTTAAAAAATTGTGTGTCAAAAATTCCTAACCATAACTTAGGGTTTGTTCAAAAGTGCTTTCTGTTTCTAATAAGCCCTTTTTTATTATTGTAATTTACAATCGAAACAGCTTAGAGAAATTTTAAGAGCACGAATAATTGTGCTTCTTAACTTATACCAATTTTTACGGAACTGAAAGAATATTTTGATAGATCCGAAAGTACTTTTTAACTAAGTCATATGATTGGTTTAAATAGTAGGAAAGGTTAATTGAAGTTTGTACAATCACTGTAGAATAAGAAGAGCTTCTATTAATATTATGCGCACTTTTTTTCTTTAAAAAATTTGAGATAAGTGTACTAGATAGCTGTGGAAGGAGTTTAAAAAAAATTCATGTTTATTGCAAATGAAGTAGGTTGCATTCTGAAAGAATAACTAATTATAAATGTACTTTTGTTTAAAAATATATTACTGTTTTCTCACATGCCTTAATGTAAATTTTTTATTTTTATCGTTTCTTTTTAAATTCATTTTTTTTTTTTTTTGTAAAAAACCTATCAGTTGACTTATTACAAATTTATACAGTTAGTTAAATGTTAAAATGTTTTTTATGAAGCAACTTATTAAAAATATTATTTTATGCATTTATGAGATTCTAATGATTCCTTCAATACATTGTCAATTATATATTTTTCAAATTTTTTCTAATTATTTTTAGATTGGCTGAGTTAATAGAAAAAATAGGTTCATCTCTAGTTGTTCTAGTCATTGAAAAATGTTTAGGCCCTGATGTCCAACTAAAACCTCTTTTTTCCAAATTTGAACATTTATTTAAATTAAAGTAAGTATTTTAAAATATATACAGAGTATAAAAAAAGTTTAAAAACATTAAATGTTTGGCCGATTGAATTCAGTTTATTTAAGCAATTTGTTTAAACAATAATATATTCCTACTAAACTGTAGATGTGTTAACCTATTTTACTGATTACAAAAGTTAATACCAAAATTCAGAATTTCAATAAAGTATATGAGACACAAGAAAACAATAAGTTTGAAGGTCTGCATGAAATGATAGTCTGCATCATGAGAGCTAGCTCCTCTGAAAAGTATTAAAATTAGAATGGCATGTTTTCGGATCATCCTCAAGCTTTTTCCCGAGGTCATTACCAATAGCTCGCTGTTCAGCTCTAATGCTAGTACTGCATCTTACACACTATTAACTTATTTGAAAAATAATAATAAAATGTTTCTTCAAGTATATCTGTTTTCAAAAATATCTGTTATTGATAAGTAATTAGGCTAATAACAATATTTATTTTTAAATATATATGTTTACAATATTTAAATAAATATTAGATAAAGTATGAATTTTTGATCTTTTATTTATCTCTCCTGTTTAAAAGGCTGTTATAATTTGGATATTTGGGATATTTCCTCTGGTCCCACTGACATGAAATTATCCAAGTTAACTGCATTAAAATTAATTTATGAAAGTTATATTAAAGCTTAGATATATAATTCAGCACCTCAGTGACAATTGTTTTACGTTTTAGATCGTTGAACATGAAAGAAATGCAAATCAGTGTAGAAGATGTGACAGCATTATTGAAAGCATTGGAAAAAATGCCTGAACTACGTCAAATTGCTTTATCTAAAACTGATGTATTTTCTGACTTTTCTGGCAAATTTGAAAAATTGAAATGTAAGAATCATTTACAAGTAGTTTGGAGTCAAGCAAAACATAATACACGAAGACCTTATGTCCTACGGGCTCAAGAATAGTATTAGTGGAGATTTCTAGTTTGTTGTAACTATTTTGGAGATTTCTAGTTTGTTGTAATAATTTATAGTTTGTGTTGTTGTTTGTTGTATAAGTAAAGAAACAGAGGGGACATAAGTTTTAAGTACCAAATGAAAAAAGTGTTAAAATGGCGAAACAGCTTTTTATTCTACGTTAAGTAATATTTTTGTTTAATATATCCCTCTAATAATATCTTAACAATGCAGTTTCCAACTGAACTGAATTTTGACTGTTTTTCCTGATTTTATCCAAAATTCTTGTTCATTTTGTATATTTTAGAAAATGTAAAAATCTCTAAAAAAAATTCTGAAAATAAATTTCCTACCTCTTTTATTATTTGCTGAAGAATTTAGGTAACAAATATTACTACTAAATAATAAAATGAGCATAGTAGAAAGTAAATTATAAAAATAAATTCTATTTTGTTTCTGTAATCAGCTGAATCTTCATTTGTTATTTTAATTTCAGTATTCTTTGTATCATAAACAAAATATTTTTAATTAATTTAAAGTGAACAAAAGAACATGTTAAAATCTTGACATGTATGCTTATATATTTGTTGTATTTTTTAATTAGAAAACTAAGAACCATTAAAAATTATAAAAATGATAATAAATTACTTTTAATCATTGATAAAATTGAAAATATTTTCAGCCTTGAAACTTGTATAATGTACTGTTTACCGCTTTTTGTGAGTGATAATGTGACTAAAAAGTGTGCTTTGCCTCATGGGCCGTGTTTTGGTCAAGACATATTTAGAGAATTGGAATTATCATAATTATATTATGTATTAATTAGTAATTTAATGTCCTGTATTTTTATTATTGTTTGAGAATTTTATACTTGAACATGAAGTAAACTTTACTATTTAAAATGTATATTTGTAATAAATGATTTTCTTTCATAATTGTGTTCACAAATTATATTTGACATCAGTGTACATTTATTAAAAGGCCCATTTTTATTTATTTATTTATTCATTGAAAAAAATAAGTAAATATGCATGTAAATTGTAACAAGAAAGTGTAGAAATAAATAATTTATATTGTATACAAAATTTAACTTGTATTGTTGTGAAGGGTTTTTTTATTGCATTGTGTAAGGTAACTAATTTATATAGTAAGTTGTCTTAAACTAATACAATAGATTTAAAATGAAATGATAAGTTTTTACATTTCACACTTTTTCAAAATCTGTATAAATTGATCATTATTTATTATGGAATGATTTTGTTGGCATCAAATAATAAATAGTTCAACTCATAAAATCTATTAAAAATTCCAATATTTTCCAGAAGTTTGAAGCTTTCTGCCCCTTTTATCTTTTAACGATTGCCTGGAGCATTTGGTAAGAGGGCGCTGGACAAGACCCAGAATTAGTATTCTGTACTTATTTATTTCCACCTTTTTTAAAGTAGTGTTTGGTTTAAAAGAATATTTATAGGTTATTTTTTATTAATCATGTATCATTGAAGAATATTTTAGTGAATGGTTGGATAAATGAATGAGTTAATGTAACTACTTTGATTCTAGGAGCGAGAGGTCATTCTATTGTTTCGTTCAACTTCTGAAATTTCATTTGTTGACGGAATTGTTTAACATCCTAAAAAATGTTTTTCAGAGTGGCAACCAAAAAATAAGTAAATTAAATATAAAATAGGTACTGCTTTGAATTTTTTAGAATGTGTGATGAATTATATGTCATTACGTTTTTTTCAATCTAAGAGCCATAACCATTATCTTACATAAAACTAACTTTAATTTCACATTAAATATTTTAATTTAATGAATAATACGATAAATCTATTGTCGCACATCTTGGTGATAAATTTAAACTCGATAATACCAAAATTCTAACCACCTCTGCCACATCAGCTCATCTTGATACCCAGTTCATGTGATTGCCGATTCTCTTGTTAACGTTAGTAGTTCTCTCCATGTTCTCCAATATTAGTTCACTCATCATCTCTCCGTGGAACGTAGAAATACATTTCGTCTTGATTTTCCTTTCTCAGCTTTTGCTGTTTCTCTAGTTTTGTTTTTATTTAATTTTCTATTTCACTCTTGAGGTGCTGCGGTTTTTCCAATTTTATTTTCCACCTTAATTTATGTTTTCTCGTTGCAACTTCACATTTCTGTCTTTTATAACATTTTTTTCTTTATTCACGTCCTGCGAGTCTTTATAGGCCTTTATTTTCTTCATATTTTCTGAAGCCAATGAAGTTTTTACCATCAAGTATAATGGATCTTTCATGATCATTATTTTGATCATAATCTTATACTGAAAGAAGCAAACATCTGTAAATTTTTATTTCAACAGGGTTTCTGCAGTCTTTAAAATGTTTAAAAAGACCATGGCAACTGTATGTGCCATCTGGTGAGAAGACCGATTCCATACCTTCGGCCCTTCTCCCTTCCCTCTCAGGGCCGTACTTAAGCTCGGCTGGGCCCTAAGCTCAATTCTATTTCTATACATCTAAAGTAAACTGTCATTATTTTTTATTGTTAAGTATTAACATTATATTATTATAACATTTGATAATATTACTTGATTGTTAAATATATATATTGTGATGTGACTGTAATGTAGAACCTTTCTTTCATTGCACATATTTTTTAAACGAGGAAAAAAAAGTTACAACAGAAGCTCATTTTAAGATCATCATAATAACATTTCAAGCTCAGAATAAAAATTTGGTATGCTGGAAACGCCATTATATATTTAACAGAGTTTTTTCTTTCTTCTAAATTCTGAACGTATGTTATTTGCAATTTTAAATGATTTTTTTTTTTTTTTGCCAATTTTTTCGCAATTATTTTTTCTTTATGTTACATTTTGCTTTGCTGCTCAAAATCTCTAAGACTTTGAAACATGAAATTATGAAAGTGTGCAGAAAATATGCAAGGAGTTTGGAAAAAATACAAGAAAATACAATTTGATTATTAGTTTTATTTATTTTTATAACCACCACTGAACAGCGGACTCTATTTTGAGTTTACGACTACCATTGTTGAACTCCATAGCCTTGTAATTTTTATCACAATCCAGTAAACAAACTCCAGGATCAAGTATTGAAAGAAATTTGTGCCTTAGTGGAGGATGTTTTGATGGAACTAGCCCGCATTCTGTTACATGGAAAGGAAACCCTCCCACTGTTAGTCTGACAGCAAGAGGACTCTTACCCATGATCTGTCTACCACTGAGGATATTTTACGTCAGCACTGTGGTCTGCGCGAGCTGGGTGTGGAATTTGTCTCCACCAGCCATCACTGGGATTCGAACCTGGTTCACCTAATTCGGAGATAAACTATGAGCCCATCTTCACTGAGTAATAACTCTGCGGAGGTACCGATTTTATAGATTTTCTTCAAAATGTAAATGGTATTTTTTGAAGAAAAAAAAATAAAAAATAGAGATAAACAGTTGTTCCTTTTAATCTGCTATGATTAGTAAGATGAGAAGCAACCACCCTGGTTGGTGAGCAAAGTGAACAAGGGACGATGCTTTCCAGTTTTTTTAAATTATTGTTAAATTATTAGTTTTTTAACGTGCATACTTAGAAAACATAAGAAAAACTTTTTTCAGTATTAAGAAATAAAATTTAAAAACTGTCATCAGTTGGAATAGAACCCACGATCTCTCACTTTTGAGTTAGATTTCATAGTCATCAGCCCCAAACATACACACCGGACTTGCAAAGTTATCTTTATTTATTTTTTTAAATTCTGTAAATTAAGAGTAATTTGGATACTTGACATTCTTGTTTTTGTTGAAAATTTCTGAATATGTTCTTTATGTATAACTATTAGACGTGTTTTTTTGTTTTGTTTTTCTTTCAAATTTATGAGGAAAAAAATTTTTTTTTTTAATCTGATGAGTCAAAATAGAATATCCTCTGAAATTTTAAAAAAAGCACATCTGCACGCGGAAACACGGTACCTTTTATGAAATGTGAACCATGGTACTGACTGCACTGAGAAAAAAAGTATGGTCTAAACTATTCGAATATAGTAAAATTTGCGGTATTTATGGGAACACCAAAAAACAGGGTATTTTTTTTCGTTGCGATTTGGTTGTGACTTCTCCTGAAATTAACATAATAAAAATATAGTTTTTTACCATGCTGTTCGGTCGTAAATGTGGTAAATTTTGGTAATTTTATCATATCTTAGAGAAGCAGTTCCAAACTGTGTTCTATGGCCTAGGACCCCCTTAAAATGGATTTTTTGAAAATAAATTTTAAAAAATTAAGAAAAACAATGACTTTTTTTAAAAAAAATCAATATTAAATATATATTAATAAAATACGATAATTTTTGTAAAGTGTTAATAAATTTCAAATTTTTTCAAAATGTTATGATTATTTTTTAGTTCTAATTTAATTCATTATTATTTTAAATATGATTTTTTAAATGAAAAGATATATAAATACTTTAATATAAATAAAAAGTATTCGAGAAAAAAAAATTAATCTAAAGGCCCCAAAAATTTTAATGACCTAGGGCTTAATTCGGCTCTGAACTTTAGGGAGTTAAAGAGGTTTCGCGAATTAGTGCTTTTTATAACCAGGGATGAATACTTTTATGACTTCTATCTAGTACTTTTTGTAATCTCTGATTATGTTTAGATCCAACCTATAAATCATATCTCATATAATCTTTCGATTTCCTTTATTAAATTATTTGAAGTAAAATTCTAATTAAATAGACATGGCATTTTTTTAATGAAAATATATTTCTAAAAGCAATATATTGAATGTTGAGCAAATTAGGAAAAGAATAAGCATTTATAAAATATTATATTAGTATTCATACCGCACTTTTCAAATCAAAATAAAATAACTAAATTTCTTTATAAAGAAAAATTCTTTCCAAATTACCTATTTAATTTTTAATGTTTATGACAAGTTTCTTCAGTTCATTTAGAAGTAAATCCTAATTTGGCTTATTTTATTCATTTTCAGCCAAAATAAATTAAAAACTGGACTAGATATAGCACAAGGACTGCAAATTCAACTGTCGGATATAAAACTTTATTTAAGATTGTTAATGATAAAACGATGAAAAATCTTCATTCCTCTTATTTAATATTTTAAAATTAGTCTTTTTTTTTTGCGTTATAATGTTCGCAATTACCTTAATAAATTTTAATCGTTATGTCGAGGCTGATCCGATAGAAGTTTGGTTCCGGAAGCCTAAATAATAATTTGGAACCGCTGCCTTAGAACATGGAATAATAATCACCTATTCGGTTAATTTTATTTTACATTTTTATTAGATGTGTGGTAATAAGAACTCTACTTTTTAAAACCGGAATTTTCGATAAGCTGTTGTAATGCGAACGGAAAAATTGCAGATAAATTATTTTTATGAAACAATGCAATTATACTAAGTATATCAAATTCATTTAATTTTCTTCTGTAAATCTAAATAAATATTTCGATGCTATGAATTTAGAAAAAGTAAGTAACTAGAAATTAATACCTTACATTTTATTTATATAAAACTTGCATATTTTTTGAATTTTTTTTTTTTTTTATGTGTTCCTGATTTTGGTACAGTTCTCAAATAGTAAATTTTCTCTTTTTCTAATGTATTAGATAAGAATAAATTATAATCAACGAACACAGTGATGTACTTATAAAAAATAAGCCATGTTGACTAAAAAAACAATATAGAGAATAGAAAAGCAATTAACCCCTTAACGATCGGTTAATTTTCAAGAAAACGGTCATAAAAGTGCCTATTTTTTGTATTTGTATTACGTATTTGATTAGTGCTGAAATCTGGTTTAAAATAAACTAACTATCTACAATTACTTTAAAAAATATCCTGCTACTGGTGTGTAAAATGAGAAATAAAATGTTTTCCGGACAAAAGAAATGAATTAGTTTTATTCTTATTGGCGCGTTGCTACTGAACACTCCAGCCCGTCAATATCACGGGAGCGAGAAGGAAGGGGTTAATCGCTACAATGATAAAAATGAATGCACCAGCACCCCTTGAGCTGGTTATTACCTCCCTATCCCCGTTTATAATCGAAGCAGGCAAATTTTTCAATTTTATGAAATTTACAAATATTTTTTTTATTCTTCTTCTAGAGATCCTACACACTGGAGCAGATAAGGGCTGTTATATTAATACTGTTTGTAGATAATAAAAAATTATTATATTTCGTTAGCTGATATAGTACATTTGTTAAATTTTTGTGTTAGAATAAAAATTATCCTTATTTACATAAATATTTGGCTTATTTTTTTAAGGATTTATTGAAGGGTCTATTAAATATCTGAGAGAATAAATATGATACGGGTTTGAAGTATCAGATTTATTCTTATTACCATTTGTTATAGAATGAAATGTTTCAAAAGACAAATGTCTGTTAATGCTTAATATTTAATCAAAAAAAAAAAAAAACATAANAAAAAAACATAACCCATATTGTAATCTAACGAATTGCCGCTAATAAATATTGCGACAGAAAAAAAATTAAAGCGTAATAGATTTCCGGATTTTAGAAACACCTTCTAGTTTAACAATTCAATCAAATTGGTTTCGATGTCTTTCATCCAGCCTCTCTCATTAGTGATTCAACATATTTCGGTATAATTTTTGTTTCGTTCTTACTTAATATTAACTTGTTTGCGACAGTTAATTTGTATACCTTTTTTTCCACATTTTTGCGAGGAGTTAAAAAATGTAATATTGAGGGTATTAACTGAAATTAAATTGGCTTTTTTTGTATGCCTCTTTTACTTACATCATTCACACACCCACCACGCCTTCTGTCTGCTCTAAATAATGCGATAATATAAAATGACATAACAAAACAAAGCGTGTGGAGTTTTTTAAATTCATATTCCAAAGTATTAGTTAATTGTTTTTTGAATTGACAATTTCAGTCATTTTTTAAATGTTTTAAGGTGCTATTTAAAACTGCAACATGTCTCATTTGTATCATTTTAAAGTGAAATAAAAAGGAATTCTGATCCTTAGGAGCAGATATTAAATAGTCTCGTGATCGAATGATGGGACAAAATTACTTTTTAAAGAAATAAAAAAAACTTAACCTTTTACACTAAAAAATTATTTATTTTTGAATAATTTATTAATACTCAAATTGTTTAAAAGATGATATGTTCACTTCTAATGACAACGAAGTTTTTTTAATTTCATCCAGACATTTATTTATATATCTTCAATTAACTTTTTTATTTGTTTTTTTTTTATTAAATTAAATGTACACGTTTAAAATGAAATTAAAAAAACTATCAAAATTTAATAAAAAGTTTCGATTTACAATTTTAAGAAGTTGTTTTGACTTTGATTTAAAAGTTTTAAGAGCCTTTTTAATTGAAAAATTTAGAAACCTTACTAACTTTTAGTCCCGCAGTGGACTGATCGTTAAGACACGGTTCCCAGCAGATCACCGAAGTCAAGCATCACTGACTGCGGTCAGTGTGCGGGTGGATGACCACTTGTATCAGTCTGCGTAGGGACCGAGGGGTGCGGTATTGGTCCTCGTAAACTGTTCTTCCGTAAAGTGCTCGGCTTCGCGTGCAGGTCGTCGGGCTACCGAAGCGGTGGTGCCATCCCCTCTGCAGAATATCAAAATTGTGATGGCATGTCTTCGGATCATCCTCAGGGATGCTTAGATGCAATAGCCCATTGTGCAGCTCTAGTGCGACGTAAATGAACAAATCAACAATTATTAACTTTTAACGCATAATAGCAACAAAAATCAAGGAGTTAAAAATTTAAGCAAGAATGATGAATAAACAATAAAATCATAATCGAACTGAATAAATGAATTTTGTGTACGAAATAAAATATTACAAATTAAAAATATTTAAATTATTAATTAAAAATATTAATAATATTAAAAAAATTTTTTCTATATATTTAAACATTTGTTTAGCTGATGATCTCTTGAATTCAATGCTTTATCAAGCAAAATCACATCTGTTATCTCAATTTTATACAGAGTAGACTAAATCAAGAATTTTGGCTGATAGGGCTGTCAAAGAGGGAATTGAACAATGGTCTATCATTTAAATAAATAAGCAGAGAAAAGAAGAAAAAAAACCCAAAATTTAAAAAAGAAAAGAAAAACTAACTAACTAAATAAATAAGATATTTTTCTCTTCATATAGTTCAAATTACTGAATCAACCTTAATGTTCATTTTAAAAATGTTGCTACAGATTTCTCACTTTTCATCAGCAAATAACTATCAGATTTGATGTTTTATTAAAAAATTAATCTGAAAAATTACAAAATAAAATCAATTACAATGATAAAATTAATTAAATAATCAGGCGAGATGAAACATTTAGGATAATTTCAAGAAGAAAAAAAAAGGTTTTTATAATAAATTATAAAAAATATCCAAATTTTGTAAAAAAGTGAAACAAGACCCTCCCCCTATTTACAACCCTAGAAATTTTTTGTTCCAAGCAACTTATAGCCAAAAATCAGACCAAAAGGTGTTTCTGTGGATATCTGATATTTTCAAAGTAAGGACAAAAGAGCACAAGGCAATTTCAAGAAGTTAAAAACATTTTACCACATTGTAAAGTGAGGCAACTATTTGACAACTCTGTGGGTGGAAGCTATGAAAGCGGGTACATTTTCATCAGTGGAAAGAGCGTTTGATTGCTCTTTTGGGTAAAAAAAAAGTGAACTGTAGGAATTATTTAATATTTTCAAACACCTCGAATAGATTTTGAAAAGCATCCGTCAATGTAAAGAGAAAAAAAATGTATTTTGGGCTTCAGAGGGCCCCAGCTCCAAAACGAATTTAAAAAAAAGAAGTGGGATCTGGGAGCCCTTGCCATCTCTGTGCACCAAGCTACAGCTTTTTTATCTTATACATATGTGGTCTTATCCACACATCATCTACCATAGTTATCGATAAGATGTTTGTAGGTGGTTTCAATAGATTTTAACAAACATTTTTATTTTAATAACTAATAAAAACATATTAGATTTTGCTTAAGTTTTATTTCAAAACAAAGATTTTTTTAAAAATTAAATAAAAAGTATTTAATGCAGTTATTTGACGTCTCCAAAATGTGTTTACAACTTTTCTAGGGGGAGCCAAATTTTCATACTCCCTATCTTTTCTAGCTCTGTACGGTTCTGCATGGTTATCAATAAAAAATATTCCGAATAAAACTGAGAATTAAAGTTAAAGTTAGTTTTTTAAACTATCTGTGTTTAGTGCTCACATTTTCTTACTGTTATACAACTCAACTCGGTTCAACTTAATTCAGTGTTAACCAAAATATTAAACAGGATTCCTCGGAAAGGGTCCGCGTATTAAAATGGTAATCTTTACTAATCTTTATTAATTTATTATCAAGTAAAATTTTTTTTTTATAATATTGACAAGATTGCATGAATGTACTTATGTCTAATTCTATTTTTAGGGGATCGACATTAACCATAAAAATGATCGTAAAGTTGTGCGAAGGGCACCAAAGAGTGAGGATATTTATCTCCGGCTTTTAGTTAAAGTAAGTAATTTTAACAAGAATGTGTATTTATCATTTATTTAAGTCGCCATTAATGTACACTGTTTTAAAACTTATGATTTTAATATATCCCCCTTAACTGCTGGTAAATACTAATCTTATGAACTCTTTTAGCCCTACATGTGTTGTAACGAAATTTTTAAATCGCATTATTTATTTTTAATCTAAGCATGCTTGACATAATAACGTGTGTTTGGCTAAAATGTTGTTGGATTCATGTTCTAAATTACGTTCTGTTGGTAACAGTTGTTTTCATTTTCTAGTTGTATCGATTCTTAGCAAGAAGAACTGGAGAGAAGTTTAATAAGATTGTAATGAAACGTCTCTTTATGAGCAGAATTAATCGCCCTCCTTTGTCACTAGCACGTTTGGTAAGTTTTGATTTTGTTCAGTTCGTAGTACTAAAATTTATTCTAATGCCAGTTAATTGATATTTGAGATCTATAGTTAGTGTTTGTTTCATTATAGATAAAGTCTGTTTGATAAAATGTATGCAGTTGCATTTTTACGCCCATTTGATCATTGTCTTGAACTAATTTTATTGTAGTCAAAAGCTTTTGTGATATTTTGTGTAACTAGTTGGCTCCTTAAAATTTATTAAGATTTTATGTTGCTGGAAAATTTGAGTGTATGTTTGTAGATAAGTTTTTTTTTCTTCATAGTTTTAAATAAATGATGTTAATGTGACACTATAAGTGGATTTTTGTCTGCTATTAGTGTCATATGTGGTTCTGAGGCTACTTGTGTAGTTTAGTTAATGCCACTGCATCATATATTAATGATGTCTCCAGTTTTAAAACTGATGTTGACTGAAGCGTTGTATATTCCATTATCACTCCATAGTCTCTTTTGAGGCTGTTATTGGAGAGATAGACCATACAAGGTACAACCAGATCTTTAAGTTGACAAATGTTTTAACTAGATATTTGTAATGTTCAGAATCTTTTAGTTTATTACATTTGTTTAATAAGAATGCTTAATTTATGATTTATTATTATATAAATTATCAGGGGTCTGTTCAGACATTTTGTATTAGGTTTGTTTTTGTAAAATTGTGAAAAAACTATTCATAATTTGTGAATATGAAATAAGCTTTAAGTCACTTTCCTTCAACCGGGGTCCTGCTATTGTGAACTAGTGCAAATAGGGTCCTTTTATTGTATAAATTGCTAAAAACCTCTTCAAGATGTTTTTAAATTGTTAATAGATACAAGATTCTGTTCAACTATTACTGCTACTAAATTAGAGATGCAATGTACGAATATTTGGTATTAAGCCTATACTGCTGAACACAGAGTATTCATTTTGGACAAAAAAAATGAAAACAAAATCACTGAAATTTGTAATAATTTCAATTAACATATTTTAAATAACATAACGTAGTTATGTTTCACTTTTAATGTGCTGTGCATTAAGTAAACTTAAACAATTCTTAAATTTATACTATTTTATATAAAAGATTGCCAGAAATTAACATTTATTTACATAATATTTTATTTAATTTATGAATAAATATAAATTTATTGTTTTATTCAACGTTTTAACAATCCTATGCGATCAAAATCCATTTTGGCTTCCATTCGTTCCATAGCGTAAAAGGGCCAATCATTTTACATGTTGAATAAAATATTTTGGCTTCTGCAGGTGCGTCTACTGAGCTAGGTTTGGTGAGATTATTTATTGCACTCGCATGTGTCACTCTGCTGCATTTTGCAAATATTTTAAATTTCAGGCTTAATTTTCCACCTCTGATATTGAACCAAAAAATCTCTTGATCATTTTATAATGGCTGGTATAATCAAGAAAAGAGTTTTTTTTGTAAGAAATTAGTTCTTTTATCATGATCATGTCAAGTCTGTGAAAAAATTTTTGGATTTTGTTAATGTATATAATGTATGAAAATATTTATTGAGTGCTTAAAAGGTGATTATCTTTTGTTGAAAGATTTGTCAATGCACCCTTTTTTTAAAGTGTTTCATTTTTTATTTGTTTAAGTGAATGTATAAAACATAATTGTAAACATAAATAGATCGAATCTGTTTTATGCCTATTAAACCCTACATTTAATCAACCATTATATGCCTAACATTCATATCACGTCTCTTACCAGAATTATTTATGCATTCTTTAAGCTTATGACCCTAACTTTTGTATATATTTATACATAATGTTTGTAAGATTGTTTTTTATTAAAAGATCTTTTTAATAAAAATGAAAATTTTTCTCTCATGGGAGACATTACTTCAACTTTCAGAAATAGTAATAAGCCTTAATTTTTATCCTATGCAGTGTCGGATAAACATATGTTAAAGAAATTTCTCATTAAATTAGATTGTTTAAAGTGAACTATGCGACAAGTTAATAATTTAATATCTTATGAGCCGTGAATGGTCAACATTTTAGAAGAGTTATATTTATTAGTGTTAGTGCTTTTTTGTAACATAAATTATAGAAATTTTTCTACTATAATAGGGTCCTGTAGTCCGATAAGTGTCCTGAAATTGTGTACTATAAGAATTGATAATGAATTTTGTTTCACTTGCATTAAATAGTATTTATAGTATTTGATGTGAATGTGATGTTATAAGTGAATTATTATTTACTAATAGTGTCACTTGTGGTTCTGAGGCTACTTGTGTAGTTTAGTTAATGCCACTGCATCATATATTAATGATGTCTCCAGTTTTAAAACTGATGTTGACTGAAGCGTTGTATATTCCATTATCACTCCATAGTCTCTTATGAGTCTGTTATTGGAAAGATAGACCATGCAAAGTACAAGTTAACATTGTGGCTACTATTTTGAGAGTTAAATTAAATATACTGTATTAAATTTACATATATTATCTTGCTTTCAATATGTAACTTACACATTTTTCAGTGTAAGTCAACTGTCAACTGATTTAATTGGTTATTTTCTTATTTAGTATATCTTATTAAACGCATATTTGTAATATATTTATTGCAAATATATTTAAATATAGGTATATTTAAAATGTAGAATTAGCATATTTTTTTAAAATTTTATAATTTTAGCTGTTTTGAAATGTTAACTTGTAAGAAAATTTAGAATAAAAATTTAGGAAAAGTTGAGAATAATAGGTTTCTTTCAGTTTTGAAAGAGTGCTAGAAATTATTTTAGAATTACTCAAATTTCCACACTGATTTCATTATTTTTTAAAATCAAAAAATACTTCAATATAATTTGATAAAAATAGATTGAATTTAAATGTAAGTTTTTGCAAAGATTGTTTTCATTTGTCTTCATAAATGTTGAAAATATTAACATGTTTGGCACGACATGTCATTAGTGAATGCCCTAACTTAAAAATTGAATGAGGCAGCGTGACTATATTATGTGCCACACTACAATGCAGTGTTGTCCCTCCACAGGAAAAGCCTAAACATATTAATTAACAGGGAATTTCAAATTTTTCCTTGCAAATTGGAAAAATCCAAGAAATTTTATATCTCATTTATTATAATTTTTTTTTTAAATTGCCGACCGCTGTGAGTTTAACCTAAGGGGATATTTAAAGATAATAGATAATTAAAAGATGCTATATCATTGTTTGTTTTAAGAAAGTTGAGCTGGTCCTTATTTCTATAAGGCCACCCACCCCTCTGCTGAAATGATGAAATTACTTAAAATTGTCGTAGTTACATTATCTTAATAATATCTAGCATTTATATAAAATATATTTGGTTTTGAAAAGGTATTCATAAAAGTTGATTTGCTTATTAAAGTTTACTTTTAAATTTTTAGGCCAGAGTAGTGAAGAAACCAGGTAATGAAAATAAGACAATTGTTGTTGTAGGCACTGTTACAGATGACTTAAGGCTTTATGAAGTCCCAAAACTTACAGTAAGTTAAACACTTAATTTCCTTATTGTATATTTTTAAAATGTTCTCTTCTGTTTAGTAAATATGTATATATTTTTTTCAGTTGTGTGCTCTACGAGTGACCGAACGAGCAAGAGCTCGTATTTTGAAAGCTGGAGGTGAAATAATCACTTTTGATCAACTAGCTATGAGGAGTCCTAGAGGAAAGAAGACTCTTTTGATTCAAGGTATAGTGATTAGGATGCAAGGTTTTCTCACTTAGATATGTTGTGAAGTCTTAAATGTCGATTCTATTTTTAATATTTTGAAATTTCTTAAGAAATCAAAGAAGAAAAGTTAAAAATACTGCTTTTAACTAAGAAAACACAGCATATATCTTAATTCAAGCTAAGAAAAGATAACAAAGCTGGATTTTATTTTTGCGCTTTGCAGTACGAAGATGCAGAACAAAAGTTTATAAGTTAAAAAAACAAAACAAGCATGTCTATAATGAAAAGCCAGAAAGAGTCAGAAAATTTGTTATTTAACAAATGCTAATTCTGTTGCTCAAATTTTTTTTTTTAAATTTGAGTAATTTATAATTTTGCTATTTTTAAGGGTAAAAAAAAAAAAAAAGACTTCTTGAAGTATAATTTCTTAATCTAAACCCAGAAAAAAAATCTATAAGAATTAATGTTGATAATTAAATTATATTATTGCATTGTTAATCAAAGAATATCAGAATGTGTTAAACGAACTTGAAGTGATCTTTTGCATATCTAATTGACAAGTTGCCTCTGTTTTTGTAAAGTTCTGTAGAATGTTAGGTGTGAGTGAAAAAAAACTATGATTTAACTGTAATTTAAGCCATTTTTGTTAGAAATATTAAGTGTTTTATAATAAGTGTGTAAGTTAAAAAAAAAACAGCATTACCTGGATTCAGTGTCATGCATACTGGGCATTTTCCCCCCTGCTTTTGTCCACAAAACCTACCTATTAACATAATTCAATTTTCGCAAGAAAAGAGCATTCAAACCCTGGTGTAACATTTTAAAAATGTCCCCAAATAGCTTTTATCTTAGGTTAGTACTAAATCTTTTAATATAGTGGGTAAATTCTTTCCACATATGAAGTGTTTACATAAAAAGTTGCTTTTTAATATTTTTGTTTTATTTATATAATGTATTTTTCTTCATTCTGTGGCTGTAATGAAATTTATTCTTTTCAGGATGCCGAAAGGCTAGAGAAGCTTGCAGACATTTTGGAAAAGCTCCTGGTGTTCCACACAGTCATACTAAGTAAGTACAAATTACTAAGAATTCCTTAATGGGACAAAATCTGGGCTTGTGGGGCTTCTTGATTTTAATAGCAAGTACTGAGTGACCACCCTGTTAGTACATGAAAATTAATCTTATAAAAAATAGTTGTGCTTTTTAAAATGTGTAAGGAGAATAGTTGTTTTCTGATGGGATATTTGTACTTGTTGAATCAAAGATAATCCTCTAAGGCTAAAAAGACAAAGATTAGTTTTGTTTTTCAAGCAAAAATTATAAAGATGTGTATTGTTTAAATTGATGAAATCGTTATAATGGTATAGCGTTTCAATTTTTTTTGCTTAGCCATCATAATTTAGCATTGTTTGCTCATAGTTTATCGGCAGTTATTTATCATGCTCCTTCAACATGGTTTTTCCATTTTCAATATGATGTTATTCCGACATTCGAATTTTGCTTTGAAATTTATATCAATAATTTAATAGTTTTCTCTGAAGTTAATCATTTTTTTGCTTCTTGGGGCATGATTTTTCAAATTCAGATATTTCTAATATGATATTAAAACATGCGAATTTCGATTTTCAGTTATCACTTTCTGACTTGATTGACTCATTACGATTCAATCTTTATTAATGGTGTTTAGCGATAGTTTTTTCCACAGTCAACCCTTTTTACGTGGTTGTATCAAATTCGTATATTTTTATGCTGATGCGATGTTATTATTGTATTTATGTTACTCCACTTTAACATGTTCAATTCCTTCGTGTCTGCCTTGCCACGTCTTGATAATTTTTTTTCCACAAGTTTTTCCAAACTCTGATAATGCGCTATTGTGACACAAGAATTTCGAATTTGGGTTTAGGCATGCTCTAGGGCGACGCTGACGTACCCCCACCCCCCCAAGAGTCCGCCGTTTAATAATTTTTAGTATGAACTGAAGTTTCGTGAAGAGGCCGTTTTTACAAATTTGAATTTTGTGCAGAGGACATTTTTTAGAATTTGAATTGTGAAGAGGCACCTATTTCCACTTGGTTTGGCCCTTGGTATCGATTCCAAATTCTTACTTAATTTTTTATAATAAATGGACTTCAATTCTATTTCCAGTTATTTTATGTTTTAATTTAAAGATGATACAAGATAGTTATATATAGTCTATTAGATAATTAGGAGTTTACTAGTTTTGCCTGGAGATTTACCACCCTGGACTTTGTTCCACTGCAACCTCATTAGGTTAGTGCTATAGTATACCTAGCATTAGTTACATAAGCTGTTTAATAAGTAGAGACTTTTATTTAATCTTCATTTTTATCAGCCAAAGATCCAAAGAAATATATTTTTTGTTCTGGCATATTCTGACATAATAAAAATTGATAATCATATAAATGTTGTAAATTTTCCAGACTGAATGAAAGATTAGTTTTTCTTCATGTAGTGAAATAAAGGTCAAGTTTAATATAATTAAAAATGATTTAGACAAATATTTATGGTGCTATTTCTTTGTTTTATTGAAATTGGTTGTGCTCAAATATTTAAAAAAACTTTCTTTTGCAGACCATACGTTAGATCAAAGGGACGAAAGTTTGAGAGAGCTCGTGGCAGAAGGAAGAGTCGTGGATTTAAAGTTTAAAATATTGGCTGTAAGGTTGATAATCTTATGGAATAAAATGTTCACATCTATTATTTCTCTTTCATTTCCGATTCATTTTTTCATACACCTACATTTACTAAGGTTTTGTATTTTAATAAATTTATAAAAAGTAAATTAGTTACTCATGATTTTGATATACAATTTTTGAAAGTTTGATGATGAAAAATGATATATACTTTTTTCTAAGGTGTGAAATGCAATTGTGCTGTGGTGTTTTAATCGACATACTTTTTTTTCTCAAATGTATAGTTTTAAAATTTAAACAAGTGAAGAAAAGCTTTTAGTCTGATGGTAATGGTTGCAGCAATGCCTATGTGGATAGAAACACCCTTTGAGGACCATATTTTTAACTTTTTCTGAACCATTTTTAGGAGGTCAAGTTCTTTGTTATGTTCTTTGCATACAATTGTATTGAATTCAGTACAAAGACCCATTTATCAGTATTTAGGCAGCAAAGTACTTGAGATTTTATCAGGAAATTTTAAATTTCTTTAATTATAAATTTCCATTAAGAACTAGATTATTTTGCAATTTAAAATTTCATTTCAAGTTAACTTATTTATGACTATCAGTTTATTACTTATTTAAATAATTTATATATTTATCTGAGTTGAGAATAGAGGCAAATATAGTAAGACAAAGAAAATTAAGTATCTGCACACATAATCCAAAAGTAACGGCAGGCTCATGATTTTTCTGAGTACAGAATGATTTTATTACAATACAACATTTATTTCAGAAAAATATATACATGCACACTAACAGAGGTAGATTAATTAAAATGGTTTTAAACAAAAATGAAAGTGAAGAACATTTACTATTCACCATACCGGACACCATTATTATAGCCGATTGTTGTTCGCTTAGTGTTGAGTAATTTTCACATTAAAATTTTTTTATAATTTTGCCTCCCCCCCCCCAAATCCTTCACTGCGAAATCCATATTTAACTTTTCATGTCAGGCTTGAGCAACTTGTTCATTTTTACTAACAAATGAAATTGCATTAAAGACATTCCACTGTATTTGTTTACTTTGTTGTAAAGCATTGTGATGGGGTCGCTGATTTTAAGGCTAAATAAGTAGTTCTTTTCTCTACGGTAATAACATGAACACCTCGAAGATGGAAGGCTTTTGTACAAATCAGTTTAGTAGTCTGACTTGATAAACTGCACAGTGGAACAGATTACAAAATCTGTCACTATATTTGGGCCACTAAACAGTGCTATAAAGAAGATTTTACTATGATTGGACTCTTAAAAGATGCAATTTCTCGTTTATGGCAATCAGTGCAGAGGCCTTTTATCTAGGTGTTGTTAGAACTAAATCTTCTACGTTACATAAATTATGATTATGTTGTCTGCTGCTTATTTTATTTTACCTGCAAAATTTTTTACATGGATACTTTATTTAACTGTGAAGGCAAAATACCAATGTTACCAGGCAACTGTAGTTTAAAAAAGATACTATGACAATCTCGCAATATGGTACGTTATTTGTACCAACAAAGTTAATTAACATTTTCTATTAGTACCAATTTTGATTCAACTTTTATATTGTGTCATAATTGAATAAAGTAAATGTTTCCTCATTAAATGATTAATTAAGAGATTATGTTAGAAAATATGCATAGATTTTTATTTTTCTGAAAAATTTAGTTATTAAGGGTAGTTTGACATATTTGTCAGGATATTTTTTTACCTCTCTTTCTAAATCTTGTTGAATGGTGACATTGTTGACATTCTCATCTTGTACCTGTTAAGATTCTCTACTCAAACAACAATCTTTTTTATAACATTTTATAGATTGATTAAATGAATAATAATTTAAAATGTCTTTAGAAAGATTAGGTTCTAATATTTATTTGTTAAGAACCAGTTATTATTAAGTTGTTGGAATAACCAGAGGCTGGTCGAACTACAAGTTATTTTTTCTCGTAAAATTGTGCAAAAGACCTAAATATTTTGATACATAAAATAAAGTAGCAGAGTTTTAAGGAATTGCAGGGTGCATCTTCACAGGAAAGGGCACTTGTTACTTCTGCACTTGTTTAATTAAATTATTAAAATATGTAATGACTGAATTTGATCTCCAATTTTTAAATTGCTTAAACTATTTTATATTTCACAAAACAGAAAATATTTCCATAACAGAAAAATTTAAATTAATTTTTTTATGTATTTTAAACTGAAAATTTGGAGAAAATACATTTAAAGGTGCATTTTAAATAAAAGGTAATTATTTACAAAAATAATGGTGAAATTTAAAATGACTAAAAATTCATCAAAATACCCAAATAAAAGATATAAGTATCTCTGGAGTTGAATGTGTGAATTTTAACTAAATACTAGATAACATAAGATAAATCTTACAAAAATGAAGGAATGAAATTAATTAGTTATCAGTAAGTAAATAAATTAGAAATGGGCTTTTCATTAAAACAGGTCATTAAGAAAACTTTTTCCTGAAGCTTATTTTCTCATCGAGGGCACATTTATAAGGATCAAAGGGCAGATGGGGTTGGCCACCCTTCTAAAAACGTTTACGTAGATTTTAAAGCAGAATAGCCAAATTTAAGAAAATTTTTTGTTTTGTTTATGCTACTGAAATCTGTCTAGCAGGCAGAAGAGTGCCACCCAGGGAATATGTGCTCTTTTTTTTATCACAAAAAGAGCACATGAATTTAGTAAATTTTATCAATGAAGTTCAGAATTCAACTAAAAATCTTTCTGAAAACTAATAAATATGTCTTTTACTTAAATCATGAGGTATTTTTAACTCTAAAAGCTTGTTCCACGCATAGGAAGCGCTCCTTAAAACTTCTACGGGTGTATTACGCTTTGAATTTTAAATAAGAATTTAGCAAAAGACAAGGCTATCTATAAATATTTTTTCTCTGTTTGAAGCACAAATAGATCAGATGCATTTTCCCTATCACATTGAACTCCACTATAGCTATGGCTGGAACCTTGTCAACAGCTGCATTGTGAATGTAGGTTTTCAATCCTATACAGGAAAGAATGATCTGTAGACAATACACATAGAAAAGTACTGTGAGCATTATTCTGTTGCCTATATTTAACAATTTCGATTTAATTTACTATTATACAAGACATGCCTCTAATTAATCTTCGGGTAACTTATGATTGATGAAGATAGACATAGTCTGAATCTCCCTTCTCTATATTGGGATCCTGCACACACTTGACTGCTAATAGAAATACAGGAGAAACCACACATACACAACCATGAACTTAATACAGCTCTCACATGACAAACAATCTTAAACTCGGTGAAACTTAATGCATCTCTCGCCACAAGCGCTCTATATCCAGTGGACTTAATACAGCTCTCCCAATCTTTCGCAAATACAGCAACTATTGGTATATGTTTAATCCAATTCCATCCCAGATAAAATTCTGGTGGGGGAGTACTGTGGCTTAACTACAATTATTAAATATCAATTCACTAGTATATAACAGGTGATTGTGCTCCGGAAAAAATCCAGATTTATTGCCAATCGCAGTCCAATGTCCAAAAGTTTCAAGAAATCATTGACGATATTTATGTATACAAATTCTTGTATATTTTATTTAGAAATATTGGAACTAGCATTTATACTTTCAGGGGTCGCATTCCCCCTAAAATTCCTAAAACTATGTGCAAACCCTAAAAATCTGATAAAATTTTGTTAGTGTTCCTAAAAAATTAGAGTTATAGGCTAAATATAAATAAAAAAGCAATCTAAAATGTAAGAATTTAACTACATTCATTAAAACTGTTTTAATTTTGCCACATGGGAATTCTGATCCTGAGAGGTTTTTCGATAAATAAAGCAATGCTTAATGTGAGTCACCATGAGAATACTATTATGTCTCTTAGACTAATCAAAGATACCATTCGAAATTATGGAGGAGTGTTGAAGATCACCACAACACTATTGAGGGCAGTAAAAGAATCTCACAAATCATATCAAGAATATATTAGAAAAATGATCATGATTAATTTGTTTTTCTCTAACTTCTAATATAAATTGCTGATTTGAAATCTAATAATATCACACAATAGTTTTTCTTAATAAAGTAAGGTAAAGGGTAATAATAAAGTTTTGATTAAGAAGGTAAAAATTAAATAAAAATCCAAGTTGGTGTTAATTTATTTTTTCTCTTGATTTATTCTCACTTTTGCCTGTTCCTGAATTATGCACTTAATTTCTGATAGGTAATGTGTAAAGTTGAAATTTCATTTTTACACTTTAGAGATTTCATTCTTGACTTAATAAATTTCAGAGCTTTATTTTATGGCTTGCAATTATTTATGATGTGTGTGAATGAATTGTAATAATCTTCTGTTATGTAATGAACTACCGTGTGATCTGTTTTTATCCTAGCAAAATCATATATTACCCCTAAAATTTACCTAAAATTTTTTGAAAAAAGTTCCTAAAATTACCCTAAAATTTTAAAAAACTTTGCTGCTACCCCTGTACTTACTTTGCATCTTTTTCATTTGTAAATATTTTTTCTGGTAGAATAATAAATATGATTAGAGATAAAAGAAAACTTATACATATATTCATTTAAATTATGCTGCATATAATTTATTTAGAATTTCATAATCGGAAAATATCAATGACTTAAATTTATAAAGACATTAATTTTTTGAAATGCATCATTAATGATTTTACTCAAAAAATTTCAGGATTTTTGAGTTGGGCTCACAATCAAACCCCTGATATAAGACATGTTTACTCCATTCAATCTTGGGGTACCTTTTGATAGATGAAAGTTGACATTGTCAAAATCAGTCTCACATAGACATAACTCAGTAAACATAAATTGACAGGAATAAAATTAGTGCAAGACCATAGAGTGCAAAAAAAANAAAAAAAAAAAAAAAAAAAAAAAAAAAAAAAATACAATATAGGTATGACTTTAAAATACAGCTTGAAATGGTCATCTGCATCAGACCAAACAGATGAAATGCAACCAGAACTTACTTTTTGAAGTGTTAAATTTATATTTTAAAAATAATTTTCTATTCTTTCATGTAATACCAACTGTCAGTAGAACATTTAAAAAATTTCATGTTAAAAAATTTTTATTAACTTCAGCACATAGTAAAATATTAAGGCACTTCATTATGTACTAGGATAATTATGTTACCAAGTTTTTGGTTCATACTAATCCAGAATAGAATATTTCAGGCTGCGGAAATAAACCTTTACCTGGTGTATTGAGTTAAAAAAATAATACAGTAGGGAACCGATTATCCGGAATGATCGGGACCATCGCTATTCCGGAAAACTGATTTTTCTGATTCGCTACAAAAAGCGGTTTTTTTATTGTTAAACCCAACAAAAATTAGAAAAATATTTAGAAATAATCTTAAAAACGATGAATTAATACACTAATGATTATTTCTAAAATGATGGTAAGGTAAACATCTTTCAAAAAAGAAAGAAAAATCCTAAAATCTTATGAGTAAGAAAAATTTTGTTTTTTTAAATAGCGGGAAAATGTATCGAATTTCGTTCCGGTTTTTCGGTTTTCTGATTTCCGGATAACGGGTTCTGTACTGTATAATTAACTTCATATCATGATGAAATTTTCACACAAAGCTGGAAAAAGCTTCCTAAGGTGTAACTTGATTAATTTATACATTAAATATATAAGGCATACCTATTAAATTTCAGAACTAATTTAATAACTCCTTAAAATATGTATTCTTTTAATGTGTTTTGAAAAAAGTTGTTTTGAGACAACTTTTAAAATTTCATTTGGTTAATTTTGGGCACTCTTTCATTTTGCTACACTAATGGGTACAGATGGCATCAAGAGATCGTTCTTGATGATCTGAAGACAAAACTTAAAAATTGAAGAGTATTCTGAATGAGAACTTATCGTGACATCAGAGGAGAATACTTATAATTTATCAAAAGGTAATGTTATTCACATATTTTCAGAAGTTTTTAGACCAGTGCAGGAAACTAATCATATTCTGAGCCTAGCGTGACACTCATTTCTTCTCCTTCAATAACTGTTGTGTGGTACCATTGATTGGTATCAACAAGAATTATGTCTCCTCGATTGACAGTTATATTCATAGGTGAACAGACATCTTCACATTCTGGAGGCGGAAGAAGATACCAAGTTTTTTTCCCTCGAATCTGTGCTTGCCACGATGGTCTTCGAACATAGTCTAAATGCATGCTGGCGCCAGTTCCTTTATAGCCCATGAAGATCCAATCAATTGCACTTAGCTCGGAATCATCAGGTAAAAAGTAGGGTTTAGAATAATGTTGACGAAGAACAGCAGAGACATCTGGATTGCAGTTACTCCTAAAAAAGATTGTAAATCTTCAGTATAGAAGAACAACCAAATATAAACTGCCTAAATCTATAAATAGTCACAACAATTTATAATATAATAAAATAAATAACGGTTATAACAATTAATAAGCAACTACTGTATAAACTTTGGTCACTCTAGTCAAGAGTTTACACCCTTTTCCGCGAAGTTTCTTCATTTTCTAGCCAGGAATCAAACAGAATCACTCTCTTAACCCTCTACATTGGTCACTATCTCAATCCTCAACAAATCACGGCACTATAGATATAGTGCTTTTGCCTTGATTCAACAAGTAAATCATCAAGGCTCAAACAGCACTGTAATAATAACTTTATTCACAGCCATGTGCCTTTTTAACACCTTGAAATGCCCATAACTGATATCCAGTCATATTTTCCCATTGACTGAAGGGGGAGTGTGCCATGACTAAAGCTTTTATAAAAAATAAATATAAAGCTTCTAAACTTACTCTGATTGGAGGAGCAAATCTTTTTTCATGGTGGCTAGACCACCTGGTTATGATTATGGAGGTTCTTAGCTTAGCAGTCAACTAACACTTCTCTCTCATCCCTCCAAAAAGCATTTACAATAAAATCTCAATGAAAATTTGTAAACTTGATCATTTACGATTGTCATATAGGATGAATTTGTGATCAGCATTTTCAGATAATTTGTTAAAGACAAAATTGGTACTTGTCTTCTTTCTCTTCTGCTACAATGTATTTAACTATTTAATGCTTAGTTTTTTTTATTTTTTTTATCTTAGTTTAAGATAAAATGACTAGTTAGTATAATTGCTTCTTATTAGATATTAAAAAAATAAATCAGTACCAGTGTTTTCACTACAGCGCAAGAACCTCGCATATTTTTTTCTTTTCTCGCATTAAAAAATTATTACCGTGAGAAATTCGCGCATTCTATAAATCAATTTGAAAATTCGAGAATTTCTCACATTTTGGAAAAAGCTTCGAATTACGCTAATTAGAATAAAATCTGTTTCACTTTTCTTCCTGGATCTTTCATTATTTCCAACATCTGCCCCGTTATCTAGCTTCCCTATTTACCAGTATTGGTCAGAACCTTTTCGGACAACAGAACACAACCACAGAACCCCTTTCAGAACACATTACTCTGCAACCTTGTGTTTATACTGTAAGGTTTTTTCATGTAAGATATTCAAATTTTTTATGTGCTAATGTAAGATGGACAAATACCTTGTAAAGGCAAAATCTTCTATGATGATGCACCAAAAATATTCAATACTTTAAAAAATAGAAGACGTTAAAAATGTATTATAATTAAAGAAATGATTTTTTTTTTCGAGAGTTTTAGTGCTTTTTTAGTTTTTATAAATCTCACTTAACTTTTTGAAATCTTACCCTGTTTTTGAGAAAGGGTGAGAAATTCTCACTATTTTTTTTTTTCTGTGATGAAAACACTGAGTACAGTAAAAACCTGATATTAAATATCATTTGTGACAAAAGAAAAAGTAGCTTTTGAATAATTAAAGGCTGTGAAGAAAAAAGAAAGGAATAAAACTGAATACGACTACTTTTCACGAAATTTTTTTTTTTTTTACAGGAAGTACCACCAATAAATAAAAGTAAAATGAATTTATTATAGTTTATAAAATGACATAAATTTTAAATACTACAACAACCTCACAGCATTTTTCTGGGGAAAAAATGCTCGTATAATGCTCCCTATGCGAGTCATTCAAAAACTAAAATTTCACTTTATTTTTAAGTACATGTTCAGCTCCATTTTTAATCAACCTCAAAATAACAACATCAGAAGTAAACCTCTGATAACATCCATGGTCATAAGTTAGGTTTACTTTCAAATTAGTTATTTAGAAAATTAATCACCTCTTTATTGAAAAGAATGGAAGTTGTTACAGATACTAAAGTTAGGAAATTCACAACAATCTCAAAGGACTTTTTTTAATGTGTTAGTTACAATAAAAATCAAACTACTCTGCAATTAAATTTAAAGGTTACACATGGTACTAACTAACCTGTAATCATGGCAGAAATAATGTTAATTTGAAATGTTTTCTATCACATTAAACTTGATAAATATTCTTATTGAAAGTTTCTCCATTATGTATGTTATTTATATTTGAATTGTTAAAAAGAATTAAAGGACGCACTTTTGGTGCGATCAGGATCACCAAACGTTTTTATACTTTTATAAATATTTTTCTTTATATTAAACCGTAAGGACTGCCACCAAAACCGTTTTGGGTGTACAACTTAACCCCACTTCAGGAAACTTCCCATACTAATGATGATAAAAGAAGTATTATATTTAAATGTTCTTTATAATAGAAATGCAAATATTCGATGTGACAAAAAATTATTCTGATTTAAGAGTGAAATTTTTTTAAAAAGCGATACTAAATTATTGTTTTAGAAAGATTTACATGCCAGTACTTGAAAAAAAAAATCAACAAATTTTAAGCACAACCAGGCAAGAAAATAAAGCATGAGAAGAATAAATTAAAAGGTATAACTCATAGTCATTCCCAAAAGAACCACTACACATACACATATTTTTTTAAAATTTTTACAAATACAAAAACCTTTTATCATACAGGAATAGTAGTTGACACCAACAGGTAATGATATAAAAATATCCCCATCTTTTTTTTCTACTGGTTCCTTAAAAAAGGGAATATTTAAAAGGCCCTGCAAAGTTATGCCCAGAGGCGGGAATATTTCCTTATTAGTATCTCCACCTGCTCATGTCAACTACAATTGCCAAGGCACCAAAAAAATATTAAATATATAAAAAAATAATAAATTTCTGTTTGCCTAAGGTTACTACAAGTTATACCTTTCAAGTTAATTTTCTTCTGTGATTTTGTTTGTTTGTTTGAGCCAATTATGGTAGTCACCAAAACTTGGCGACCAGTACGCAAATCTGCCTTCAGAGTTCCCTAATTCTAGTGAAAGTTCAAAATAGTTATTGAACTTACCATCCTATGTACCAAGTTTTTTCATTTTTTGAACTCATTTTTGCTCTTGCTTCGCTCATATTGAACACTTCTTTAAGACTCAAAAAAGTAGTTCTAAATGGAAAAAATTGGCATTCTTCTTCAACACTTCTATGAGCACCTTCAATAGTGGAGTATAAATTTTTAAAAAAATCATAGTTAAATACATCTAAAGCTGTCCAATCTCTACAGCCTCCTTTAGCTAATAAAGGATGTGACAAGTAAGCATATTTGGCAAAAATATCTTTAGTTACATTTTCAAGAATTGTAAAACTGTTAATGCCTCTACATATGTTACAATTAGTTATAGGTCTAGTAACTTCCATAACTAAATAATTATTTTCTATAATGCATCGATTCAGTTCAAACTCTCTGCCGTTTAAAACAATAGATGATATTGTTACTATTATTAATAAAAACAAAGCAAAATTAAAATTTAAAAAAAATTTGTAACAAGATGTTGGCTTTTTGTTATTGAAATGTTTATTAATTCTCGATTCTATAAGTGACTCGATTTCCTTTTCGCACAAACCTAATTTAAGACCAGTACCTTTAAGTGAAATTAAAGAGCTTTTTAAGTCTTCATACTCTTTTTTAGATTCTTGCTTAAATATAATGTTGGATAACTGAACCATGGTGATATTAGAGAGGGGGGAAAGGAAATTTTAAACACCTCTGACGTTTGTTCGAGCCATTCTCAAAACGGTGATTTTTATTCACCTTTAAAGTTTGATGTCAAGCTACAAATACTGCCTACTGCCTTGTTAATCAAATCCAAACAAAATCTACAAATTTTTTCACCCTGCCGAAGATAGGTGATTAAAACCAGCCGGAATGACAATTAATGCAATGCAAACAAATACTTTATTTTGGTTTTGTATGATTGACAGGTGAAATCTTCAGTGCACAGTTCGAATGGGTTCAACGATTTCATTCAGTTTTCTCAGTTCAATCAGATAAATCAATTTACTGTATATATAATCAGTGACAGATAGGAACTGTCCGTAGAAAAAAAGTTACTTTTTGTACCCGAAATTAAATGACTACCTTTTGTTTTCGCTTTAACCCTTTGAGTTAGGAAAATTAAAAAAAAAAATATCAGTGTGAATTGTCTATTTTAAACAATTAAAGAAATATCAAATGAGGTTTTTACTGGAAAAAATGTTCATTTATTTCATTATTATCATTTAATTTTTTTGCAATAAAAAGATGGCAACGTATCATTGCTAACAAAAACAGCAAGAAGAAATCGAAACAGAACAAAACAGCAACAGCTGTGAATGAATCTTCTGTGACAACGGAGTAAGTTGTGAGAAGGAGATAACTCATCAATCGATATCGTAACTAATGAGGAAGTAAACAGCAACAATTTGATATTTTTTTCAACATGACCTACTGATCACGCTGGGACTCCTGCCGTATAATGGCTTTTAATTCTTCCTCAGAAACTGTGATCTTGGAAGATACTTTTTATTCCTATCCATTGACTTCAGTTGTTTGTAATTTAATACTCACTGAGAAAATTTTATTCATTCATTTTGTTAATAAAGGAAAAGATGAAGTTGAAAAACTCTTCTTGCACGATGTGATCGGTTGTCGGGTTTTACACGGTAAAGACAAGTTAAAAAATGATCCAAAGGATCATTTCGGTTACTTTTGTGTTTATGCATATCTGTTGAAAACATCAGCCGGTCTTCTGAGCAAACAGCTTAGAAGAGAAAGAAAATGTTTAACGTTTCAAGCTCGAAAATATGAAACTCAAGAGGAAAATATTAAGCTTGTTGAAACATGGAAGAGGGCTCTCTCTTGCCTTTTAAGGGGGCGATTTTGTGTACAGAATGGAGGTAATTTTGATGTTAATTATTTTTACATAACATTATAACTGAATACATGTTACTAAGTTCATATTCTTAGAGATACAAATAACCAGAACTCTAAAAATCGCGGTCGTATTCAAATTCTCTCAATAAGGGAAGATTTCCTGCACTAAAATAATCACTTAGTTTTGCCGATTTAATGTTGTGTTTAAAAGTAAAATATACATGCCTATGACTTCGATAAATTTTTCAAATGCATTTCTTTTGTTTTTTGCTTTATAATTACAGGTCATACATATTTTAATGTCAGTAGTTATCTCATAAATGGATACATTTACAGAAAGAGAATGTCATCTTAACAATTGTCCAATTCCCTTATTCACATGCGAAGGGCAATTCCTTGATACAAGGGGCAGCATTATAAAAAAAAACGAACATTTAATTTAGCATCCCCCACTATATCTTTTGCCACTTTCTATGTTTCTGGTTAATTTTTGAAGTCCTTTTTTATAAATAACAAAAATCCTTTTATTGCTTAAAGAAAAAGGAGACTTTTGAAATAATATTCAATTCCATGTTCTTTGTATGTAACATGAGTCACATTATATATTTTTATTCTAAAAAAAACATTTATAATTTGCTTAATATTATTGTACGATTGAAGAACATTCCATATAATGTAAAAAAGAATTAATAAATATTTATAAATAAATAAAATTTGAAAAAAAAAGGAAGGAAAGTCTATTTAAATGCTTCGTCATTCATCCTGGAATCATCAAACAATAATCCATCTAAGACATTCTGAATGACATGAATCAGAAAATGATATGAATTATAAGTTTCAAACTTTTCTTTTAAGTAAAAACTCATTCAAAGCCTAAAAAACTAACTTAATACATCAAAGCAACACTGCAAGCTTGTTAATTTTAACAGATAAAAGTTGAACAAGAAAAGTATAGGTATTTCATTTAGAAATAATGTTTTTTGCATTTTTAAGTGGTAAGAGGTGAAAAAAGTTTTCATAGGTTTCATAAATAAAAAAATATTTATTTCAAATAATTTAAGCATATAAGATATTGTACTAAACACATTTTCAAACAATATATTAAACAGATAACTATATAAAAATACTAATGTAATTTTTCTATTAAAAAAATAGCTGAAANAACTTAATATGTCGAAGCAACACTACAAGCTTGTTACTTTTAACTGATAAAAGTTGAACAAGAAAAGTATAGGTATTTCATTTAGAAATAATGTTTTTTGCATTTTTAAGTGGTAATAAGTGAAAAAAGTTTTCATAGGTTTAATAATTAATAAAAAATATTTATTTCAAATAATTTAAGCATATAAGATATTGTACTAAACACATTTTCAAACAATATATTAAACAGATAACTATATAAAAATACTAATGTAATTTTTCTATTAAAAAAATAGCTGAAATATCTTTCCATTACATCATTTTAGACCATTCAGTGAGAATTCTTTTCATTCTTTTCAAATGTCGAGATATTCTTGTATCGGTACCTTTTATATTTTAAACTTGTAGAGGCTTGAGCAAAATGACGAGCCATACTCTTCGAATTGGCCCCTTTATATTATTAAATTTTTTAATTTCTTGTTGGTCATTGCCGTAAGTTGCCAAAACCTGCTGATTATTTTGGCGCCAGTACTGATACAGAAATATTCCGTTAAATTCTTCCTCTCATTTGAATATTGTCTGATGCAGTTTGAAATGCAGCTTTTATGTGTGTGTGTGGGGTGGAAAATTTTTTTTACATTGGCAGGCATTTGCAAAAAAAGGCATTTAAATTCTTAGTCACATTTTCAATTAAATAATCATTTATTGTTAAGAAGATAGTCCCATTCTTTATTCTTTGCTTTTACTCTCAACCTTTATTCATGGAGATATAACAAGATTAAAAAAGTGTCAGAAGTAAATTAAGAGAAAGGTAAAAAAAAATTAAAATTTTTTAATTACGAAAAGAAAATATTAAAAAAAAGTGTGTACTATCTCATTTATTCTTTCCTTCCCTCTGCTAGTAGAGTTTTACGCGTGGAACTTTAGGTATTTCATTAATAAAATTAGTCTAATTTATTAATCCAGGGGTATGCATATAACTCTGGTAAACGTTATGGATCACAAGTATCAAATATACATCTTGTTTGTGTACAAAATGCTTTTAAATGGTATATAACTTAAGAGATTATGTTGGAGAATTTATGGGATTTAAAAAGATTTTGTTAAATCAAAGTTTTTCTGGTTGACATTTCTCAAGAAGTACGGAAAAAAAAATGCTTTAAATTTAGTGGCCTCTAGAAGTTTTGGTGTTTTCTAAGTTTAGGACTTTTAAACATAATGATAAATCAGGCATAGAATAGTGGTTTCAGGTGAGACTTATTTGGACTAATTGTGTGTTGTAAAGCTTAGCACATCAATGATGAAACATTAATTTCAGTTGACAAAGTTGCAGCTAGCAATATGAAAAGTGGAGTACTTCACAGTAAATGTTGGCTTATGGATGGCATTGCAACAGTGTAAGACTGGCTCTGGTCATAGTCACAGATCAGTTACATTAAAATATTTTAAGGATTGAGATTGATTTATAAAAAGAAAGTCATTCAACTTCCTATCCAAAATTAATTCGATTTTTTGTGATCATTATTATCGTTTTTTTTGGGGGGGGGGGGGGTAGTTGGGATTGTTCTTCAAATTTTTTGCTACTTTATGGAATTGGCCATGAACTTCTGAGCTTATAATAAACCATATTTATAACTGCTTCATTTATGACTACAAAAAAACTTAATGAGAAATTAGCATTTTATGCACAAAATAAAATAGTTCCCTTGCCTCTCTTTTTGAACCCACGATAACCTCTACTGTTCATTTTTTTTTATTTTTAAGTTTTTGATGTTAGCAGATGACTGTGCAAATCATGGGTGGGAAAAATAGTTTCCCATTTAAAAATGATTCAATTCGGCTGGAAGTATACTTTCCACGCCCTTATAAATTGTTAAAATATAGTGATATTATAATTGACATCGTTAATGAGTTAATATCTCTTTTATCTTTGCTCATTTACCCTTTATCGTTGCAGAAGTGCATATTCCTGATTCAGTTCCTCCACACAAAAACTTTCTTATTCTTATCAACCCTAAGAGTGGATGTGGAAAAGCTCATCAAATTTTTAAACAGTGGGTTGTTCCTGTTTTTCAAGAAAGTGATACTGAATTTGAGTTACTAATCACAGGTAAGGGTTGTCATTTTATTTTCTTTGAAAGAAATCCTCTTTTTTAATTTATTAATGAAATTTTGGCCTATGATTTTGTTTGAGAAAAATTACAAGAGTTGTATTTTTTAGATTTCCTTTTTGTTACAATAATTTTTAAAAAAAAATATATTGTCTTGCATCAGGATCAGGGTTATTATGATTATACCAGACCCGACAAAACCTCAGTGGGCTATTTCGTGAAAACCCACCTGAAAAAGACCAAAATGGGGTTTTTCATATTTACATTTTATTATTAACTAATCAGCTCTAAATTACAATAGAATAAAATGCTAACTGCATACATTTAAATATTTCTATTTCTATTATTTCTTCATTTTGTGTTTTAAAATTTTTAAATAACCTTTTTTAAAACATACTACTATAATTGAAAATATTATTGCTAATTTACCAATGTAAATGACATTGATAATAAAAGAAATTAAACTCAGTGGTGCAACAGCTCATAGAGGGCCAAGGCCTACCGTGCCCATCTCAGTTTTCCTGACCTTGGGCTCTGGGGTGCAGGAGCAGATGTTCCGGTTAGGTGGGTAGCAGAACGTGAAGCCCCCAATGTTTAGCTCCCAAGCATGCTTGGTACTCATTTATCGACCCACTGTAGGGATGAAAGGCTGAGTCAACTTTGCCCGATCCAAGGATGACATTGATAACAAAATGTATTAATAATCAATGTTAAAAAAATAACCTGATTATTAATTAAATTACTGTGGTATTCATTAATGCACCAAGTCTTTTACTAAAACTATAAATAATAACAAAAAAAAATTGATGAAAAACTCATGTTTGAAAAACCCTCGATTCAACTCTCCTCAATTAAACCCTAAAAAAAAACAAATATGACGTAAAAAAAAAAACCAAAACCATGGGAAAGAAATAACAAGGGGTTGGTTTGTTTCTGAAAACCCCCTGATTTTTCACACATTTGGATGAATCACATTATTTGGATGAAATATTATTTTTAATGGTTTAAATTTTTAATTTCAAAAATGCTGGTTAAAATGTTTGCTTATCATAGCAATTTAATAAAAGTGTAAATCAGAAAGTCAAAAAAGTTTTGTAAGCTCGCAAGAAGGCAATATGAACAAACTATTCCTGTAACTGCCTTATCTTAATATCATTTTATGGAGTAAATTGAAAAAAAAAAAAATGTATTTATACAATGCTTCTCTTCTATTATTTGTAAAACAAACAAGAAACAATAAAGATAGAAAAAATGCTGTGTGGACAAACTGGATGTTAATTCATAAAATTATATTCTGTGCAAGGACTTGAACCCCCCACTGTTATTTTAGGAATCAACATATTTTAAAGCAGTGGTTTCCAATTTTTGTCGTCTACGGAATTTCATAATTATGAACCTTCTTTTTGCGGAATCCTGACTTTAGAAATAAAGTAAATGAAAACAATTCTTAACATATTAACCATTAAAACACTATTTTGACTTTTTATGTTTAAAAAGAGGAATGAAATTTTTCATCAACTTACGTTCGTCAGTTGAATTCGCAGTCTTGGAGTAAAAGGCGATCGAAATATTAAGTAAATGTAAAAAGAAAGTTTGATAGAGAGAGGTATTAAAGATAAGTGGAAAAGGGAAACATGGATAAACTGCCCTATAAGTCCTTATACTAAATTAATGTTAATATGGTAAAAAAATGTGGAACATTTTCATGTTTCGATTTTTTCCTCTGTATAAGATATAGTGAATATTGAGAATAGGCAATTAAAAACTATCTATATCTATATGTCTACCCTGAATCGGCAACCCTCATGTTCGGTTGTCCCTGGCAATATTTATTATTTAGCTATTCAAGATTTATATTATTATTATCATTTTTTTTTAACTCTGTCACATGGGCAAAACTTTTCTTTCCTTGCAGGGTGCGTAGCGTTTGTAAAAAGTACTTAAAGGTGCTTTTTTGGGGATTTCGTTTTTAAAAGCTTCTAAAGGTGATTTTTTCAGCTGGCGTTTTTAAAAAGTGCTTTTTTTCCGAATAATTTTTTCCCCCTTTAGTGATATCTGGTGGATCCCATGCATTTCACGAAAAATGGGGAGTTTGCTACATAATCATTCACGCGGACTTCATGTCGTACCCACGTTATGAGTGCTCCAATTCGGATAGAGAATATCAGATCCTTATGAAATGTTTTTCTTTTTAATTTATTTTAATTTTATTCATGTTTATTTTATTTTACTTCTAACACTTTTTTTGACGTAGGGGGTAAGGGTACTTTTGTTCTGAGTTCAGGGTCAAGTTGAATTCGCTCGGTGATGTGGGAAAGTACTGATTGTTTCGATTTACGCCCTTTTCTTTTTGGGTTTTTTTTAAATGCTAAAACTGTTAATAAAAAGTTTTTGTTTTTCAATAATATCATTGATTGAATATGAATCTGAGTGCTTGAAAATTTTTATGAAGTGCTTGAAAAGTTTTTAAAAAGTGCTTATTTTTGATTCTAAGATTTGGCAACGCACCCTGTTAAGGCACAAATTTATTTTTTGGAGCACATATATTTTTGGCTTTAATAATTCATTTCAAAGTTAAGAACATCTTCAGTTATTGTCAGGATTCTGATTCCTCTCCGACGCATTTGATTGACCCCTGACCAGAGGGTGAGGGGCACAGGAGTGTCCTTCCCCTAGAGTGAAAAGTGGAGTAAGGTGAAGCGAAGGACTTTTTTTGGTGAGAAAAAGGATTTATAATATAGATTGGATGTGGAGAAAGTAGAGAGTGGATGCTGAGTAATAAATGAGAAGGGGGAAATAGAGCTGCGGATTCTATATGTTATATAGCGCATGTACATTTTCGTATTTAATTTTAAATTTATATATAATCAAGAATCTTAAAATAAATATAGACATTAAAAAAAGTCCTTGTCATCATTAAGAGTGACTAAATGAAAGAACCGAAACAAATCCATCTCTTAAAGAAAGGGATGTCACAGTTATTCAATTCATTTTTACTGGTGTACCTATTTTAATTTAATTTTCTCATCAGGGGTAGTTAAGGAAGTTCTGGTTTTCAAAATTTCTGATTTATACCACTTGATGCTAATGTTAAATTTTAAAACTAGATCAAAAACAGCATATAAAGCGAAAAAAAAATATATTAAAACACAATCTGGTAAATAAAATTGATACTCATAAATTATTACCAAGCGTTAGTGACAGATTTTGGGCCTTTGAAATTGATAAAAAAGTAATATAATATTTTTATCTTTGATAAAAACTTCGCCCTTTGTCAGTAACTGGGATTAAATTATCCACTTTACTAGTTTTTTATTATTATTACGTCACAAGAAGATAATTTTATTTCATGCTCTGCCTTATCTATTTATTATCCTTTTATCTGTTAATGTGTTGCAATCTTAAAAAAAAAAAAAAATTTAAACTTGTGATGTTTTTGTTTCTGTTTTATCTTCTATCGATTTAAGCTTGTGTGTGACAACACATTGTAAGATTTGATAACAACTTTCAGTGCAAAATTTGGGGGGATATTTTTTATTATTTATTTTGTGATGAAAGTATATTTTCCTTGATGATACAATGGGCGATTTATGTAATTTTTATTATCTGATAATATTTATACACTTATTATATTTGTAATCGAATTGTAACGAATGTAAAACACTAATACAGAAGACCTCTTTTTCCCCCTAAATCAAAATTTATATTCTCATTTGCTTAAGGAAAGTTTCTTTTTTTGTTTGTTTAATATTGCCTTGATGCATATTGTTTTGTTTAATTCATGTAAAGTTATTTATTTTCCTTTTAGTAAAATTTTTTTTCCTACGTACAAAAATAATTTTTTTTATAAAAAAGTAGTTAGAAAAATACGTTTTTTGGTACAAGCAACGACTTAAAATAAAATAATACATTTTCGAAAACGTATGTGTTTTTAAAATGTATTAAAACGAGAAAAATGAAAAGTGTCCCTATGGGATTATTTTCCTTTAATCTTTTCTACCTATATCTTGCTAAGCAATGTAATTTTTGTTTATGAGAAAAAGAAAGAAAAAAATATGAAGAAAAGGAAATATTGAAAGAACGGAAACTATCGACAGCGTCATTATTGTTAAAACTCTAGTGGAAATACCTGTTTTGAATAATTGTATGATCTTTACCGGCTTGCGTCATGCAATCAGCAGATTGCGTCTATGAAGAAAGGGGTGGAAATATGTTAAAGGAAATTGTGCATAATTTGCTGGTATTCCCAATGCGTTTTTGAAAATAAAATTCTCGAATTATTATTATTATTATTTTTATTTATTTTTTTTGGAGGATGTAGTTTAATTTTTTTTTAACAGCCTTCGTAAACGTGGAAGCGTTATTCTAAAGGAAGAAAAAAAAACGTTCTGTGCCTAGCTTTAAAAAACATTTTTGCCTTTAAAACTGTTATTGTTTTTATTACGTTTTTTATTTTAATTAAATAAAAATTGTTTTCCGTGTGAAGTGGAAACTTGCGTTCGGCAGTTCGACGACTGTCAGACTAGCTAGAGCAGGGGTTTCCAACTTACATGTGACCGGGGGCCACAATTATAAACACTAGTCAAATATCGGGCCGCAACTTCGTCAAAATTTTATATAGGACTCTTTTATGTTTGAAGGAACATTAAATATTACTGTCAGATTTTTATCAGGTTGTTCAAAACAAAAGCATTGAATTACAAATAATAATAAATATTTTCACGTATAAATATTTTCTTGGGTGCAAAACCTGAGAAATAAAATTTTTTTGCACCGTTGGTATGTTAATTTCCACAGAAACGGAGAAATTAGTTTTTTAAATTTTTTTTTTAACGAAAGAAAAGTATTTTAACTCCATATAGAGTTTTTACCAAAATTGTCGGCAAAAAAATCAAAACTAATATATATTTAAGCGAAGCGAGATTGATTTGCAAAGCAAGTTTTATGAGATCGCATAACCATTTATCAAACAAAACATCAACCTTTAAAATGATTTTAT